CACCCCACCCGTCCTCTCTTTCATCGGATCACCTTGCCCCCTTTCATCGGATCACCCGTAGCGCTCCCTCACGATGTCCTCATTCGACTTCGAGCTGCCCAGCAGCCCTCACCTCCCCATCCTCCTCGCCATCTCCCTAATCCTTCTATTCGCCTACCTCTTCACCTCCAGACGATCCGTTGCGCTCACTCCAACCAGCCTCTCAGCACCACCACCTCCCCCCCTCGTCGATCCGACCCGCCTTCCCTCCAAACTGGATCGAACCAATGTCCGCGATACATTCCTCGCCTGTCGCTCGCTCAACGGATCCGTCTTTCGCGCGCTCGAGCCCAACTTCGCCACCATCACGTACATCGGCGACCCGCTCACCATCAAGGACATCATCGACCGACCCGACAGCTTCGACATCTCCTCGCTTCACACCGCTGCGGCACCCATGTGGAACATCTCGCTCCCTGCAGGTGTCTGGTTCGCCCACACGGGCGGTCAGGCGACGCTTCAACATTCATCGCATCTGTTGTCGGGATCGAGACTTGCTTCGTTGCAGCAGAGGTTCGTCGCTGGATTCAAGAAGGAATTCGATGGGATAGAGACGGGTGACAAGGCGGATATGTTCCGGTTGCTCAGCGAGTGCTTTTTCCAGGCGACGGTGGAGGCCTTGTTCACGACGAGTTTCCCGAGAGGAGAGTATGATGGGTTTTTGAAGTGGGATAGAGAGCTGAACCAGTTCTGCATGGCGTGTCCCTCACCCGCTGGCGTAGCTGCAAGGGATCGTTTCTACAGCTTGGCTGCACAGCAGATCGACGAACATCTCAGCGAATGCTCTCTGCAGGTGAGAGAACAGCTCAACGACGTCAAGAACAAGCACGGTCAATCCCACGCCGATGCAGTCGGTGTAGTCCTACGCACCGCTTGGTTGGGCAGCACGCAATCACCCTTGAGCGGTGCCTGGTTACTGTGCAGCCTCTCCCAAAACCCGGAAAAGAGGAAAAAGGTCCGAGACGAGGTGCGGGTCCTGAAGGACAAGTTGGGAGTGAGCAACGTGGAGGAGATCGCATCGAATCCGGAAATGATGAAGGGAGACAACTTGCCGGTGTTGGATAGCATGGTCCAGGAGTTGTTGCGGGTGTATAGTGCTCAGAACGTGCCGAGGATGTGTCTCAAGGATACGGTGGTGAGGGCGATGGATGGTCCGGGAAGGATCAAGCGCTACCAGTTGAAGCAGGGTGACATCCTCCAGCTGCTCTTCTGGAACGTACACGATGCACAGCTCAATCCCGAGTGGTGGCCGGAAGAGGGCGGAAAGGGGGAAAAATTCAGAGGCACGCTCGAGACGTTTGACGAGACACGGTTCGATAGACATTCAGGGACAACAAAATTGGACGGTGAAACGGTCAAGACTTGGACGCCGTTCGGGTACGGTGCGAGGGTGTGCCCAGGGAGGTATTGGGCAGTGGCAGAGATCAAGGCGTTTGTCATGCTGTTCTTGGATCGATTTGATGTGGAGGCGAAGGGGGAGATGCCAAGACCGGATCCGATGAGGTGGGTCGGTGTCTTGCATGCCATGGACGCCATGCCTGCCACGGTGACGGCTCGAAGCTGATCATCCTTGTCACTCATACCCACGCACACACTTGTCAAATCCTTCATTGGATGTAGAACTGGCGATGACTGCAATTGCACTATTCCACACTCAGTCCTTCTTCTCAGCTCCTGCTTCAGCAGCCTTGAGCCGATTCCTCTCCTTCTTGCCCATCCTCTTCTTGACCGGCTTATCCTGTCCATCCGCCGTCTTGGACGTATTGCCGTACACATCCTTCCTGAATTGACCCAGCTTCTTGCCCAGATCCATGGGACGGTTCTTACCCCTCCTGTACGGTTGAAGATTCTTCAGGCCGACCACGTTGTTCAACTGTTCGTCGTCGGCCAGCAGGATATCGACGGCGGACATGCCGTAGTCGGCGGGTGCGACCTGGGTGTATTTGAAGCGAGTGGGAAGGTCTCCGATCATGTCTTCGTAGTCGAGGTTGTAGTACGAGTCGATCATCTCTTTCGCCACGGTTTTCTTGTCGGTGGGATCAGAGGCGGTTACGGCGGGGAGGTTGTCGGCGTCCATGGCTGAGACGTCGACTCCGTCAGCGTCGGCTTCGGCATCAGAGTCCGAGTCGTCTCCACCGTCGGCATTATTGGACGTTTTGGACAGAGCCGCCTTGAGCTTCTTCTTGAGCTTCTTGCGGTCCTTCTTGCTCAACTTCTTGTCGGCAAGACGAGCACGCAAGGCGGCCTCCTTGGATCCGGCTGCGCCTCCATCCGCAGCCTCCCCGCCATCTTCCATGAAATCGGCATCCATTTCGATCCTGTCCTCGTCATCTGCATGGCTTTGCTTGGCCTTCTTGCCCTTCTTCCCAGAGGATGCTGTGGCAGCCTCGTGATCCTTGATGATATCGTCGATGTTGATGTCGTCATCCCAGCTCGGTTTCTCATCGTCATCCTCTCCGTCGTAGTATTGGTCGCCGAATGCCTTTTGCATGGCCTTGTCGTGGGAGTCGGGGTCGAAGTCTCCCTCCAAATCCAGACCGTCGAGATCGACAGCGCTCGAACCAGTGACCTCTCGCAGCTTTTTGAGCTTGTCGACGATCTCCTGCCTCTTCAAATTCTTGAGTCGGGAAAGCTCCTGCATCTTGAGTCGCTTCTCTTCGTCTTTGCGTGCTGTACGCTCCTCTCGCTTGCGTTTGCGCGTGTTGTCCTCGCGACGTGCAGACTCTTTGGGAGTACGAGAGTAGGTGGGGATGGTGAGGGATTCGGGTCCCTGTTCGAAGCGGAAGTTGTAGGCGGTTTCGAAGGCGTCTGCCATGGAATCGAAGGATGCTTCGGATTCCAGCTCGGCTGCTTCCGCTTCCCAGTCGCGGCCGTACGACTGCTCTCCACCATTCGCCGACTTCTCTCCCTCCGCAGAATCGCCGTACTCTGCGGCATCTTTGCTTTTCAAGGCTGCCTTGGTAAGACGAGGTTTGACGGGTCGCGCGTCTTCGGCAGACTTGTCGATCCAGCCACGGTTGAGGATGTAGTTGAGCAGGAAATCCTCGTTCTTCTTGTCGTCATTCGCGTCGTCGGCGACAAGGACGGATGTGGAAGCAGACACTTGGCCGGGCTGGTCCCGTCGGATCGCTTGTCTGATGGTCTCTTCATCGGCGTTTGGTCCGAGCGACGCAATCACTGCGTCACGATATGATGAAGATCCATCGCCGTTCTGTGCTTCGGACCTCTTGACGAACAGATCATCCGCATCGTCGATGCCAGCGTGGAAAGCGTGCGATACTTCTTTGCGCAACGCCTCCTGCTCCTGTGCAAACGGCATCGCCTCACCCTCCTGGTCATTGTAGATGCCCTTGGCGCGATCGCTGGTGGTCGCATCCGCCAACGCTTCAGCTGGATTATCTGAGGTCTCGATCAGCTCCTGCACCCTCTGTCGCTGATAGTCCTGCAAAGTCACCTTCTTGTCCTTCTTGGTGGTTCCTGCCTTCTTGGGGCCTGCAGAAGACGAGCCAGAGAGACGAGCAGCTCGTTCAGCAGCTTCTGCTTCCTGTGCAAAAATGTCCGTCTTGGAATCGTATAGGGCAGCGTCCTTGTTTCGAATGCGTTGGAGCGTGCGAAAGATGGCAGCGTCGACATTGGCGTTGACCTGGTCACCGTCTTCGTCCTCGGTCACATCGCTCTCAGAGTCGGTTTCGGAATCCTCGTCGCCGGATTCGAGTGCATCTTTGCCGTACTTGGCTTCGAGCTGATGAAGCTCAGCTCGCTGCTTGTTGTGTAGGTAGCGCTCGGCAAAGTCTTTGTTGATAGTGAAATGGTTGAGCGATTCTTCAGGTCGTGTCCGAATGTCGAGCTTAGCACTGGACGAGGCGTTGGATTCGCCAAAGAGGTCCATCTTGGCAAGAGACTACCGACTTAGCTGATGGATGTGGGGGCAGTAGCTTGATGCGCAGACGTGTGTCGAGAGTATATGTGCCGAAGATGGGTGATGGCTGCAAGTAAGGGCCGTAAAGTGGCTGGAAGAGGAGGTGAAAGAAGGGGCAAGCGGCTGTTTGAATGCAATAGCGAAACAAGACAGGGTTCGGATTCATTCACTCAGCGCCCAAACTTTTTTTTAGGAACTTTCTCTCTTGTCGGAATTCGGAGCTGCTCAGGAATAATCCTATGAATGTTACCTCGTCAAATCTGCTTGGTCACGACCGCAAAAATACTTGTCGCTGTCAGGCCTGAACGATGAACACGAGCAACGAGCAACAGGAAAGGGACATGGAATGACTGAAATTGATTAATGAATGCCTTCGAGACGAATGAGAGAGGATGAGCGGCTGCATGAACACCATGGGATAAAGACAATATCTATGCTAAAAAGAAGAAGAAACGTGCTAAGTGACTACGGTCGTCAAAGGCTGCCACGGTGGGCGCCGAATTTGTTCAGAATGTTGGAACTGAGCTTCTTGGAGAGGATCTGTCCCGCCGACGGCCTCCTCGGCTTGGGCTCAAACGCTGACTGCAGTCGTTGGTCCGCATCTTGACCCTGCGAGGATGCACAGAAAGGATCGTCAAAGTAACTTCGATCCATCTGATCATGCTGCACAGTGACTGGCGGGGTTCCTGCAGGCGTGGCAGCAGCGAGTTGTGAGAGGGGACTCGGACGGTGGACGAATTCCTTGGCTGCTGGCTTGGCGGGAGTGACTTCGCTTTGTGGGCTAGGCACTCGCGAAGGTGTAGAGTAGCCAGACACACCGCCTCCCGACTTGGGAGTCGCAAGCACGGGTCGGCCGTGTAGATCGACCGAGCTGGCTGCAGGCGAGCTCTCGTAGCTCGCCAGTGGAGACGGGGAGTGAGGTGTCGTGCTGGGACTGCCGCGGCTCTGACAGGAACGAATCTGGCTAGACGTAGGAGCACCGAGCTTCCTGGCCTCTTCCTCGGATACCTCCACGGATCGGAGATCCTCATCGTTCGGCACGGTGAAGAACCTTCTCTGGGTCGGGATCTTTCGATGGAGGCCTTCGGGCCTCAGCGAGGGAGTAGCGCCCTTCTTGAACCTGGCGGCGAGCGGAACGTCCACACCCACCACTTGGGAGATCGAATTCTCCCACATGCACGCTGCCATGACGGGCACCATCTCCTTGCTCTTCCCCTTGCCTCCCTTGGCCGTCACCAACTGAGCTCGAGCCTCAGTCAGCTTGGTGATCGAATCCCACAACGCAAGGGTCGCTGCCGTCTTGACCTCGTCGTACGAAGGCTCAAACGAGCTCGCTGCAGACTCCATCTGCGGGAACAGCGTCGAGAGCGGTACCGCTGGCATTTCGACGCGCTTGACGGTGACATCGACAAAGAAGCCGTACTCTCCTGTGCCTGTCCCTTGGCACGAACGGCAAGCGGACTTGAGACTGCCGGAGCAAGTGTTGCATTTCAACACACCAGCGCCCTGGCAGCGACGGCACCAGGCTTGGGCGCGAGTCTTTTCACGTCCAGTACCGCAGCACCAGAAGCATTCGTCTGCTTGCTCGGCCTTGCAAGTGATGCAGGCGCCGAATCCGCTGCCATCGCACTTGACGCAACGAGCATTGATCCTCAGAGAAGCGAGCTCGATCGTCCTCTTCGACTTGCCCTTGATCTGGGCGACGTCGAGCTGCTCGTGCTGCATCTCCATCGACCACGGACTCGGCATCGCTGGCAGGCGGCCAACTTCGTTCGACGAGCGTGGGGAAGATTCGTGATGCACCTGCTCCGGCGATGCTTGGGTAGACCCTTTGCTGGCGTTCAGAGGGCCAATGCGCTTCCAAGATGCCGAGCGCGACTCCATGACGACCATCGCCTTGATCAGCGAGAGGCGTTGCTTGGCGCAAAACTTGACCTGGAGCGCTTCCTTGCGAGCTCGCCACTCATCCTCGCTCGTCTCATGCTTCTTTGTAGGTGGCAAAGGCTGACCGTCTTCGCCGAACTGACGCAGAGGAGCGTTGCAGATGGCTGGATGGCTCGCTACGATGATCTCGACACAATCTGCGGCAGAAAGCGCACGTTCGGGCAGCGTCGAGGCGCTAAAGGCGATATCTTGCGGTTCGAGTCGGGTGAACGGCTTGTTGCTCTCGAGCTCGACGACGGGGTAAGCCGAAGATCTGCGTCTGTCGTTGAGGTGACCAGTCACGGACGAGGGCGCGGTGTCTGTATGCCACGGCATCGCCCTTGCTTTGCCGGCCGCGCGACGTTGAGCACTGACATCGTCGCTCAACAGTTCGAGCTCCGAATTGTCGCCGACATCGCAACGATTTGACGGCGCTTGCGAATGAGGACGTTCTTGTACGTGCGGCGCCTGCTTGAATGGAGAGCGCAACGTTGCCTTTTCCGAAACAGTCTGCGGCAATGACGAAGGCGGTGTCTGCGATGAGGCCTGCGCCGGTGGTGCCACCTGCTCGCTCGAGTGCGCTGGAGGCCGAACAGCCTCCATGCTGGCTTCGGCATTCGGAGGCGAGCCGAATCGCTCAAAGTCAGATTCAGGAGGTGTCCTGATCTCATCGTCGTTGACATCGCTCGAGCTCCTTCCAGATGCCAGACTAGCGGTCAAGGGCGAGTTCTTGATGGATGACGTCCGAGGAGTTGCTGTCTGACGATGCTCGAGGCTGTACCTTTCGCCATCCGGATAAACGACACCCGCGAAGGCGAGTCTGGAGATGAGCTGCGCATACGACTCTTGAATCGAGGTGGCCTCGTAGGCCTCCTGAGTGTGCTTAGCATCGAGATGCTCGTTGGGGTCCGAGTAGCCGTCGCCGTTGTATGCGTATTGGTCGGCGCTGCTGCGCGTGAGGGCTTCGAGGTTCATCCTCATGGATCTGGAGAACTGCAAAGCGCTCAGGTCCTTAAGGTCTTCTTCGTCGTCGAAGTCGCCCAGCGTTATGTTGGACAGGTTGAGGCTGAGCCGCTCGAAGCCAGAATCGACTCTTGCGACTTGGCTCTCACTGTCGAGCGAGCCACGGGACCGCAAACCGTCGAAAAACGCGGTGTACCCTTCGTAATCGGCCAAGGTTCTGTTGAGGGAAGACGATGATGGTGCAGAGGGGAACGACGAGCTCGCAATGGAAATAAAACTCGAGGGTCGCTCGCCGTCGAAGCCCCTTCTGCACGTGACCGAGTCGGCTGTGTCGTCTAGGTCAGCGGATGCTGTGGAACGGGCGTGCTGAGTAGAGTTCGGCGGTCGGGCCACAGACTCGAGATTGGATGTTGGAGATGTGGGTGGGTGAGCAACTTTGGAAGACTGATGTGAGGGGGATGATGAAGTGCAAGATGAAGAAGCGTTCCGACCGGCCAGACTCATCTTGTCGAGCCCACCCAAACCGGAGTGGCGGGCCGCATGAAATGTCGAAGGTCCCCTAGCGTGCAGGCGAGGGCCTTCCGCCGGTGCTTTGTGCATCGTGGTCGATGTGTGGCGTCTTGCGACCTGACGCGGCACAGGATCTGTGCAGTCTGCGTCGGTGCAAGGATGGATGGCTGATGAAGTTTCCCTTCGTTTCCATGCGAGTCGATCCAATGCGAGTGCAGATCTTTGTTGCAGCCGAGTCGGAGCGCAATGACGAGGAACGTGCTCTTGCGCGACGTTCCGGAGCTAGGAGGAAAACTTCGAGGGAGCCGAGCGCTGCGAGGTGATGAGGTGCACTTAGCCAGGACGCCTCTGAAGGGCGGAAGCGTGTGGGGTGGATGCAAGGAGGCGATAGAAAGTACAAAAGCAAAAGAGAGAGACGCAACGGGACGGGTTGGTGGCTATGCTGATCTCGAAACCATGAGATCACACAGTTGCTATTTTGAGGCAAGCTGATGCAGCAAGGATCAGGAGCAGCGAAGGATGCGTAGGGTGAGGCTCTGCAGATCTGCAGCGAGTGACAATAAGAAAGCCGGTGCTGCAAAGCAAGATCGTCCTACGAAGTGAAGGAGGACGAAGAATGTGCTGGGCCGTGTGCTGTGCATACGACGCGCAAGTCGCCGGAGAGAGGGGCGGTGTAGATGCGAGCAGGAGATGGGTGATGTGATGCAAGGGGAGGACAAAGGATCGACCCGACAAAAGGGGTGAGTGTATAAAGCCCGTTTGAAGATCATGCGGATCGCTTCGTCGTCAAGGTTTCGAGGGTCCTGCTGTAGCAGTTCATATGGTACACGAGCACACGGACAGCGGGAAAAGGCGCGGCTACGGACAGCCTCAAAGGCCAGAGACGCAACGGTCGCAATCAACGCTGTGCTACGTGCAGTCTGAGCGTTGCAGGCGGCCGCAGAGGTGCAGCGCAGGCTTGCTGCGGACGTTGGAGCGGTGGGCCCGTCACTCGGTTGGAAGTAGCGGCAAGCAATCGCAAAGATCGAGAACGGGCGAGACCTTGACGTCGATGCTAGCTGGCCGGCAGAGAATATGGCATACGATCCGCCTCGCCTTCCTGATACTAGTTGTTGTCAGCTGCCAGCGAAGTGTGACAGCGTTTCCGGAATCTGGCTGCGTGACTGAGCAGCCCTTTGCATAGCTTCACACGACGAAATCGTCTAGAGTCCTTTTTTCTTTCAAATTATTGTTTACTTACCTGGATGCATGGATAGCGTGGACCCGGCAGCGGCGTCACAGCAAGCACGATGTACCGTACAAACAAATTCTCTGTCTCACATGGAGTTTTTGTTGGGTCACAGTCGAGTGGTTCAGGATATTTTTAACAACTGTTACTGCAAGCCGTTTGGAAGCTTTGCGACTCGAGCAGACCAAGTTTCAACTTTGCGTTTCCATCTTTCTTGCGAGATTTTCTTTTGCGTCGAATGCAGGCCAGGTCCAAGTTGATCAAGGTTACCGGCGAGACAAGCGGACAAAGCATCGGAATTCGGACCAGGTCTGGACGGACGATGGCCGACTGTCCTGTGAACGCTGCCACATAGCCGGTTGGTCGGGGCAAGAGAGCCAACCGCCGAGCTCTACAAAGTGTAGAGTCTTGCAGTGGTGAAGTCAAAGTTTGTTTGGTGTCTCAGGCTCGGCCCTCAAGGTGAGAAGCCAAGGACCTCGTCTCAGGTTGCGGCAACGCTAAAGACGTACATCGGCAGCAGGTCAAGCTTGTTTCTGCACATGAGTCTCGAGTGGACGAAATCAAACTTTCTCGACGGTCGTCATGACCAACGAAACACAAACAGAAGAAGTGCCGATCATTACTTCTGGTAGCAACGGCATACGGCTACAAGCTCGCACGGTGGGCACCCTATGATATGCTCAAGAGCAAAGAAAAACTGTTCTGGAACCGCATGCTTTTGAACTCAGCGAGAAGCAATTGCGCTCTCATCACCAACGACTCAAGCGAGACATTCCGGCGGCCGGCGCTGTGAGCGATGCCGAGCGAAGGAGAGTCAACCCTTGCCGAGTACTCGGCGTGGGCACGAGCCGTTCAGATGAAGAGAGCCAGGGAAAATCCGAAAGAGCGAGAAAGCAGTGAACAGTAGGGGATGAAGCAGGAGTGACCACACCTTTCCCATTCCAGTCCCTGCATCCCTACCCCCCTATGATTCATGCGAGGATGAGAGAGCCTGAGAAGACGCTACAGGATAGCCATGCGGCAACAGGATGCAGTACCCTGCAGTACCGAGATTCGGCTGGTAGGACCCAACAGAGCGGATATTGTGGCTGACTCCCACACTGATACCAGACCCAGATTCGCCCAAGGCAGCCCCAGAGCGGGGTCGCAAAACTTCGCGTCAGGCATTTCAGACGCCAAAAGATGGCAGAGGGATTTTTCTTGCCAAGATGCTTTGCGAGACAGCATCGGTTTGTGCTCGGCAAACAAGAATCTTGGCCGCGACACCGGATCTACGCCAACGCAAACTTTCGGGTCTCACCGCTTACGACACTCCAGGCGGCCAGGCGGCGGCCAGAGACAGACCTGTTTGTGGTCCTCGTCCTCTGCTGCCACGGCGCGTCGTTGATACGAGCTAATCTTGTGTTCGATCGTGCGCTTCGAGCTGCAAGCTTAGATCGGTGGGAGTGGTCACCGTAGGGTCCACGGGAATGCAGAAGTCGATGCTGTCACCCAGCCAGTGCAAGTCAGCTTGTGACTTCAGAAAAGAGGGTAGCGTGGGACGATGACCACAATGTGCAGTGGACGTGTAGGCTAAAGCCCAGAATCGCGCCATTGCATCGCGAGGCGCTCGATGGTAAGCCGCGTGGTTGGACGATCTCACGAGGCGTTCTCGACAACATGGAGGTCGGAGTGCTGTGCTGTGCTGTGCTGTGCTGTGCAAAGTACAGACATCGTAGGTCAACACGGACCCACTGGTTTGATCGGCGATCATTCGTGTTCGATCTCGAACCAAAACTCCTGGAAACTTTGACCAAACTTTGAAAACTTTGGTGAAACTCTTCGCGAAAATCATCGGAAGCTCAAACAAATTGAGGAACCCATTCGCACTCCGATAGACGGTATCCGTTGCCCGCATTCATTCAAGGTTGGCGGTCTCTGGAATGATCTCTTGCGCCTGAGATAGTGTCCTGCTGTACTGGAGGCTGTTGTTAAGAAAAGTACATTCAAGCTTTGCTGCGGAGAACCGCTGTCAGGAGCGAAGAATGTTCTCTGCTGATATGCTAGGGAAGACAAAGGGGGGAGCAAGGGCGACCTCGCCAACGATTTCGCGACTGCCAGGTACACTGCACGCGGAGCCGAAAATTATGCGACTAACAAACCTTCTGTGCAGCTCAAAACCTCTGCAGGTGCGCAGCCGCTCTCCTTTTTTTCTTCGTCCTTTTTGCAATGATCACTCCCCTTCTTCGACTCGCCTGCAGCTCCGTGCGTTCCAGCGAGGCTTGCTGAGCGGCCGCTGCATTGCTGTCCAGACTGGCCCGTGAGGTCAAAAGTACGCGAGGCCAGGAGAGCGGAAGGGGTTATCCCGCTCTCGGATAACGGTTCTCCAGAAGCGGCCGCCCCAGAGCTCTATTTTCGATCTCCGACCAGCCGTCCAGGTTGGCGCCGTATACGTGACGTAGCCGCGTCGATTTAAGTATAATAATACGATCAAAGACCGAAAACGCAAAATTGGCACGTCGCAGGATTGCCGAATCCTGGAGTTTTCGGCTGCCGTTGAAGAGTCGTGGTCGATGAACATGTCATATTGAATCGTCTTGCACGCGCTACACGAGCATTGTGATCCAGGTACGCGGAGCACGCGGCCAAGCATGTGGATTTTCCCATTGGTACTCGCGCCCTCTCCCAGCCGACCGTGTACATCCGAGACATTAACGCTTCGCTTCGTGGTCTCTCCGAGACATGCTCCGGTCTTTGCTCGCAGATTGTGCCTGCGAGGAAGTGTAGCCATCAAACGTCGGATTGTTCAGCCTCGTCGGCTTGCAAATGTTGAAACCGTACTGTTTACGGCTGAACCTGTTTCCGGCCCCGAGAAAGACGGCCGTTGGACCCATTTGCTTTCGATTTTCTTTGTGCCCCGTCGTCGGCCGTATTGGTCGTCGTTACAGAACAGTATACCGAATCCTTGGCTGAGGCCGATAGCTGAACTTCATCTCGGTTCTCAGTTCGGAAATGTGCAAATGAGACACGGGAAGCAAGTGAGTTCGACCCATCTTTCTGATGTGCATGCGCAACAAAGCGAATGTTTCCCACACCAATGTTGTTCGTCATCGACTAGCGTGTGGAACCATCGTCGGAGTCTGGACTACACCGGATTTCGCCTACAGCGCCGTACACGCCGGGGAAAACGCTTCTGCGAGCTGCCTGCTTCCGTCTCGGGGTGTTGCATGCTGGTAGGACTGGCTCAGAATCCTCTTTGATGCAAACTACGTAGGCGATCGATGCTCATTTGAACTCGTAGAAGCGCATAAGTCCCGATAGGACATTGCATACCCGATCAAATCATGTCTCTTCGTACATATGGGTTCGCGACAGTGGCGACGCTAGTTGGCCTCGATCTGTTCGGCTGAGGATTGCATGGGAAAGCCGCAACGTTGGAGGCTAACTTCGTACTTCGTTGTCTCGGATTGTCAGCACGAGGTGCCGAGAGCCACAAGCTCGTTTAGTTCCGCTTTGCAGTGATGCTTGTTTTTTTTCGAGCAGTGACTCTAACTATCTTCGAAAACCGAACAATCTGCCCTCACTTCCATAGCTGTTGCAAGTTTGAGCCGATGACGCAGACCAACCATGAATAGCGCACAATCTGAGACGGGAGGGCTCGGCACGTCGGCAACTGCGTCGCATCTGGAGTCGGCTGAAGACGTCATGGTTCGAGACCGTCAAGGCCTTGAGGAACAGTTCAACGTTGGTGTTTCGATAGCCCTTTCAGAGATCGACCTCGCTCGCGCTGGAATCGACAGAGAGGTCTTGCTGGTCATCAGCCACATTTTAAGGTGAAACATATGAGAACTTACACAAGCGTCTGATGCAAACTCTGCCTTCGAGAACGGCTTGTGCAGCAAGGGCCGTCCAAGGGACCGAGAGGTGCTTCCGTCACCGCTGCGAGTGATGCTAAAACCAATCGCCACCCTCGAACGCCCTTTCTGGTGCGGTGTCCTCGGGCATGCACAAGAAGACGGCCCTTAGACGTGGATGCTCGCGATGATTCAAGCACGAACTCGGTCATGTACTTAAGCCGTTCAAGATCGATCTGGAAGGCATCGTCAAACCGAGATGGCAGAGCAGCTAGGCTGCGCGTTCGGGAGCGGATAAGAGCAGGCGAGCGAGCGGCTTTTACCGCTACACAGCGTACCCGCCAGGGATTGGCGAGACTGTCGGCAGTGCGATTTCCGACGACTGCGCCGATGTTGGACTTTGTAAGCCACCATAGATCCACTCACATCCCGTCGCGCGGACAAGCGAGGGTAAGGAGACATGCTACAGTGTATGAGTTTCAGAGCCGGACATAACCGAGCAGGCGTGATTGGGAAGCGAAGTTCACTAAAAGGATGATACGCCACTGCACTGTAGATTGCTTCCATAGAATCTGGTTTCATGAAATGAACAAAGGGCGGGCGAGCAGCGAGTGAGAGAAGTGTCCGGGACGAGATCGCAAAACCGGCTTGACGCGACGAGGCCTGGATGTGAGACGCAGGCCAGCATCACACGGCAGAACGAACAAGTTGTCACACTGAAGCATCAGCAGCAACTGCAGATCCGAATGGGCGCAAGGCTCACAGACCTTGCAGAATCTTTTTTTGCGACGCTGCAAGGCCCGGCGCCCGGCTGCCAAGCTCCTTTTCTATTTTTGCATCATTAATATTTTTATCTGTCCTTTTTTCTTGTCCCTTGCTTTGGGTGTCGCCGCTCCGCCGACACCTCTGTACTGCCCCTCAAGCCCACGGGGACGACGAAATCCGAACTTTCTTGTGGTTGACTTTCAGATGCGCCAGCCGGAAAAGACTTGATTGAGTCACTGACCCGGCTCGCTAAACGGTGAGCAGAGCCTCTGCCGCAGCAAGACCTTTTCATCTGCTCAGACCTGTCTACTGGCCTCCCGCATGTTCGTCAGGCTGCTGGCTTGCTGGTCTCGTGGGCGCCGGCTCGAGCCTAAGTTGAACGGCAATCAAATCCTATCAGTGCCGATGGTCTGTACAGAGACAACCATGTTTCGGCGTGGTCCAACAAGCTGGTGTGATATCGACTTGGCTTTGCCGTGGCTTTGCCGACGTAAGCCGCAGCATCGACAGCTACGCCCTGCTGCACTGCAATCCCGCTCGCTGCCACTTTCTGGCTGGGCCCACGTCGAAAGGGCTGAAAGCGGTCTGTTCCTCCTTTTTCGCCTTGCTCTTATTGCATGCTCAATTCGCTGTCCCAGTGAATCACCTGGACTTTCTTATCAATCGCTATCCAAGCCAAGCCGCCTTTGGGACAAACGCCACAGGTCGAAAGCAGCTAAGCCATGCAGCTCTGGCGAGCGGCGAGTCGTAGCAAGTCGTGTGCCTCGATCCAATAACAGGGTTCTCTTGCAGCCTCGGCTGTTCCCGACTGTCCATCAATGACAAGCCGTGCCTTAGACTCTTTAATCCACAGGGAGAAAAGATTTAGGGAAAAGGAAAAAAAGAAGAGAAACAAAATTTAGGGCACTTGTCTCCTCCACTGCCCATTTTTGCCTGAGCATCTGCTCTTCTTCTGCGACGATCTCGGCTGCCCTCGCCTGACTTGACCCTGCCTCGCTGCGTCCCTCTTCATCTTCCCCCCGTTGCGGCCATATATCTACAGCTTGCGTCTTGTCCCCGATTATCGCCCACCATCCACCCTTCCATCTACGAACGTCAACGTGTTACATGCCCCTCAGCTCTACAGCACAATTCACCACTTCTTCTAGCAAGTCGATTCTCGAGCGACCCACTTCACCGCAGGCGCTTCACATCTTCGCACCGCTTGCATTCTCGAAAGAATTGGAGAAGAGCAACCTGCGCTTGATCAAGATTCGTGACAACCGCATCATCGAGGAAGAAGCCAACATCGCAAGAGGCTAATCTGCTGCTACCATCGCACACAACTTCTTCATCGTCCATCGCTGCCATACTCTTCGGACAGCTTTTCATAGGCGTGCTTGACACACCTCACCAAGAGCAGTCTTGACCTTGCGATACATTTGCACATCACTATCAGTCCAGCAACCCAGAGGATCGGTCTCGAGCTTCAACATGGCGCCTCAAATCCTCACTTCCATCTACCCGCCTCTGCCAAAGGCAAGCTTCACCAACATCTTTGACTATGTCAGCTCGGAATCCGAGTCGTCCCTCGCCGACAAGGTGCAATTCGTCCGCCAGGATGGCAAACAATACACGTAAGTACCTCCAAGTCTGAGTGTCGGTTCGGTCTCGTCGTGGGTTTCCTGCCTCTTTCATTTCGATCGCACGTCTGTCATGGTCTGCTCCTTCTCTCGGGCAGGGAGTGAGCACGCTGGCTCGACCAAAGTTGTGCTTCGACCATTTGGTCGAATCGAAGATTTGGTGTTCTCTAGGGTCCACTTTCTTTCATGTCGACCTGATGAGTCCTCCTGGTTAGGTTCTTGCTTCCCAGCAGCGCGCTCGTGTAGTTCGGACGTGGGTGTCATCGGCGCTCAATTTGTCGTTGCAGCCGGAAGGACTCACAAGGAACGGGCACACCAAGCTAGCCTGCGTAGCCAGTGGACACTGAGGGCTTTGTTTTGCAAGGCTCAAAGACGATGACAGATGTGCTCGTCACCATAGCCTCGAGGACGATGTAGGCACGGCGATCTTGACGGACCGCGAATCTACCATCGGTCGAGCGATGTATTTTTGTTTGTCTCGTCTTTTCCACGCTCCGCCTGCATCGAGCCCACGGCTCATTTTTACCCTCCGACCTCGTCCCAAATCGATCTTAAAAGAAGCTGCGGCTCTGTGATTCCGACGAGGCCCGCTCACGAGCCTCTGCAGCATCAGTGCTCGCGGGATTCGTCACCTCGGTGGGGTCGAAAGACTCCAGCCAACTTTTTGGTCGGAAATGCAGGTTCGGAGGCGGCATTGATGACTGCACGGCGCATGCACAGCGGCGTGCAACTGCACCCTGTTTGACGGCGTCTCTACTGTAGGCGCGTCCAGAACGGAGCGGGTCGCAGAGAGCGCTTGTTTGTCTTTGTCTTGCCGTCGGCGGCTGTCGTCGGAGCTCAGCCAGAGAGCTGTTCCGCTTGCATCTCACTCTTTGATCGAAGAGCTGTGCGAAACCTAGCTTCGTGGATCATAGGAAGCGTCACCTCGTTCGGCTCTTTTGGACGGCAGCTCACCAGTCGCAGACGCCGAGATTCCGCCAAATTCGACGATTTTCGTCGGAGCCTGTCCAACACTGCTTTCTGCACCTTTGTGCTGCATCTCACGCCACACTAGGTCACTGGGCTATCGCGGTGCACGGTGTTCAACAGCATCTTCGGTCCTGTCGAGGGCTTCGCTAGAGTCGAGAGAAAGCAGAATCGTGACCGGATTGCATCTCGTTGCTCGAGACAGTAGGTGGAAGATTTGGCTGCAGCCAGTCCACCGCGCTCCCAGCGTCTCGCTGATCAGATGGTGAGGATCGGCGAGACGAGTGTCGATCCTCCTGGTTGGGTTTCAGTTCCTCGACCCCGAATTCGCGGCACTTGACCAGTGTGTCATTGTTGTCAGGCAAAGGCGCGTTTTTTTCTCCGATTTTCTCGCTCGCTGCTCGTGTGGGCTCTGCTTCCCGGATCTTGCGTCCTGCCGCGTTGCAGGCACAAACTCGTGCTGCATGGCGGATATCCGGCGACAGCTGACTCGAGGCACATCAGCAAGCGAGGATCGCAGCTGAAATTCGGCTGCTCCGTTTTCACGACAAGTCGAAAGAGGTGGATGCAGCCCATCCGTCGGTACCTGACTCTGTTCGTCGCTCTGTTCTCGCATTCGAGCTCCGCTCGACCAGGCCGTCTGTCAGGATGACGTCGCATGCTGGTACCCCGCCTTGCTTTCTCCGTTCTCGACCCGGTGTGCTGATGGGTTGGACTATGGACGGTACCGAAGGCAGAAGCGCGCAAGCGATTCTGCACGCGATCTTGTATGGCTGTACGTCGAAAGTCACACGCTCACTGATTCGAGCCGTGATGGCGCCGGAACACCTTGCGCTCGCGTCGTCTCGGCTGCTGACCCCCTGCCTGCTCTTTACATGCTGGCACGATGCGCTTCGCTGTGGTTAGCAGAGAAAAGCCGCCTGGGCAGAGATACCTGCTCGCCATCTGAACGCAGATCCTCGCTGCTCGCTGTTGCTATCGGTTCCGCACATGGCGACCCTGTCGTCGACACGATTCATCCTGACCCTACCATTTCAGGGGTCCAATGACGCTTATGCGTAGTGCTGCATGCTGACTTCGAATCCCCTTTCAAAATTTCCCCTCGCTTTGAACCCTGACCCTCAAATTTTGGCGCCATCTCGTGGCTTGGACCCTCTTTTGATTATTCGGATCTGGTCCCCGATACCATGCTCGCCGATCGGCATCGCTTTGTCGATACCTTCTTACGAATCGCTGGCGTCGATGCAACAGTCATGGTCAGGTGGTGCGCGAGGCACGCCGCTTGGCATGGACGCTTAGGCACAAGCTCGGACTGCAGCCTCGCCAGCGCGTCGGTGTCATCTCGCCCAACCACACCATGTACCCGATCTTCGTCTTTGCAGCAGAGGTCGCTGGTCTCGTCACGGCTCCTGTCAATCCCGCTTTGACTGTGGGTGAGCTTGCCAAGTCGCTCCAGCAGGCCTCGGTCGACGTCGTGCTCACCCATCCCTCGTGCCAGGACAATGCACGCGCCGCATGGCACCAGGCGAAGGTCGCCATGGGTCGACCCATCGCCACTTCTTGCTCGGACGCCGTCAGCGATGGCCTCTTCATGCTTGACGATGCCGACGAGCTCGTCGTCGGCAAGCACGGCGAGCCTGACCTGCGTGCCGAGTTGACCGACAACGAGCTCGAGTCGTACCGCGTCGAGGACCCTGCTACCGAGACCGCCTTCATCATGTTTTCCTCGGGCACTTCGGGCTCGGCGAAGGGAGTCGAGATCACCCACTCGAACGTCATCCACAGCGTCATGGCCCTCGTCGCCACCCACGATGACTACTTCGGCCAGAAGGACGTCCAAGTCGGCTTCCTGCCCTTCTACCACATCTTTGGCTTGATCAAGCTCATGCACCACCCCTTCTATCTCGGCATGAAGATCGTCATCCTCCCCAAATTCAGCCTCGACCTCTTTTGCGAAAAGATCCAGGAGCACCGTGCCACTGCCTCGTTGGTGGTGCCTCCGGTCCTCTTGCAGCTGGCAAAGAGCCCTGTACCCGAGAAGTACAACATGTCGAGCCTCAAGTGCGTCCAGTGCGGTGCGGCTCCTCTATCGGCCGAACTCTTTGAGCTGCTCGAGAAGCGCTACCCTGGTATGGCGGTGCTCAACGGCTATGGCCTCACCGAGTCGCTTCCCTCGGTGATCTGCTCGGGTCCTAAGGAGCTGCCCAACTCGAAGGGTGCTGCTGGCCGTATCGCTCCGGGTGTCGAGGTGCGTCTCGTCTCGGAGGAGGGTCACGACGTCGGTCAGGAGCAGGGTCGCGAGGGTGTACCAGGCGAGGTGTGGCTGCGTGGCCCCACCATCATGAAGGGCTACCTCGACAATGATGAGGCGACGCGCGACGCCTTCACTGCCGACGGATGGTTCAAGACGGGCGATGTTGCTGTGATGCGCAACACGGAGATCTTTATCGTCGACCGTATCAAGGACCTGATCAAGTTCAAGGGTTTCCAGGTCTCGCCCGCTGAGCTCGAAGCGGTGATCACGAGCCATCCCGAGGTGGCGGATGTCGCCGTCTTTGGTGTCTGGTGCCCGAGTCAGATGACCGAGGTGCCTCGCGCGTGCATCGTGCCGAGGGACTTGGACCTTCTCAACCGTCCCGAAGAATGCATGGAGCTGGAGAAGCGCGTTCGCTCTCACATGGAGAAGCTCGTCGCCGCACACAAGAAGATCCGCGGAGGTATCGAGTGGGTCGCGACCATCCCCAAATCTCCTTCGGGCAAGATTTTGAGGAGATTGCTGCGTGACGAGGCTGCTCGGGCTTCGGTCAAGGCGGACGAGAAGCACCAGCTACGCCCGACGCTGGTCACGACACTGGCACCCGTCAACACGAACAATGGCGGAAAGGAGGAGGAAGAGTCGAGCAACAACATCTTCTCTCCCGTTTCGCCTGTCGCTGCTGCGTAGTCGGACGTTGTTGTTGTCTTTGTCTTGCTCCCGTCGCTCGTTTGCATGCCTTGTCGTCGTCGTCGTAGTTCTCTCCTACCGCATTTTGTCTCGTCACGCTCTCTTAGTTCTGCATTTCTCTCCTCGGACATTGATTTTTGTTTCCTTGACGCTCGGTAATTGATTGTTATACTTGAGTTGCTGGTTGTGAACAGTGTGTCGACCCATTCTAAGCATGAGCATAACGGCATCGCGCAGCCTCAGGCCATGTGTTGTTGACACTTTAGACGCGCGCTTCTTCGAAGCATTGGCGCCTTCCTTCTCATGCTCCCGGTCGACTTTGCTCCACTCGACCTCCTACTGGAAACCCCATCACATCCTCTACTCGACTGACAACGACTGACACCTTTGCAAAACACACCGACGCAATCGGACCAGACACATGTGCGCAACAAAACAAAAATGCAATTGAACTTAACCGTACACGTCTCGCGCCATCAAACCCTGATCCACCTGAATAGCCAATTGGAAACCCAAAGCGCACCATCATCGACGAGCCTCGCGTACACCTCGACGACGACGAGCGAAGCAGGGATCAACGCGGCAAAGAGAACCGCCAGTATGGTAGCTGGGTTGGTCCAGCCGAGCGATGCGGTGAGGTGGTAGCGGAGCAAGCTGCCTAGACTCAGCATCAGGGTGCCCGAGATAAGCGAGATGCTGAAGGCCCATCTGCCTGCGTACTTCAGCAGCGGCGTAGAGAGGGATCGTTGGGCTCGGGGTGAGAGCTCGATCAGGAACAGAACGCCGGTAGCTACCAACCAATTGTCGTACCTCGGGAACGCCACTCTCGCCGGGTCGAGGTCGTAGTTGAGTTTGCCCGTGTTGCCGTCGACGTGAGCTACGATCTCGTTCTGCGCATCCGCTGGCAGACCCGCGATCCAGAGGTACTTGAACATGACACCCACCACCGCAAACACCATTCCGGGAACCCACGCTGCGACGAACCTCGTACCAGCTCTGTTGAGCGGAATCTTTCCTCCCGGCAGCACCTGCCTGTACACGGTCGACCACTCGGCGATCAACAACCCAGTCAGAGTATACCAGCTGAAGCGACCCACCCAAGCCGTGGTGAGGATGAGCAGGATCATACCCATGTTCTTGTACCTCAGCACGGTGAAGGGCAGTGTGAAGGCGAGGATGATCAGGACGTAGGTCTGTTGAAACAGCACGGGGATGATCCAGAGCGTTCCGCTGGGTGGGATCATGGTGGTGGCACGTGCGATCTTGTAGTAGGTCGGGGTGGAGAAGAAGAAGAACAGCGTGTTCCAGTATTCCAGCGCGGACGAGAATTGGGCTGGGGGAGAGGCGAGCTGGTTGGAAAGGCTGGTGGAAAGCAGAGATGCGTGGCGGAAGCCGTCGACGGCGATGACGAGGGACACGAGGGCGACGGTGATGGCCATGGGAAGAATGAATCGGAAGGGTCGCTTGAATGCAGCACCTGCAAGTGGGAGAGCCTGCCTGCGCTCGATGAACGTTTGCAGGCTTGCACGACCGGAGAGGATGATGAAGAAAGACGCTTGCAGTTCTCCGTCGAATAGCAGTGGTGAGAGGACCTTGCGCAGGATCGATTGCCAGGCGGGCGCGACCGAGAGGAAGGCGGCCGGGTAAACGCCATCGATGTCGCGATCCGCTACGATGGCAGGCGCAAAGATGCGGAAGAAGGTCCATAGGAGAACCTGGATCCCGAGGATGCCACGCAGCCCTTCGAGGTAAGCAAGACGGTTGGTACGGGTTCGACCTTCATCGTTGCTCTTGTCCTCGGTAAAAGAGCTCGATGTCAAGCCGAAGATGTCGGCTGATTTGAGGACGAGGTATCCTCGCTCATCGTACGTGGCATCTGATGAGTCGAACTCGGACTTGAGTGCAGCAGCCTCAGACTTTTTCTTGTTGCTGCCAGAACGAGTGGCACCTTTGCGAACGGAGAGATCGCGTCTCACGGTTTCATTTGTCGCGTTGGCGCTGGAAGCGGGTGGTGAAGTCCAAGCTTCGTGTGGTGTGACGGAGAGCTTCTCCTCTGGGTCGAGATCAGGTAGGGAGAAGGCGGCTTGCTGCTGTTCGGGATCGGCTGCGGTGGTGGTGCGAGCGCTTTGTGCACGATGGATGGACTTGCGCGTGGCGGGCAGCGATGCACTGAGCGAATAGCGGGATGCCATGCTTGCGAGTGTCTACGGAGCAGGGTGTTGGCAGCGGTGCAGGTGGTTGAGAAGGTAGAATGGAAGGCGGAGGAGCCAACTTAGCCGATGGGAGCCTCGACGAGGACAACAGGTGGAGCAACGTACGAGAAAGTGTCGGGTCTAGTCACACCTCGCTGCAGCTTGGTAGAAACTCGAGGTCTACAGTCGTCCTTTCATCTGGAAAGCGTGCAGTGCGAGCTCATCCACGATCTGCACAGGAGTGGCCGACACACACTATCGAGCCTCGAGCCGGAGCTTGAGACTCTCTGACCCCAAGAAGGGGTCCGGGCAACTGCGCGCCATTTCACTGCTTCACCTATTCGCTGCATGGACTCTAGACGAAATCCTACCTGCATTAGCCTGGGCGTAGGTGGATCTGTTTGTGAATCTCTGCGTTGCGAAACAAGGAAACATCATCATGTCTCGTATGTGCATGCAATCCATGCGAACACCGAACACCGACGAGAAAGAAAAGGGGGGCAAGCCCAGGCAAGGGCGCGAATAGACGAGGCATGACGCAAGGTCGTCTCGGTACGCTGCGTATGGTTTAGGCATCACCTTGAACAAATTTCTGGGTGCGAGAGGCTATTTTAGAGCGCATAAATCAATCTGTCATGCGCCCACATGCCGCTTTCTTCGGGTCGCTACCACAGCGGTGTCGGCTTTGACTGTCGCTTGACGGTTCGTGTCCGTCTGGTCACGCAGATCCGGCTGTTCTTTGAAACTGATTTCAAGGCGATGTTCCAATTTCCGCTCGCATTCACGCTCCGCTTCGACCCTCGCGCATGCTCGTCCACGGTGCAAGTCTTGATCGGTGCACATCACCTCGCAGCTAGGGTGACACAGTGATTTCCTCGCAGAGCCTACAAAGTGAGGTGCACAATGGTGCGAGCGAGCGGGCTTCGGTAATCCTGCGTCCCCCCTCATGGGCTGGGAACTGAGATGTCCGTGGTGGCTTCGGAGCGATCAATGAGATCTTTGCAAACTTTCCTGCACAGCCAAGAGTCTTGACCAGTCCTGCCGAGGACAAGCAGAAAAGCTGTAGCGTCGAGCGGAAGCAGAAAGTTGCAATTGCGGGTGGCGATGTCGATCGCTAACGACTCACCGATACGTCTGTCTACACGCCAAGTCGGCGTCTAGATCTGAGCTGATCGCATCAACTATGCCGTAGCGGTTCGCCGAAGAATAACAAAGGTCAAGTGCTTGATGGGATCCTCAAGCACAGTGTGATTGCGAGTGGTGAACGTGATCGTCTACGCCTCCACCTGCAGTCAGTGTGTACAGCACAGGCTGCGCGTTATCCGAGGTCAAGGCTGCACAAAGGGTCTCACCACCTGCATCACCACAGCTCTTTTTCTCGATCTTCCTCGCCTCATCTGCAAGTCGCTATTGCCACCATCTCCTTTTCTTTCCCTCACATACACATCCCTAGCTCCATCTGGACGGATCGATACAGCTCTCCACTTAGCTTGAACCAGTACGAACTGCATTTGCTCCAGATTCCCAAAGCAAGCAAGCATTAGATTACACGCAAGTGGCAAGCATTGACAATGTCGGCCATGTTCGATCGCGGCGGTAGCGAGGCGGACTCGTATACCGACAAGCCCATGCTGCCCACTGCTCACACTCGCCGCCAACCGCCGCCACCACCAGCCTCGGCGCGCAAACGCAACAACAAAGCAGCTGCTTGGTGGAGCCGTCAATCAAGAATTCGCAAGATCGTCTTTGTCGCCCTGCTTGCCGTCGTGCTCCTTGCGCTCATCCTCGGCCTCGCACTGGGTCTAACCATCGGCAAACCAGCCAAAGAAGACTCCGACCCTTCTACCGACTATGTTCCCTCTACCATTTCTGGCGATCGAGCGTCTCTGCTCCAGCAAGGATATTGGTACACTGCGCCTAGCAACGGCACCAATTTCAACTGGACCTCCGCAAACCCCCAATTGGGCAACTACAGAGCGGATAGCCAAGGCGTCGACATCATCATCAACACCACCAATACATTACAGCCTATCGATGGTTTCGGTGGTGCCATGACCGACAGTTCCGCATTCTTGTTGAACCGGCTCAAGAGCAGGGAAGCTGGGCTGTACAACAGGCTGATGGATTTCATGTTCAACAACGCCACTGGTGTCGGTGTCACGCGCATCTCCATGGGAGCGAGCGACTTCTCGGTCGGACAAGAGTACAGCTACATCCCTCAACCACCTGCTTTCGCTCAAGCTGCCGATCAGCTCAGCGATCCCAATGCGCTCCTCAGCAGTTTCAGCATCCAATCTACCCAGACAACCCAAAACACCATCCCTGTTCTGGTGGATGCCTTCAAGCGCAATCCCAACCTCAAGGTCATTCTCAGCCCGTGGTCTCCACCCGCGTTCATGAAGTCGAACAACACCATGAACGGCGGAACGCTTCGATCCGGCTTCATCGGTGTGCTGGCGCAGTACTATGCCCAGACAGCAGCGGCCTTCACGCAAGCAGGCGTACGACCGTGGGCGATGACGCTTCAGAATGAACCCTCCCACATTGCTTCTTACCCTTCTATGGGTATGGATGCTTCGACCCAGTCGCAGCTCGCATCTGCGCTCAAGGCCGCACTTGCTCAGCGCGGGTTGGCGCAGGTCCAAGTGTGGGCTCACGACGACAACTACTCCGGCTACCAAACCGCTGCGGACATTGTCAATGCCAATGCGTCGAGCATCGATGCCGTCGCCTTCCACTGCTATCGTGGCGACCCCTCCCAGATCGCCTCGTTCGAAAGCGCTCTGCAGAACGGCGTAACGAAGACCGTCCACATGACCGAATGCACGGGTGTCAACCCTGCCAACCGATGGTCTGGAATCCAGGGCTGGTTGAACAACGTCTACTGGCCCGTCGGAAACGCCAACGCACGTTCCATCGTCCAATGGAACCTCGCACTAGACAACGGGTACGGTCCTCACCTCGAATCGTCCTACTGCAGCTCCTGCACCGGATCCCTCACGCTCTCGTCCGCGGACCATCCCGCCGACCCTTACGTCGAATTCAACGATCAGATCTACCTCACATCGCACTTCTCCGCCGCCACCACTGATCTGACCAACGTCGGCGGTGGACAGGCCGTCCGTGTCGCCGCTAGCCAGGGAACGCTCTACTCGCTCCAGAGGCAGGACTGGGACTGCCTGCGATGGCTAGCCTACGCTGCGCCGCTGAACGCGAGGAGCTTGCAGCCGCCGAGCAGCGCAAACGGAGCCACGGCGACAAGGAGGGTTGGCTTGGTGATGGCCAACACGTGTCAGCAGACCAAGAACGTTGTCATCTCGAGCGATGGCAGGAGGTCTACGCTGCAGGTCAGGCAGGGGTTGACGAGCTTTGTTTGGACCGCACCTTGAGCGGCAAAGATGGAATGAAGGAACATGTGATTCCTTGATATGCACTTCGAATTGGATGTGTTGTGAGCGTGAGCAAGTGAGTGAGTGAGTGTGCCTTTTGTGCGTTCGTAGCGTTCGCAGCTCCACTTTTCAGTCTCAACCAAGTCACACCTTTTACAGTCGCACAGAGAAAACAATGTCATCGACTCTTTTACGTCCGGCACACAACAACGATTCTCCCACCTGACTCAACTCCTCCTCATCCTCTTGGTCTTCCCACTACCGCCCGCCTCCCTCCTATCCAAATTCTCCTGGTTCCTCTTCCTCCTCGCCGCGTGGTTTTTCGTGTTTCTCCTCTCGTTCCTCCTCTTCTTCAACTCTGGATTCTGAATGCCCTGCATGAGCCTTTCCGTCTTCCTCCTTTCCCTCTTCTCCTGTTGCTTCCGCTTCAACGACGAGTACACCTTGTTGAATCGACCCGTGTCAACGAGCGTCTGCAGGTGGGATTGCACTTCGATGGCGAGACTCTTGAGGGCGTCACCGCCGTGCAGCGAGGTCTGCGTGGTGGAGGGGGATTCGACGAGGCGGATGATGGGCGAGAGGAGCAGCGGGAGTAGGTGCGGGAGCAGCGAGCGCGGGAGCGAGCTGGAGAGCGCCGCGAAGAAGCGCAGGATCGAGGAGGGCGAGATGGTCCAGTGCGGCGGTTTGGACTGCGCGAGTGAGAGGCGCGCCTGGAACGAGAGGCGAGAGACGAGCCAGCGGAGCGGATCGGTGGCGATGACGCTGGGGGCGTCGTTGGCCGTGTTCTCGGCGACAGAGTCGTCGGAATCGCTGTCAGAGCCAGAGCCCGCGTCATCATCGTCGTTCTCATCTCGTTCCTCGTCATCGTCCGAACGCTGCTCTTCATCGAATGCGTCCAGCTTCTGCTCCTCTTCCACCTCCACCTCGTCCAATTCCGGCCGGTCAACAGGGAACAGTGCAAAGCACCTTCCGATCCAAACCAAGTTCTTCACCACTTGCAATGCCAGCGTGTCGTCCAGCTTGTCCGATCGCAGCTGTAAGCACGATTTCTTGGCCGCATCCACCAACGCCGGAAGGCTGGCCACCGGATCCTGCTGCACGGCGACCATGTTCGGAGCCTGTGGCTCTCGCAATGCGTACAGTCCACCCAAGATGCGCGAGGACGAGATTCGGACCCACTTGTGCGGGAACAACAGCAATCGACGAACCGCGTCGTTGGCAGTGTTCGCTTTGCCGCCGTCGTTGTTGCCGATGATCGTGGTGATTCGACCAAGGGTCTGCAGCGAGTGGTAGGGGAGTTGCCAGTCGAGTTCGTCCTCGAAGGCCGACTCGGTGTTCTCGAGCGACTCGAGGTCGTCTGCGCACTCGACGAGCACTGTCGTCACTACATCCAATGCTCGATCTGCCCAACCCACGCTTCTCTCCGGCAAGGCTTCCATCAACAACCCGTAGATCTGCACTCCGACTCTGGCGAGTTCGGGTTTCGCCTCCTGCCTAGACCACGCATCCACCATCAAAGCCGTCTTGTCCTGCTGCGCCTCCGTCATCGCTCGCAGCAGCGTACGGATCAGCACCGCCGACTTTTCGCGACACTTGGAGCTGCTGTCGTTCGCCAACACCATCGCTAGAGCGACAAAGAGCATCTCGGCGTACTCCTGCAGCAGCTCGTCGCCGAACTTGTTGAGGATAGCGTCGGTGATCTCGAGCACGGAGAGACGGCCCGACTCGTGCTCGTAGGCGAGGTTCTTGGCGAGGAATCCGATCTGGTTGCGTAGACGCTGCTTGCCCTGCGGGTAGTCGAGCAGGAATTGGAGGTAGGTCGAACGGCAAAGGTCACGAACCGATTCGGATTGGTTGGTCACCATCATCTCGGCCACCTTGTCCATCGTGTCGTACACTTCGGACACCACCAGCCGTCGGCTGACGATGGCGCGCAATAGGCTGAACAGCGTGCTTTGCACCGCGGGCTCTTCGAGGTCGGGAGCGATGAGCTTGAGAAGACCGCTCAAGTGCGTCTCTGACAGCGATGCTTGCTTGCACTCTCGCAGGATGGCAGTGAGAGTGCGGAAGGCCGTCTGCACGATCTGCGACTGCGGCGAGCCGTACTGATGGATGATACCAAAGATCTGCTTGATGAACACGGGGAGTGCCTTGTCGACGCGCGAAACGGGCACCTTGACGATCTGAGCGATGGCACGCAGCGACAGCTCGAGCACCGACGACTCGTTGGCGTACGCTGCCTCACCGACAATGTTGACCATGCTGTTGAGCTTGGCCAGCACCTCTTCGTCCTGGAAATCGAACCTCTCTCGACGCAGCGAGGTGACGAGCATCTCGAGACCGAACGCGACAAACTTGTGCGCGTTGCGCGAGTAGTGGTCTTTGCCTGCCGTGGCTCCCTCTTCTACGTCCTTGCGCTTCAGGAAGACGGCGTAATTGTACAGCGTGGCCGACTTGTGGCGCGACGCAGCTTTGGTCTCGGCCTTGCGCGCCTGCAGGAACACAGCATCGCGACGGATGAGCGTGGCGCAGAGCGACAGGAATCGACCCGAATCAAACTGCGGATTGGCAGGGATGCCGCTCGAAATGCGACGCAGGCACTCTTCCACCTGACGTACCACCTTGGGGATCTCGGTCTGCTGCAGAATGTCTCGCAGCGGCTGAAGCACCTCGGCCATACGATTGGGCGCGACGATGCGAGAAACCTGCTCGAACGTGTCCATGCTCTTGCTGTGCTTGACTTCGCGGTAGGTCGTCTTGCTTCCGATGGACTCACGGTCGTCGGCTGTGGCGCCAAAGATGTCCTCGACGGCGATCTCGATGATTTCCTTTGCGCCCTGGTCGAGCGAGGTGAGCGGCTCGTCCTTGCTGGTCATCAAGTGTGTCAGCACCGAGTGCACAGTGAATGCAAGCACCGCTTTCTGCGGACCTCGCATCAGCGCGCGGCGCATCTCCCGCAGGAACTCGGGCAGGAAGCCTGCTCCCAACGACGACATGACTTTGCACGCCGTTTCGCGCGCAAGGTCGCGCGTGTCCTGTGCCTTGGCACGGAAGACGTTGGAAAGCGTCTTGAGGAGCTTGGAGATCTGCGTCTTTCGCTGCGTCGCGGGCAGACACTGGGCAACGCGGACCACACCGACAGCGATGGGCAGTCGAGTCGAGGCTTCCGTCTCGTCTTTCTGCTCGAGGTACGCCATGAGGCGGGGCAGCAGACGCGTGGTAACGGCGTCGAGGATCTTCATCCGTTCAGCTTCTTTATCACCCTTGCTCGTCTCCAGAGCAGCCCGAGCTTCCTCGTCCTGCTCCACGTCCTCTTCGGCCGCCTCGTCCTCGTCGTCTTCGATGACCGTCTCCTCTTCCATACCAAAGTGGAAGTTGTCGAGGATCGCCATGGCCGTTCGAACCATGATGCGTTCCGTCGATCCTTTCTTGTTTGCCAGGCGCAGGTACTGCCACAGGAGCGCATTGTAAGGACCCCACGTGAGCTGACCAGCCAGCAATCCGAGACTCGCGATGACCTCGGTGATAAGGTTGTGGTCGGTGGTTTCGACGGATCCTGGCATGAGGAAGTGGCCGAGGATGGGAGCGAGGATGTCGCTGATGGTGCGGCTCTTCATGCCACCTTTGGCCGCCTGCTCTGGTAGACGCTTGACGGCACGCGTCCTGCGGTGGAGCTGGATGTGGTGAATGTTGTTGAAGAAATTGACCTCGGCGTCACCTGCGCCGAGCAGGCCGGAGAGCTCCGCCATGACTTCGCACTTCGAAAGCTGTTCCGCAGCCGACGACATGACGGCCAGCACATCTCTTCGCACCAACTCGGAACGGTTGCGAACGGCCTTCTTGAGTCCAGGCCAGACGGCTTGCAGGAAGATCTGCATCAACTCGCCATCGCCATCTGCGCCCGAATCGCACTCGGCTGCCGTCTGGCTGATGAACTTGACCAGCGAGGCGTTGGCGTTGCTGCGCACCGACAGCTCCTCCGGATCCAAGATGAGGAACAACGAGTTGTGTACCAGCGGCTGCCATTCCTTTGCAGTGATCTTGGCCTCGCTCGCATTGATCGAGTCGAACGCCGTAAAAAGCTGGTCGAAATCACGCTCCTCCATCCTTCGCTTGCTAAGCGCGTTAAGCTGTGTGCACCACTTGGCTACACGAACCAGCTGCGGGTCCACCTCGGCGCACCGATTGAAGGCTGCGCTGAGCGCCTTGCGCGACTCTGCCGTGCGGAGCAGCGAGAAGAGTCCGCTGAGCATCGCAAAGGTGTTCTGGAACAGCTCGGAGCGCTGATCTCGGAACTCCGGAATGAGCGATAGGAGGCGCTCAAAGATGGCCAGCAGCTCGGTCTTGGTGCGCTCAGGCACGAGGAAGTTTGACTTCCGCATCATCGGGCTGAGAAGCTTGACGAGGTGGCTGGCGTCTTCGGCAGCGGTGACGAAGGGCGAGAGGGCTGCGAGGAGCGAGATCTGGCGTCGCAACAGGTCGTCTCGGCCCATGGCAGCGGCTGCGGGACCAACCGCAGACGATGCCTGCTCGATGAGCGGCGTGACGCTGTTGAGGAACACCGAAGCGTGCGGTCTTACGAGCAGATCGACGAGCGGCAGGTCGCAGCCATTTCTGTAGTCGACATCCGAGCTAACGTCCATCGCATCCTTTTCGACGGAAGCAGCAGCTAGCACGCGCTCCGCGATATCGAGCACAGATCCGATTGCCGACGGCTTGACGGTCGGCGCTGCAAGAATAGCAAATACGCTCGGCAAAAGATGGTTGTCGTACGTTCCAAGCAACGGAATGGTCTCGGGCTGGCCAGACCACACGTGGAAAAGTTCGAGCAATGCAGACGGGCTCTGGCTCGACTCCACCTTGAGCAGTTCGAGGCGTGGCGAGACGAGCTCGGCAAAGATCGCGGGGAGGAACCGGTCCCATCGGAAGATGGTCGCGGCTTGCGGCTTTCCGAAGAAGTCGCACAGACGCTTGTAACCAGACTGACGAACGAGACGCGCTCGAGAGGTGCGCGCTGTGAGTGGTTTGGTGGACATCTCCAAAGCTGCTGCGTCGGTGCTCTCAATGTGCACTTGGACGACAGCTCGATGAGCGTGGTAGGTAAGGTTGAGAGCTACCGAGATGAGACGATCCCAATAGGGAAGCAGGTTAGCGCCGATCTGTTTGACGACCTCGCCGAGCAGGGTAAGGTATCCAACCTGGCGCCGCGTCGAGGCCACCGGAGCCTTCGAGACGTATTCGAATTGATCGTTTTCGCCAGAAGGTGGGCGAGCCTGATCACCAAAGGGAGCGAGCATGAGATCGACGAGGGTGACAAGCTCTTCGGATCCGATGTCGGCCAGCGCACCAAGCACGGCTCCTCGTCGGGCCCTCTGACCGGCACCGCTGGTGCGATTGCCACGCCTCGACAGCAAAGCACCAAAGAGGAGACGAATGACCAAAGGCATCAGCACGGGTCGGTGATAAGGCTGCACGACGTTGGAATCCGAAGACAGGGTGAAGGAGGTGAGCGTGTCGCGGAAGTTGCCGGCCTCGAGCAGGTCCTTGAGTTTCGTGGCGTACGGCATCACCGCCTCGTCCTTCCAAGTCAAGATTGCCTCGAGCGCAAGCTTCTGGGCCGAAACCTCGGCGGTAGCGCACAGGCTGAGCAGGTAGTTGTGCAGCTCGCCGGAGCGCGACAGCGCTTTCGGGTTCTTGAGCTTGCCGAGTACCTCGAGGTACGCATTGAGCTGCGCTTGGCGATCCTTCTTGCCCAGCTTCATGGCGGTAGGATCAACAGCCGCGACCTCCTTGCCTTGATCTGCTGCATCTTCGTCCTCCTCGTCTTCGTCATCGTCGTCGAGAGGAGAAAGCAGCACGCCCGCCAAGTTGCGCGGTCCTGCGTCTCTGAAGAAGATGTGTACAAAGCGCGCATTGTTGCGCTCGACGATGGGTGCCACTTCGCACAGCAGCTTGAGGATCTGGTGGCGGTAGTTGACGAGGTCGAGTCTGGCATCCGGTTGCTGGACCTCGATGCAGGACTGAAGCGTGGTAGTAAGGCCGGCTTTGCTGCTACCTGTCGTGCCAGTAGACGAGCTGGTGCGAGCATGCTGAATGCACCTTCGCACAGCTTTGCGTCTCTCGAGCAAGATACCGTCCTGGAACTGCTTGTCGTCATCGACACCGGCAATGTCGCTTTCGTCGCGCAGAATACGATCAGGCTCCACCTCGTCTGCATCTGCAGTCTCCTCGAGATTTTCGTCATCCGCCCCCGCTGTGCCAGCGCTCGCATCTGTCCATACCTGGGGAACGGATCGCAGCTCGTTAGTATCGAGCTGTCGTCCCGATTCCAGCTCGGTGACAGCAATGCTGAAGAGCTTATTCTCGATGTCGCGCTGACCAGCTCCGACAATGTCGGAGATAGCCTTGATTGCTTCGGACCAGACCGGGCGCAGGTTGACCTTGAGGTTGGCGACGAGGTAGCGAAGGATCAAAGCATCTCGAGTAGCGAGTCGCTGAACGTCAGCTGTCTTGTAGACGGCAATCGCACGGCCGAGATCCCGACCGACGCTTCGCATGCGCACGTTGCGGTCGCGGATCGATTCGACTGTCAGAGGCGTACGCTCCACCTCGACGAGCTTGTCGATGAAAGTGCCGCTCTCGCCGAGCTCTTCCGCTTCGACGAGAGACAGGATCTCGAGCGCGGAGACTCGAATGACAGGGTCCGAAGACATGATCGCTTCCGACAGAGGCTCGAGCAGCTCCGTCAACTGCGGAAGCTGGGGTCGGAGACTGACAGGGCAAGAGGCGAGGTACTTGCTCAGGCCGCGCAGCACGCCGCGGTGCCAGGCAGCACATCGCACCACCTGCTCAACGGAAAGGTGCTCCTTGAGTCGCTTGGCCGTGGCTTTGAAATCCTTGCCGGAGCTGCGATCTTGCAGGATAGCTAGGCTCTCCAGAGCGAGTCCGGTCAGCAAGGCCGGGTTGACGATGCTCTGGTCGTAGCTGGAGCGGACCTGCTCTTGCGACGAAAAGTAGGCATCAGAGAGAAGGCCATCCAGCAGGAGCTGGCAGATCTTGCTGAAGAAGTTGACCGAAGAAGCTGTCTTGGGGACTGTCGAAAGGCGCAACGCAGGTACGAGAGGTTCAAGAAGATGCTGCTGGGAAAGTCCATCCGCGCGATGTTTGGCCTTCGATCCGTTCGATTTTGCTTTGCTGGGACAGAACAGCGTGACGAGTTTTGCCAGACGCTCTTCGATCTCTGTAGCCACGTGCTTGGACCAACGAACGAGCACGGGGCTCGGGTGCGAGACACGCAGCTCGTCGAGCTGGCCGAGCTTCTCGAGCCGTTCGAGGAGCGTGAAGGCGTGGTCCTTGCTCTGCGCAGAGGTGGAGTTGGAAGCAACAGTCTCTGCGGTCGAAGTGAGCACGGTCGGGAGAACGAACTGCTTGAAACCGCTCCATTCGAGGGTGGGCTGTGCCAGCGCCTCGACCAGACCGCTGAACTCGGGCCAGAGGGTCTGTCGCTGTTCAATGGTGTCCTTCGACTTGGACACCGAAGGTACAGGCGCGACTGAATCGACGAGCTTGATTCCCGGACCAAGGAGGTCCTGGAGCCGACCGATGGGGATGGACAAGGCCAGCAACGAGACGAGCGAGATGCGCAGTGCAGCTCCGGTCGAAGTTTGCACGCTGGCGTCGAGGAAAAGAGGCGAGAGACGCAAAAGCAGTGCAAACAGCGCCGGCTTGACTTGGTCGGCAACACGAGTACCTTTCCTGACGCCTACAGCACATGCTAGCCATTCTACAGACTCTGTGAGGTGCGCTACGCCCCGAGGGTTGTTGGTCTCCAGCGAAAGGCGCGACTGGTTGTCGTCGACGAGGCTGGACAGGTACTCGAGGACGGGAGCAAACTGAACCGCATTGCAGTGGTGGACGAGCGCAGTGATGGTAAGGCGGCCGAGGATGAGCCGCGCCAGATGCCGATACTTGTCGACCGATGCGTTCGGCGTCGATCGGCCGGGACGAAGAAGGACGCTCAAGAGCGAGATGCACTTTGAATGCAGGCGGCGATCGAGCGACTTGCAGCCTTCGACCCAGATGCCGGCGATACCGCGGGAGAAGCGGACCGAGGGCCGACGGGAGGGTTGGTGTCGGTAGCGGACGTGTTGATCCTCATCGTTGAGCATGGTCTCCAGATCGGAGAGGATGAGCGATGTGATGCTCTGCAACTGGCGACCTCTTGTCTTGCGTAGAAGGTGAGCGAAAGCTTCGGACGCGAAACGCCTGGTGAAGGGAGAGATGCGCTGAACGTTGGAATTGACGAAACCAACGCTGCGTTTAGCGGTAATCTCTGCGTCTTCCTGATCTGAGATGGCCGAGGCAGCACCATCGGCGTCATCGTCTTCATCCTCCTCCTCATTCTCATCCTGCACTGACGCAATCGGCTGTTGAGCGACGATCGGCTTCCACCCAAGGTACGTGCGGATGACGGTCCACGTCTCGACGAGCCGACGAGTTCTATCGTCCACGTCTTCCACTCCCGCCTCTTCGTCGTCCATCTCGACATCGAGAGCATTCTCATCAGCATCATCGTCTTGGTCAGATCGTGTCGCCAACTCTTTGCTGACAACGAAAGGGCTGACTGCCTTCAGAATCCACGCGGCCGACTGGAACCCACGTTCGACCAAGTTCGCAGCTGCACGTTCATCTCCGTTGGTGGTATCTTTTGTCGTGGTGGTGATGTGTATCGCGCTCGTGAGCATTGGAGGGTAGATGGGGAGGAACTCGGATCCCAGATCCTTGGCGAGTCGGGGCAGGAGGTCGAGCGCCGCATCCCAGGCAAGCCATTGACTGCGTGTAGACAGTGTCGTATTAAGGACGGACGAGATAGTGGCACGGTGATGTATGAGCTGCGGCAGCGACTGTGTGATGGGGTTGAGTTGGCGGTAAAGGTCGTGGAATGCATTGGAGAGGTTGAGATCGGTCCACGCCTGCAGTGCTTGTGAGAATGAGGTCCTTGCGTGGAGTGAAGAGGACGCTTCCTCATCGTCGTTGGCGACCAGCGTGTCATCGTCGTCCAAACGCGCTGTTGAAGTGCTGCTTGTAGAGGGCGCAGCAGCTGCTAATGGAGCATCGAGTCCGGAGTATGGTCGGTAGCTTGTGCTGGCACTGATGGCAGCCGGTGCGAGGTGAACATCCTGAAGTCGTTGGTTGAAGGAAGCATATCTGAAACGGCTCGAGATCTTTTCCGCTTTCTTGTTGATCTGCTTCAGCGTCTTCTGCTTTGCGCTGGCCTGGCTGCCGCTAGCATCGAGGTGGACGCGGCGGACCTTGGAAGCTTTGCTGTCGGCCTTCCTTCGTTGCTGCTCTCGAGAGAGCTTCTTGCCCGCCTTGCTAGGTTGAGCAGATGTGGACGCCATCGTGAAAGCGACTGCGCGGAAGCAACCGAGGGATGTCGATGGTGATGACGATGATGGTATGGGTTTGGTGGCTCAGTCCAGAAGAAAGTTGAGCTCCGTTCGGTGGTTCCACACTTTTTTTCTCAGCGCGGCGTGGCCAAAGGGAAATTTTTGTGCTTCTGCTGTTGCAAAAAATTGCCCGACTTCCGAAGCGACAAAATTTCAAACACGCCGGTTTCTCAGGGTCTCCTGCTGCAAAAATCACAGTCCTCCACAACGTTGACACTCTAACACTTCCAAATCTTTTCCAGCCTCTCTTCAACATCGTCGGCAGACAGCGACGTCGCTGCACCCAAGGAGCACGGCCTTCGCATTCGATCCACGCAACAACGCAGAGGTGCAAGAAGTTGACTCAAGAACATGAAGAAAGGAGCGATGAGGTGCTGACTGCGTGTCAAACTAGAGCCCGGCGAGTAAGTTGGCAGCGGCATTCGGCTCGCCTCCCAGTGGAGCCCATGGATTGGGCTGGTGAGGCGCCGGTGCTTGCTGCTGCTCTCCTCCCTGCTGCTGCTGTGGCTCGGCCTGATCCCCCCTCTCCCTCCGCAGCTGCAGCTGCACATTCTGCCTCACGTATGCCAGATAGGCCAGCCCACCGAGCGCCAAGATCAGCAGTCCGGACTCGATCATATCGTCCAGATCCTCATCCGTCTCGCCCTCCCTCGCTCCCCACGTCTCCGGCTCGTTAGGATCGCCGTATCCGCCACCTTGCTCTTCGGACAGCCTCTGCTGCTGCTTCTGCTTCTCCTCTGCTTGCTTGCGCTTGGCCGCCGCCTGCTCTTCCGCTTCCGTGTAGGCCGTGTTGCCCCGATCCGAGGACGCGTAGGACGACAGAAGCGAGATGGCGCTTTGACTCGACTCGGATCGGAAGACGGCGGCCCACACGGCGCGAACGTGCAATTTGACCAAACTCAACGCTACAGGCAGATACGCTTCCACGTTGGTCTCCACCGCAGTATCGTAGTACCGCTTGGCTAGGTGAAAGTCCTGCCTTGCGACCCCGATGCCGTTCTCGTACATCCAGCCCAAGTTCCAATAGGCTAGAGCCGAAACGCCTTTGTCAGCAGCGGCGGAATAGCATGCGGCGGCCTTCTCGTAAGCTGGCTGCCCTGGATTGCCCGTGCCGATGCCGTGAAAGTAGTAGTCGCCCATCTTGACCATCGCATCCACATTGTTTTGCGCAGCCGACCGTGTCCACTGCACCAGAGCGAGACGGTCGGTGAAGTTGCTCTGCTGCTTGCTGTCGCTCGACAGATCCAAGATGCGTGTCCGAGAGTTGGCTCGGTCGAGCATGTACGCGACGTTGTTCTGTGCCGATTCGTAGCCCAGTTCGCCCGCGAGCGCCCAGCCGAGCAATGCCTTTTGTCGTTCGCCGCGCCGCCACGCATGCTCCGCCTTGTGCGAGATCCGTGTCGACCAGTCGCCGTTCTCGGCGGTGTGCTTGAACCCAGAGAGCGCTTTGCGGCAGCTGTCGCTCGACTTCTCCTTGCGTGCCACTTGGGCGTTGACTTTGGCCAGCAGGTAGACTGCCTCGAAGCGGCTGTCACCCATGGAAGCGATGGTCAGACACTTGGCCGCGCTGTCGAGGTCGCCCATCTCCAGGTGGATCTTGCCCAGGTTGACGTTGGCCCCGCTGTGTCGTGCTTTTGCTGCCGCCTCAAAGTAGCTAGTCGCTGATCCCATGTCGACGGCGACTCCCAAGCCGTCGCGCAGCATCACACCGAGACCGTTGTACGACTCGGCATCGCCCGTGTCTTTGCCGCGCGAGAACCAGACCCAGGCGCGCGAGAAGTCTTGCTGGACACCTTCGCCACGCAGATACATCTGTCCGATCATGCCAGCTGCCGAGCCGGCGTGCAACAGCACACTGTCTTCCACCTTGAGCTGCACATCTTCTCCCCTTTCTCCCTGCTTGGCGGTGTAGCCCGTGGGTCCGCCGCGACCCACTTCGCCTGCCTTGCGAGGCCACACCTCTTTGGCGACCCGCAGAAGCCATGTCAAGGAACGTCGATAGTCACGGCGCACGGCACCTGCGGCTTCGCTCGACGAGTAGATGCTTCCGTGGTAGTAGACTTGCGCCATGAAGAGCGAGCTCCTCACGTCGCCGTGCTCGGCAAGATAAATGTGGTACTCGAGCAGATCTTCGAGTGCCGACGGGTCGCGGACTGAGCCAGGTTGACGGTTCAGCGCGGCTTGCACGGCCGGGTTGAAGACGGCGTAGCCGGTTGAAGCCACCGAGGCACCGGGACCGTAAGCACCGCCATCGAGATCCGAGATACGGATCTTGGTGTACGGCAACGTCAGCCCGCCCGGTGGACCTGCCTGGAAGCGCTTGTAAGTGTCTTCGGCCGCCCGTTCGTAGAGCTCGAGTGCGTTCCAGCACGATGGCGCCACGCCGATGCCGGCTTTGTACCGAAAGCCGAGCGCCATCTGCGACGGGGCATGTCCGGCATTGGCAGCGATCGTGTAGTGCAGCACTGCTTTGGCTTGTCGTTGTCCATCGTCGCGCTTGAGCTGTGCAAAGAGCTCGCGTCGCTTCTCCCAGGCCGAACGAACTTCATCGAATGTTGGCGACGAGGTGAACGAAGACCACGTGCTGACTTCGTTTGGCAAAGGCGTCCAGTCGCCTCGAACGGTCGATTCCCAGCCGCTGCCTTCCAGAAAGGCGAGTCGAGCGTGGGCACTGGCGTTGCCTGCCATTGAATTGCCGAGGTGATCGCGACCGAGATCGGCGAGCCGTTGATAACATGCGCGAGCGCGTGCAAGATCGGGTCGACTTCCGTGCGTGCCCCACAGCGAGTGTTCTCCTAGCACCCACAGAGCGTCGGCCAAAGCTGGCGAGCCATCTCCGTTCGACGTGGTTGTTGTAGACTCGCCGTTGAAAGCATCTCGAAGCAGGCTCGAGCCGTTGCGGGCTGCTGAAGAGTATGCTTCGTATGTCCAGTCGACCGATTCGCGTCCCCACCCCGCCCTTGTGAGCAGCGAAACAGCCCTGCTCATATCCCCCTCGTCTCCTTCTGCTGAATCTGTGACTTCCGCCGATGCCAGCACAAGATCGCTGTTCCCGTCGATCTTGGTGTTGAAAGGCCCAAACATGACGCTCTCCCAGATACTATCCGTCGGAGTGACCGGTGATGCTTCCTCCGGCAGCCTCTCCCAATCTGGCCAAAGCGGTAGAGGACTAGCGCTAGGCCATGACGATTCATACTGCGATGCTCCGATGGGAGGCCCCTGCCACTGATGAGCGCCGTCACTCTTGGGCAGGCTGACTCCTCTGATTTTTGCGCTTATGGCCGCATCCGACGCAGCAGCCTCCTGAGCGGTATCGAGTGCATCGCGGAGCCAGCGACGTATCGCTCGTGCAGCGTGCACGAGATTTGCTCCTTTGGAAGCTTTCAGTGGCAAGCTGCTGTCGCTTTGCTGTGATGTCGATGAAGCAACCCGTGGCGTGGATTTGCTGCTCTTGTTGCGGGAAGACTTGGTTTTGATGGTGGTGCGGAGCAGACGAAGAGCTTCTTCGTACGCTTCGTGCGGCGTCAGCTCTGCCGCTGCTGTGGTGGACGCAGACGGTACGTTGAAAGGCGCCTGCTCGGCGTGCGCTGTGCTGACCACGGACAGCAAGCAGCTCGCAACCAGCAGAACCAGCAGCGTCTTGCAGCGGCGTTGCGAACGGCGTCCAGAGGATGCCATGGTTGGGAAGGCAGTCAGCGCCTGTCGGACGCCTTGCGAGCGCTCGAGGCTAGGTAGGGCAGTGGTGACCGGGAGCTTGTTCCGGATGATGGTGGTAGTCTTGGCAGGGCGTGCAGCAGCTCGAACTTGCAAGGGTCTGTGCTCAGTAGGCGAGCTGCGTTGCGTTGCGTGTCCTCCACGTCAAAGCTTCCGCTCGATTTTTCTGCGAGTGTGAGCCTGTATGGTCGGGTCGATCTCACATCCTAAAATCTCACCAAAAAATCATCGCCCAGCATCATCACCATGCTCACTCTTCCTCACGATGCCTTCGTACAGCAGAACCACATCCGTCAAACCCGACCGTACAAAGAAAGAACGTTCTGATTTATTACAGGTGCATGCAGATGAGAAACAATGAGAGTTATCACGACAAACCAACTTTTATCAATACTGAAAGCCTCTAGACCTTCCTTCCGAGACCGCCAGAGGTAGCTCTCCAGACAGCCTTGGAGAACAGTCCACCCCAAGAATCAAAGGTAGCGGTGAAACATTCTGCCACCACCATCAGCAGCGCATACGATGTCACGAACACCACCAAGATCGTCGCCCAGTAAGGCACGCCTGCGGTCAGCAACGCCAAACAGAGCCACGCCGACCAAGTCCAGAACACGACACCGTGCATCAAGAATACGGCGAACGCATGTCTTCCGATGTACGACCAGACACGCAATCGGAAGAAAGCACGAAGCAGATCCGACAGATCGGTGAGGAGGAAGAAGCTGAACGAGAGGACCCACGAGGCTACACGCGGGTCGGTGTAGCTGATTCCCGGGTCGTCGGTCCAGGCGTGAGGCTCTTCCGCAATCCAGTCTGGGTGGATTCGGTGCTCCAAATTGTCGAAGCCGTTTCCGGGAGCACCCGGGATCTGGGAGAGGTACTGCTGAGCCCATGCTGCTAGGAAGAGCGCCCAGGCAAGCACCTGGCCGTGAACACGAAGCTTGTCGACCGACTCTGGCAGGCGCAAACCGCGACGGACAAAGCCGGGAACCAGAGGAATACCCTTAGCAGCTTTGGCCTGGTAGTTGAGCTTGCTGTCCAAGTCAGCTACAACGAGGCCGGCCATGAAGAAGAGGTCCCACGTCTGAGCATACCAGCTGAGCCCGATGCAGAGACCGTAGAAGGTGAAGCGCTTGTACGCGTTCTTGATCTCGTGCGCCACCAGTGCACAGATCATGCACGTCCACGTGCCCTGCACAATCACAGGGATCGTCCACAGCACACCGGTCGCGTACCCCGTCACCAAAGCGGGCTGTACCGGAGGAGCGGACCACCAGAGCGAAATGAAGGCATCCAAAAACACCATGACGTTGTCAAAGTTGCCCCAGTACGACCATGTCGACCACGTCCTCGATGCCAGACGCGGTACCCACTTGAACGCTCCTACATCCATCAGGAAGTAGTTAGCCAGAACAGCGCCGAGCACGGGCAACGCCAGACGAGGAATACGTCGCACCGACGCATCAGCCATGCTCTGCAGCCCGCCCTTGAGCAAGTATCGGTTGGTCATGGTTCGCGATGGCAGCATGAAAAAGATACCCAACTTGAGACCCTGATTGACCACGATCGGCCCGATGAGCGAGCGGAACCAGAACTCGAACTTGGGGTAGTGGTGAGGCGCTGCAGGCGTGGTGATACCGAAGTAGTAGATCAGCATAAAGTGGTGGAACGAGACCAAGAAGCACGCGAACCCTCGCATGCCATCCAGGTAGTCGATCCTGCGAGCTCCGGTCGAGGTGACCTGCGTTGTGCCTTTGATGAAGAGCAGATTGTTGGTGCGGCGCAACACGGCTTGCCAGAATGTCTCGGGTGGCTTGACACCCGCACCGGTGCCGTCTCGTGCTTTGCGTCCGTCGGCATCACCGAGTTCGGGCTTGGCGAGAGCGCCAACCTCACCGTCAGCACCGTTGAGGTCTCGCTGCTGCCACTGGATGATCTGTGGCCGCTGGAAAGCTTCGTGGGTTTCGGAACCGTAGCTCTCAAACACGGAGCCGGGTCGGGAGGTACCTTCGTGTTGGAAGTGGAACATGGACGAAGGAGCTCCCATGCTGAGCATGGTCGAGAAAGAGCCATTTCGTGGTCGCATCGCAAGCAGCTGGTCGTGTGTCAAGTGCTCTGATTGGCCATGAATCGATGCAGCAGATGGAATGCCGAGGTGAGAGGAGCTGGGTCGACGGCTGTGTGTCAAGCCAGGATCATCAGTCAATTCGACCTCGTCGTAGTCGCCTTTGAGGCTGGTAGCTTCGCTGGTAGACTCTTTGTGACCCGACAAGCTGTGCGAGTAGGCCGAAGAGGAAGTTTCGCCGACAAAGCCAGGGGCGATGTACGGCAGCGCTTGCGTTCGATTCATGTCCTCGAACCATCTGGGAGTCTCAGAGCCGCTGCCGCCATAAGCTGGCGATTCGTGTCCGAGCAGAGGATTGGATGGTCGCCTCAAGCTGGCGGTCGAGCCATTGGCGTAGCGGGGCAACACAGCAGGCCGCTTCTCTCCAAAGTCGAGGTGACTATTGTAGGAGCGCGCATCGGAACTGTCGTCATCCGAGTCACCTCCGTCATCGGAATCGCTGTCAGAACCATAGACGAGGTCGGTAGCGGTCCAGAGCTCCACCGGCTTGGTAGCTGTAGCGAGGGTGGGGCTCATGGTGCCTGAAGTAGCCACCGTGGTGTTGCCAAATAAGTGAGCCTTATCGTCGATGCTGTCGTTCTCCAGAGGAGTAAGTGGCGGGGTACTGCCGCTTAGCTCGGAGCCTTTGGAAGCGAGCGACGCGATGAAGGGCGGCGCCACGAAGCCGTCGACGTGGGTTCCGCTGGAAGAAGGCGATACAGAGTTGTGATCTTTTTCCTGAGCAGCGATGGCGGCGGCACGCTTCTTGTCGTTGGACTTGACGGATCGCACGACGAGACCGTGCGCGATGGTCATGATGAAGATGCCCGCAGCAACCGAGATGGCAATGACGCCGTACATGGGAGGTTTGAAGGACGATTTGGCTGGTTTGATCTTGTTCAACGCGGTCAGATCGAAAGGCGTACTGTCGCGGAGGGCAAAGTCGTCGGTGCTGCAGATGGCATCGACGTTTGCACTCGCGGCCAAGCATTGCGAGTCGAACTGCGACTTGCGCACTTCGAGACTCGAGTTGAAGAAGAAGCGCGTGTAGCGGACGTGGGTTAGCAGAGGCTGGCGGAGTGGTGGCCCCTGGGATTGCGAGTCTTCACCGTTGGACCAAGCTTGGAAGCTGATAGGAACGGGTGTCATGGGCAGATGCGATGCGTTGACGCCCTTTTCGACCGAGTGAAAATTGGCGCTCTCGTTGGTGGCGGCGTTGCGCCACTGAAGCAGCTCGGGCTGCCAGTCGAAGCGATGCTCTAGGTAGTCGGTGGAGCCCAGAGAAGAGATGTTGAGCTTGACAGGTTGGTCGCCATGTCCGTAAGCGGACCAGGACCACTGAAGTGTGGAGTTGCGAGGATCATCCGAGGTGAAGAATCCGATGTCGACCGTCTCGGAATCGTTGTAGGCGGCGCTAAATTTGAAGGCGGCACCGGCGCCGAGGGAGACGGCGGGCTCGATCTGTGCACGGAAGGAGCCGTAGAGGATGTCGCGTCTGCGAGTGACGATCTGGGAGCCGTTGACGATGCGATGCACGGGCTCTGCAGGCGAGACCTGAAGCGCCAAGGCATTGTCGTTGACAAAGGTGTTGTTGTAGCTGACAGCGCTGCGGTAGGTTGCGCCAAAGCTGTTTTCCCATTTGTTGATGAGATTACCTACGAGCGACCACGATTGCTGGCCATCGCCGGTCTCGCCTGGCGTAGCTCCACCGTAGATGCGCGGCGATCGTTGCGGCTGGGTGACGACATCGTTGAGACCGGTCTCGTTGAAATAGGTGATGGAGCGATCGGTCCAGAGGGCGTTTGTGAGTGGGTCGCGATATCCGCACTCGCAAGCTGCCTGCGCGAACGAGAGGCAAGAGGCGGCGAAAACGAGGGTGGAAGCGATCAGCCGTGCCGGCGCGATCTGCGGAGGAGCGACCATGTCGAACTGCGGCGGCAATACGTTGACGTTGGTGCAGCCGAGCCAGGAAACGTCGATGGGTGCGTCCGTTTAAACGGTCATCTGCTTGAGTGTGCACGTAGAGAAGGTAGTAAGGTAGCACGAGACGAAGGAGTGTTGGCAATTGTGGTGGAAGAGGATGACAAAAGAGCGTGATGCTTGTTCCAAGCTGACGGCGAGGAGGGAAGCTGTACAACAAACGAAGTACGAAGTGGAGTGCCAAGGTGGAACAGAGCTGTTGCGATGCGATTCCGCTACCACAGACAAGAAGAAAGCCGAATGCAGGATACGCAGAGGTGAGAACGGGAGATTGCAGGGTGGCTCAGAGTGCACCACGAGCAGTTGCGAGACTTGAACAAGCTCAAGCTCTCGAAACGAACAAGTGCGAGAGGGGCACGAGTCGGCCACTTGGTGAATTCGAAGACTCTCACTCGGCGCTCGACAGTAAATGTCTAAGGGGCCTAGGCTGTGAACGTTTAGGAAGCAGCTGCAAGACCGCCATCATCGTGGACATCTCATCCAGCATTTCGAGGGTTGACACACGGCGTTCGAGCGCGAAACAAGACGATTGCGAGCTAGAGAAGGTGCGGACGGCGAGATGAATGTGATTTTTTTCAAGAACGGGGCTGTGATCCAAGAACGCCTTGCAGGGTGTCTGCATGATTTGGCCGCTGCCGTGGGGCTCTGTTAGCGAGACAAGCTCGGATGAGTGAACCTTGCTTTGTTTGCGGCATCGTTCGACGACTCGGTACATCAATCAGCCGGATGCAAGCCACTCTCTGCTGCGCTGTACCGCGTACCGTACACTGAGCTACTCTCTGACAGCCGAGCTGGATAGGCGCAGACGCTTCGCCAGAGTGATTTACGCAATTAGTCTCGGCTGCCCTTTTCCGCTCTAGCGCCTTAATTAGAAATCCGTTTTTGCGTCAACTTCAGCTACGTCGACGCTTCGACTCATAGAACAACCCTACGCGACCCGTGGCAGGCCTCAGAGCAGTAGCGTACAGTTGCTGCGTCGGTGCTTCGCAAAATCTGACGCACACCACGTACAGCTACAAGGCAACTTCTGGGTGATGACGTTCAAGCGAAGCATTGGCGAGACACAAGCGTGATGCTGCGTCGCCTGCCACGCTGTCGACGTCGGCAACCAGGTCGCTGTAAGTGCCGATGACCTTGATCTTGCTGCGCATACTTAGACATACATGAGGCCACCGCATCTGCATCTACGTCTCGGTGGTTTCAGAGTCCACGACGCCCACAGATTGCCGTGTTTGTTGTCTTTGACGGTGTTTCGGAAGCCTTGGCTGACGCCGCTGCCAACACCGAAGTCCGAAGTGATTTCGGACCGCGGTTTGACCTACCACCTATGGTGCTGCCGGCCCCCTTTTCACAGAAAGTTTTGTCTCTTGTCTGTACCATCGTAGTACCTTGGAGGTAACGCTTTGATTGCTCCGCTGCGGTGGCACGGAGCTAAGACCGCCCTGTGCAACGCGAACAAAGTTTCGAGTGTCGATGAGAGAGTTGCTTCCATGTCGCGCGAGTCCCTTGCGCCCCTTGCGCCGAAGGCCGTCCCCCCTCAGAGTGAACAGCCGCTCGCCTCCCTCTGCCATTGCAGCTCGCTCTGATCTTGCCTTGAGAGCCGTGTTGAAGCCGCTCCACTTTGCCAATCTGAAGATCATTCGTCCTTCTCCAGACAAGATCAATCCTCCTAGGACAACATCATCTTCCTCAACGTCACGTCCCTCGATAGGAAATCCCGATTGTCGTCGGTCACACCGACTCAAGTCTCCCATCTTCCCATCTCGTCTTTGAATGCTCGCTACTCGACAGTACACCCCGCTTCAGAAGGATACTCCAAGCCCGTCGAAAGCGTCGACGCAAGCTCTTTGACCATCATGGTTGCACAAGGTGGCTTGTCCGCATCGCTGGGCAACGTCTCTGCCTTTGTCTACAGCTGGACACCCATGATCCTGCTCATGAGCTACTCGGTCTTCAGCTTCTTCTTCTACATTGTCATCCCACCCACCCTTCAAGCCGTTCTCTTCTACATCTACCTCGTTCTCCAAACGCTCACCGCTCTCTCCGTATCCACCGAGGCCATGCAGTCCATCCGACCCTCGGTCAAGGCGAGACGGGCGTTCCGCAAAGCAGCCAAGGAAGGCTGGGGCGAGACCGAGAACGGCAAGCCCTGGCCCAAGATCGACATTGTCCTCGTCGCCTACCTCCCCAACGAGCAGGATATCATCATGCGACAGTTACGTTACGCTCTTCGCGAGATCAACTACCCCAGCGACAGGGTCATGATCAACCTCGTCTACAACACGCCCAAACCCATCGAGCCGGTCGAAACCGAACTGCGCGAGCTGGAACAGGCACATGCCAGATTGCGCGTCATCAAAGTTCCCAACTCGACCTCGAAAGCCGACAACATCAACCACTACCTCTCGTTGGATTTCAAGTGCGATATCATCACGCTCTACGATACCGACCACTATCCGGATCCGAATGCGTTGAGATGGGTGGCGCGTAGGTTCTTGCAAGGCGGTATCGATATCATCCAGGGACGTTGTTGCGTGTACAACTACGACGAGACTTGGTTGACGCGTTTGGTGGCGGCAGAGTTCGATATGATTTACGGCGTGATGCATAGCGGAAGAGCAGAGGTGCAGGGGTACGGCTTTTTTGGTGGATCCAACGGGCATTGGAATGCGAGTCTGCTCAAGACGTTGGGTATGCAGAAGCACATGTTGACCGAGGACATTGACAGTTCCATGCGGGCTATCATCTCGGGTGCACGGATCGAGTACGATCTCAAGGTGCTCTCCTACGAGCTCGCTCCAGAAACGCTTCCGGCTCTGCTCAAGCAGCGCCTCAGGTGGGCTCAGGGGTGGACGCAGGTGGCCTTCCGACACGCCATCCCCGCCATCCGTCGAGGCGCCTACAGCGACAACAACGGCATTCGTTCCCGAATCGGTCTCTTCCAGCTTCTCGTCTATCGTGAGATCTTCTTCCACATTCAGCTCGGCTTGTTCTTCATCCTGCTATCGGGCTTGATCCTCAGCTTACCCCACGAAGGTCTCAAGGCGTGGTTCAACAATTTTGGCGGCTTCAGCCTCGCCATGTGGATTTTGGGGTTGAATCTCATCTGTCTCTTTGTGACGATGTGCATCACACTCAAGAACCGCTCCAACTTTACCCACCCGATGGGCATTATCCTGTTTGGACTCCTCTCGCCGTTCTACTACACGGCGGTCAGCTTTTCTTCCGTCTTTTGCCACTTTAGGGAGTTTGTCAAGTTCGAAAAGTGGAACCCGACGGCTAGAGGTGCCAAGAAGCCAGCAGCATAGTCGAATCTTGTACTCTTTCGTTTCGTTGGTAGTTTAATCACAGACAGTCTTTATCGCGGTGAATGTATTGCGTGGCGAAGCGCAATCTGGTCGGATAGCAGCATCCGACAGCCAGCGCAGAAGCAAGAGAGGAGCTCTGAACTGTGATGGTCTTGCACCACGGTGATCCGCTGCAAGGCTTTTTTGAAGGGTATAGATAAGTCTGCATTAGCATGAATGGTCGCAAACACAAAGCAAGACAAGCAAACAAAGAGAGAAAAAAGTCCGTTGGTACCACATCTCACCTCTGATCATGCTTCGCCCAGAATTGCCTCGTTGAGCTCTACCAATGGAGCCAGTTCTCTCGGTTCTACCAATTGGAACTCGGTGATGAAGAGCAAAAAGTGACGGTAGGAAGTGTTGAGATGCGCCTCGATGCTGAGTGCGCACACCTGCGCAAAGTGATGGTTGTAGATGTGAGCGTAGACCCTAAAGAGCCTCCTCAAAATGGACTTGACGACGGCGGGGAAGTTCTTGGGGAAAGGAACGCCGATCTTGCTCGGGAACAGGTTCTCATCGTCCAGCTGAGACTGAACCCAGCTCATCAGGCAATCGACATACTCCGGTGCCGACATCTTGGTGGGACGACGGTAGAGCGCAGAGTTGGCATCTTGCCAGTGGTACTCGAATCGTGGACCTGCGCACATGACGGGACATTCGGTGGGTGTGCAGAACTCGGTGATGGTTCCGTAGAGCATGTTGACGTGGTTGAAAAAGTCGACCGTGTTGACGGCTAGCCATTCGTTGAGATCCTCGCCTTCGGGGAGGATGACGGCGAGTCGGAGGTTGCCGCTGCCGAGTGTCGCTTCGGCATATCGCTTGAGCTGGTACTGTTTGGTACCCTCGGGAATGTTGCGCTTTGGCTTGAAGGTGCGCGTTTTCGAGAGGCCGAAGAAGGACGACATGGTGGACAGAGTTGCTGCGTTTCGAAAGTACAATCCAGGGTTTTTCGACTTGGCAGATTATTCAGAGGTATCTACGGCGAGATGTCTGCTTGGACCGCAGTAGATGCTTCGTGCAAGCGAGTGAGCGATGCGATGTGGTAGGAAATGCGCGGATGAGGCTGTCGACGGTTGGTAGGTAGGTGGTGAAGATCCAACAATGTTGGAACTCAGGGACGAATTTGGTGGCTCAGGGGTGTCGCATGTTGGACCGCCAACGCGTGTTTTGGCGGAGATCAACACTCGACTGACCCTGCATGAGAGCAGCCTCTCGCTCCTCGACGACAACAACACACGCGCACCAAAAACCTGTTTCTGTTACATCCTGATTGCACATCTTTTCCGAAAAACGATTTTATCCGCCCGAAATCGGCGCGTAGCTCCTGCGAGTGCAGTGGATCGGGTGCGTGGCTGCAACTCGACTTCCCGCGTCCGAAGCGCATGGCAGCCTGGCACAGCCAAGAGAAAGTGACACTTCCACGCTGCACTGTATCTCGTGCCGGCTGTGAGTCGAGGGCGCTCCGTGTTGGCCTCTGCACCGCCGATAATTCTTCTTCGGCACGTTTTCGGAGCGTCGTGTTGGCCTTATTGCGCCGCGGCTCACCAGCTTGCCTTTACTGTCATCATCCTCGTCACCCGCATTTGCCTCTTGGACATCCGCAAAGCCTCAGACGCTTTCGCAGCCTCGAGCACCATGGCGGAACACGAGTCAAACGGCGCAGAGGCGTCGACCAAACCTCATCTCCCATCTGGCGGCGCCAATCTTGTAGACCCACCAGCTTCCACGAACGCGGCTGAGAGTCTCGAAGAGCAAGCTATCACCGACGACCAGACCTCCTCTGTACCGACAGTCGCCGAAGACGCACTACCACAGCACCAGAAGGAGCAGCTTCCAGCATCGGAAGAAATTCGATTGGATCAGGCAGCACCCGCCGAAAGTACCTCAACGACAGCCAGTGTGCCCGGCATCACCGTCTCGGACGCCTCCAAAGGCGACGCACTCGGTGCCAGCGGAGCTCCCGAGACCGACTCAGCTGCTGCACAACCGCAATCCGCACCGACAACGGAAACAGAAGTACAAACAGAAGCACCGCAGCCACCAGCAAAAGAGCCTTTGTCAGAGCAAAACACACGCCAGACCATCGTGGACAATGCAGCTTCCGAGCCAACCGCAGATGTTGCGGTCACCGCGCCCCCACCGCCTCCGGAGGTATCAAGCTCGCGCGCCAGCATGTCTAGGACGCGTCGCTCCTCCTCCGTCTCGACCACAGCCACCGCTGCCACCACCGTCCACTCGCGCTCAAGCCTCAGAAGCTTAAACAAGGGCAGTGCTGTCTTTGTCATTGGCGCGTTGGAGACCATCGCCGGTGCCAAGGAAGCCAGAAAGGACAAGGAGCTCAAGGAGGCCACCAATATCGCTTTGGACATGGTCAAGGCTTCGGCCGCCCGCACCTCTTCATTGAAAGCGTCCGACCAAGAGCAGCCCGTCCTGGATCCACGAGTCGTCTTTGAACCTCTCCGCTTGGCATGCAGAACGCGCAGCAACAACCTCACCATCACCAGTCTCGATTGCATCAGCAAGCTCGTCAGCTACGCCTTCTTTGCCGAAGATGACCCAGCTCAGGTCGCAAGCGCCATCATCGCTGCCGGCCAGCCACCACAGACGCTTGCGGATCTCGTTACCGACACGGTCTGCGATTGCTATCAAGAGAACCTGGACGACAAGGTGGCGCTGCAGATCATCAAGGCCCTGCTCGCCTCGGTGCTATCAACAACAGTCCACGTCCACCAATCCAGTCTGCTCAAGGCGGTCCGAACCGTCTACAACATCTTCCTCATGAGCAAGTCGCCCGCCAACCAGGCGATTGCTCAAGGCAGTCTAACGCAGATGGTCCATCACGTCTTTGCACGTGTCCCTCGAAGCACCGTGCCTGGCTCCGGCGCAGTCTCGACGTCTCACAGCACCTCTGACGTGACCCAGTCGCGGTCCAACGGGCATTCGGATGCACACAAAGCCGACACCTCGTCGCACACCGACGACGCTGCCGGTCAAGGTGACGACGCAAGCGGCTCTGCTGCACAAGAGAACAACGAGAAGATCACCCTGCAGACTTTTGAGAACCGCAAATCCTTCGAAGGCGCATCCGAACGCGACAATGCCGGTAGTCTAGCCAACATGAGCACCTCCGAACTCTTTGTCAAGGATGCCTTCCTCGTATTGCGTGCGCTATGCAAACTCACCATGAAGCCGCTCGGTACCGAGAGCGAGCGCGACGTCAAGTCGCACGCAATGCGATCAAAGCTGCTCTCGCTCCATCTCATCCTCACCATCATCCAATCACATATGGCCATCTTCACCGACCCCAGCGTCATCATCCACAGCACCACCACCGGCGAGCAGACCCAATTCGTTCAAGCAGTCAAGCAGTACCTCTGCCTCAGTCTCAGTCGGAACGCCGTCTCGAGCGTCAACCAGGTGTTCGAGATCAGCTGCGAGATCTTCTGGCTCATCCTAGATGGCATGCGTACGAAGCTCAAGAAGGAGATCGAGGTGCTGCTCAATGAGATCTTCCTGCCCATCCTCGAGATGCGTACTTCCACGGCGAGACAAAAGTCCATCCTACTCGGTGTAATGATCCGTCTCTGCCAAGATCCGCAGGCATTGGTCGAGATCTACCTAAACTACGATTGCGATAGGACGGCGCTGGACAATATCTACGAGCGTCTGATGAACGTCATCTCCAAGATCTCGCAGGCCCACGTCTCACCCAATGCCGACGGAAAGGGTGACAAGGATGCTGCATCGGCTTCGACCTCGGGAGCTGCATTGCCTAAGGCGAGCGGCTCGGGCCCATCCATCCCACCTGCACTCAGTACTGCTGCAGCTGGCGAAGCTTCCCATGACTCAGGGTCGACGCCGTCCGCGGCCAACCAGTCGGTGGAGGCACGCCTGAAGCGACAGAGTCTGGACTGTCTCTGCTCGGTGCTGCGTTCCTTGGTGGTCTGGTCGAGCCGTGCTCCCGTGCCAGCAGAAGCAGCAAGTCACTACCTCGGCGGACATCCTGGCGACAACACCGGCTCACCACGCGCCAGCGAAGACATCCGTATCGGCAACGAGACCATCACCGTCGACAGCGAAAACCTCATGGAGTCGGCTTCCTCAGCCGGTGTTCCAGGTCCTCTGTCCAATCTCGGCGCAAGCACCGCATCCGAGAACAGTCGCGGTCAGACGCCCGAGCCACAAGACGACCCAAGCCGCTTCGAGAACGCCAAGCAACGCAAGACCATCCTTCTCGAGGCGATCCGCAAGTTCAACTTCAAACCCAAGCGTGGAATCGACGATCTCATCAAGAACGGCTTCATCCGCTCGCGCGAGCCCGCCGACATAGCGCGCTTCCTCCTCTACGCCGACGGTCTCAGCAAGGCGCAGATCGGCGAGTTCTTGGGCGAAGGTACGCCGGAAAGCAATGCCATCATGCACGCCTTTGTCGACATGATGAACTTCGAGGGGCTCGGTTTCACGGATGCGCTTCGACGGTTCTTGCAGGCGTTCAGGTTGCCGGGAGAGTCGCAGAAGATCGATCGATACATGCTCAAGTTTGCCGAGCGGTTCGTGCACGGCAACCCGAACGCGTTTGCCAATGCCGACACTGCTTACGTCTTCGCCTATTCGGTCATCATGCTCAACACGGACGCGCACAACCCGCAGGTCAAGCATAGGATGACGTTCAAAGACTTTGTCAAGAACAACTCGGGTATCGACGATGGTAAGAGCTTGCCGGACGAGTATCTGCGCTCGGTGTTTGACGAGATTCAGACCAACGAGATCAAGATGAAGGACGAGGTGGCAGCTCCTGCACCTGCGGCTGCGTCGTCAGGGTTGGCCAATGCTATTGCCACGGTCGGAAGAGACTTGCAACGAGAAGCGTACGTGCTGCAATCCGAGGGGATGGCGAACAAGACCGAGGCGCTATTCAGGACCATGGTTCGTGCACAGAGACGCATCGGCCCGCAACAGAGGGCTGCGGCGGAACAGTTCTTCTCCGCGTCGCACTTTGAGCACGTCAAGCCCATGTTCGAGGTGGCTTGGATGCCGTTCCTGGCCGGAATCTCTGGACCGCTGCAGGAGTCGGACGATGCAGAGGTCGTCGAGAAGTGTCTCGAGGGTTTCCGCGACGCCATCAAGATCGTCTCGCTGTTCGGTCTGGAGTTGGAGAGGAACGCTTTCGTGACGACGCTGGCTAAGTTCACATTCCTGAACAATCTGGGCGAGATGAAGAGCAAGAACGTTGAGGCGATCAAGACGCTGCTCGGAGTAGCGCACAGCGAGGGCAACTATCTCAAGGGCAGTTGGCGCGAAGTCTTGACGTGTGTCAGCCAGTTGGAGCGCTTCCAGCTTATCAGCGGCGGGATGGACGGTCGACAGCTCCCTGATTTGGGAAGACGAACCTCGGCTGCGTCGGGGCCTGCTGCCGGTGCCAACGGCAATCGAGCAAGACCGCCTTCTCTGCCCAACAGCGAAGTGGTGCAGGCAGGTGCATCGTCGGAGGTCACCGTTGCAGCCGACATGGTATTCTCCTCGAGCGCCTCGCTGTCCGGTACGGCGATCGTCGACTTTGTTCAGGCGCTCTCCGATGTCTCGTGGGAAGAGATCCAGTCGTCAGGCCTGACGGAACATCCACGAATGTTTTCGCTGCAAAAGCTCGTCGAGATCTCTTACTACAACATGGGTCGAATCCGTATGGAATGGTCCAACATCTGGGCCATCCTTGGTGAACACTTCAACATGGTCTGCTGCCACCCGAACGTGCACGTTTCCGCCTTTGGTCTCGATTCCCTCCGCCAGCTAGCGATGCGATTCTTGGAGAAGGAGGAACTGCCGCACTTCAAGTTCCAGAAGGATTTCTTGAAGCCGTTCGAGATCACGATGCAGCGCAACAGGAACTTGGAGGCCAAGGAGATGGTGTTGCAGTGTTTGGAGCAGATGATCCAGTCCAGGGTGGACAACATCAGGTCCGGGTGGAGGACGATGTTCGGCGTGTTCGGTGCGGCATCCCTGGCGCCTTCCGAGAGGGTCTCTGCGTATGCGTTTGACTTGGTTCGCCAGCTCAACGTCAAACATCTCGGTGCGATCATCGTCAATGGATCCTTTGCGGACCTTGCCATCTGCGCAACGCATTTCGCCAAAGCCAACAAGCAGAAGATCAGTCTGCAAGCGACCGAGCTTCTCCGCGGTCTGGTCGAGGCGATGCTCAGTGCGAAGGAATGCCCGATCGAAGAAGGTGGTGATCCGGGACCTGCAGCGAGCACACCCATGTCGGACGATCCGATGGTTCGATTCTGGTTCCCTGTGCTGTTCGCCTTCCACGACATCATCATGACCGGCGACGATCTCGAGGTTCGTAGGGTCGCGCTCGACAGTCTCTTCTCCATCCTCAAGCAGTACGGTCGTTCGTTCCGACCCGACTTCTGGGACACGGTGTGCCAGGAGATCCTCTTCCCCATCTTTGCCGTCCTCCGATCTCGGCAGGATGTCACGCGGTTCTCGTCGCACGAAGACATGTCGGTGTGGCTCAGCACGACGCTCATCCAAGCTCTGCGCAACCTGGTCGACCTCTGGACGTTCTACTTTGAGACGTTGGAGAGGCTGCTCCCTGGGCTGCTGGATCTGCTGTGTGCGTGCATTTGCCAGGAGAACGACACGCTGGCGAGGATCGGGACGAGTTGCCTGCAGGGGTTGTTGGAGAAGAATGTGAGGAAGTTGAGCGAGGAGAAGTGGGCGTTGGTGGTGGATACGTTTTTGCAGCTGTTCAGGACTACGACGGCGCATCAGTTGTTTGATCCGGTGTTGAGGGCTGATGGGTCCACACCCGGAGGATCGGGAGCACCGGCCGATTCGCCGCAGGATGTCGTGGGGGGTGTGGCAGCGGGGACGAACGGATTCCAGCGTCCCAATCCTCTTTCTCCCGGACCCACGACTGAACCGCTTCCCGAAGCGGCAGAACCACAACCAGCGGTTCAACCCATGTCGAGCTCAGACCGACGCCGAGCATTCAAGCAGATCATCGTCAAATGCGTCCTGCAACTCTTGCTCATCGAAACGACGCACGAGCTGCTGCAAAACGAAGAGGTGTACCTCACCATGCCCGCTGCCCAACTCTTGCGACTTACGAGCGTCCTGGAGGACTCGTACACCTTTTCGAAACGCTTCAACGCCGACAAGGATCTTCGCGTCGCTCTGTGGAAGGTGGGATTCATGAAGCAACTCCCCAATCTGCTGAAGCAGGAATCGTCGTCGGCGGCGACACTGGTGCACATCCTGGTCCGAATGCACGGCGACGATCGTGCGGATCATGTGGCGCTTCAAGGCAGGATCAGAGAGAAACTGGTTCCGCTGGGCTACGATATCGTATGTGGATTCTTGCCGTTGGATCCCGAGACTCAGGCGAGGAACATCGCAGCATGGAGTCCCGTGGTGGGCGAGATTTTCACGGGCATCTGCACTTTCGACGACGCGCAAGAGCAAGATGGAGACAAGGTGTTTACGAAGCACAGCGGCGAGTTCTATGCGCTGGCGGTGGATCTGCTGAGCAAGGAGCCGTTGCCCGGTGAGATCGCCGAGGCGTTGAGGACGTTCTTGTTCAAAGTTGGTGTCACCAGGGGAATGATAGATCCGGTCAAGGAGGAGGAGAGGAAGAGGAGCGTGAGGGACGGCAAGGAGAAGGAAAAGTTGTTGGGCGAAGGGATGAGGAGGGTCAGCATGCAGGTGCCCGAACAGTGATTTTTGAAGGTTGAGGGAGGCAATGCAAAGATGCGAGTCACAGGTCGTTCCCGAGTGATCCTTGATGCGAAAGTGTGAGTGAAACGCCAGAAGCAGCTCTGAGGTCTGTTGACGGTGCACGGTCTTTGCCACATCCTGAGGTCAAAGGTGATGTGATTGCGATGCTATACAATTGTTTATACCTTGCATTTATCCCACCAACCCTTTCCGTTCCTCCCCGCCAACGCCTTCAACAAGTTCCCCTTCCTACACAGTCCATCCTTCCTCTCCTCACATTCCTTGTACTGACTCAACGGAATCACCGCATCGTTCAACTTGAACCTCACCAACTCCTCCTCCTCCTTCGTATCGCACTTCCACACCTCTACAACCAACCTCGCTGCAAACGGAACCACTTTGCTCGTCTTGAAGTTCCTCTTCTCGTCCACGCCTTTCCCACCTTCTGGAACCTTCAACGCCTCCTCGAAGTTGGGCAGCTCCAAGGCTGCCAACACCGAGGTGATGGTGGAATCGTGCGTGAAGTCGACGTAGAATCTTCGATCGAGTGGGAAAGTGGTTGAGTCGAGGTTCAGCGTCGAGTTTTCGCTCGTCTGCGTATCCTGGTTCCAGGGTGTTTTGGTCAACCTCGAGACCAACTCGTTGACCCAGCCCAAGCCGTACGCTTTTCCCAGCGGCGAGGTGGCACCGTTGGTGTTCATAAACTTCAGATCCCAAGCGTACTCGTAATCAAGCCACTCCTGCCTCGTGAACAGTCCGCAGAAATCGCTGTATCCGAAAGCGACCGTGTCGTAGGAACACATCTGTTGCATCGCGAACAACAGCGTCGAGGTCAGCTTCGCGCCTCCAAAGTCCTTGCCAAATCGAAGCATGGCGTCTTGCAGGTACGTCTCCGCCCACCTGTCCGCCATCGCTCCACCGGGCGAGTTTCCCGAATGTGACCATGCAGGACACGCGAACTCAGGTGCCGTAGTGGTGTTGTAACCCGGGTGTTCGATCTGAATCTCAAACGAGGTGGTGGAGGTCCAGTTGGAGCCGAAGAAGCCGTTGAGCCACGCGAGTCCGGAGTCGACGATGCGCTGCTGACTGCCGGCGCGGGCGAAGAGGGTTTTAGGTTTGTTGTGGGCGTCGAGTTCGGCGAGATCGTCGGACACGAGTTTGCCGTAGAGGAGGGCCGCTTTGACGCCGGAGTCGTAGAGTTGACCTCGTCCGACAGGGGTGAGGAGCTCTTCCCCTACCCCGAACTTGTAGTTGTTGAGGAAAGCGAGGCTGCCAGAGTAGCGGAGCGCAGGGTTTTGGCGGAGGAAATCGCGAAGGACGTCTGGCGGTCCTCCCGCGGTGGGATAGCGAGCGCCGTGACGATGCAGCATGTGCGCTTGGGTGAGGCGGCATGATGTGCCAGAGGATGAGGTTGGGGTGCCGGAGTATTTGGAATCGTCTACGCCCCAGCCGGAGGATGAGAGGTAGGGTGTGAGCGGTCCCATGTGTTCGAAAGGTTTGAAGTTTGCATCCTGAAATCCAGGTATGGTCGTTTGCATCGGGGATGAGCCGATCGTCTGCGTCGGTGCTGCGGCTGTCCTCGTCATGTGCTCTGCAAAGTCTGGAGGAACTCCCGTCGTATAGAAGCCTGGAAAGCCGACCGGTTTATTGAACTCGAAAGGGATCACACCGCTATCACCGTACCACTTGTCTCCCATGTAATCGTAAAACTTGTTCGGATCCACACCTACCTTTGGACCCAATGCAAACACAAACGCACCGATCACGAGCAGCCCACCTCCGACGATCATGCTGAGGCGCATGCACCTCGCCCTCTGCTTTCGATTGCGTTGGGCCATGCTGGCAGACATACCTGCACCTCGACCGCCCGTCATGCCTGGCACATCGCCTTCCAGTATGCCACGGAACCAAGCTGGTCTGCCGGTCTTGTCGATGCGTGTTGAATTGTTGGAATCTTCCAGCACACCTCGGGCGGGAAGCTTCTCCATACGGGGCGATTTGACGTCGTAGTCTGCATCGAGGTCGTCGTACGCGTCGGTGACGCGTGGGGTGGGATCGGAGGCGCCAGAGACGGACTGAATGCGAGACGTGCCAGAAGCGTCGGTGGATAGTCGATGCAAGATAAGAGATTCCGCCTCGAGGTCCGAGGACGACGAGTGGCGCTCTTTCCTTGACGGTCCCGGCATGGTGACAGAGTGAGATCAGCCGTGCCCCTCGTGGTGATCAGTGTATGTGTAGGGAGAGAAGCAAGCAGAGCATGATCTGGCTCACCTGCAGGGTCCTTGATTCGCAAGCTTCTGGCGCTTTGTGCTCAGTCCGTGTCAGCGTGCAGCGTCGGTGTCGCCCGATATCCGAACGGTCCAATTTCAACTGTGAATTTAGCTTATGCTAACATTTATCGCGTAAACCCGCGCTTGAGCCGGGCTTGGCGTGACGGATTTAGAGGCTGGCTAACGCGGAGTTTATGCACCAACAGCTGACAGCTTCTGCACAGATCATTTCGAGTGTTGGTCTCTGCTCGTTACCCCGCACGTTGGTCGGACCGGGACCTGGACCGGAACACCATCTGTATGCGCGGCTATAAGCTCTAGTCGCTGCTATATAAAGGTTGTCACGTAAGCTGTCGGTCGGTCGAGGCGGCCGCCTGAGCCTCTTCTACGGGCCAAGCAATCTGTTCAACACTGCGTAGCAAGGTTCAACAGACGGAGCGACGCGGACTCTGGTCACACCACCTAAACGGCAACATGGCACAAAGCGATGCTCAAACCAGCACCTCGACCGCCGTCACAGATGGCAACATCAAGGAGTCGTACTGCGATGTGCTCGTCATCGGTGCTGGGCCGGCTGGGCTCATGGCAGCCAACTGGCTGGCTGTCCAAGGTCTAGGAGCGTCCGTTCGCATCATCGACAAGCGAAACGACAAGATCTTCAACGGTCAAGCCGACGGTCTGCAATGCAGGACCCTCGAGATTCTCCAAAGCTTCGGACTGGCCGAGGACATTTGGCGCCAAAGCAACCGCATGATCGAGATTCGATTCTGGAACCCAGGACCTGACGGCCAACTGCAGAGGACGGGTAGGATCCCGGACACCATCCCTGGCATCTCGAGGTGGCAGCAGTGCGTGCTTCATCAGGGTCGCATCGAGAAGGCGTTCCTCGACAGCATCGCCAAGCACTCGAACAATAAGCTCAGCGTCGAACGCGCTGTCCTGCCAGAGACTCTGACCGTCGACGAGTCAGCCATCGATGATGCTAAAGCCTATCCTATCCAGGTCGAGGTTCGTAAGCTTTCCGAGGAAGAAGCCACGCCCACCCAGATGGGCAAGAGCATTCCCAACGGCCTGTTTCGCTCGTCGTTGGCCCCTGACGATTCGCCTACAGCTGCCAGCAATGCCCATGTGGAGCCCGGAAGTCGGGAGCGCATCCATGCTAAGTATGTGATCGGATGCGACGGCGCCCACTCGTGGACCCGCCGTCAGATGGGAAGCAAGATGGAAGGAGATCAGACGTCCTTCATCTGGGGCGTGCTGGACGCAGTGCCCATCACTGACTTCCCCGATGTACGCAATCGCTGTGCCATCCATTCTGCCGAGTCCGGAAGCATGATGATCATCCCTCGTGAAGATGGGCTGGTCCGCTTCTACATCCAGGTCTCGGAGCTCAACAAGGGCGTCGATCGCTACAACATCACGCCCGAGATGATCCTCAAGACGGCCAAAGCCATCATTGCTCCGTACAAGCTCGACATTGGAGAGGGGGATCTGGACTGGTGGACCGCCTACGTGATTGGCCAACGTACTGCCGAAAAGTTTTCGCTCCACGACCGCGTTTTCATCGCCGGTGATGCATGCCACACCCATTCGCCCAAAGCTGGTCAAGGTATGAACACTTCGATGCAAGACACGTACAACCTCACGTGGAAGATTGCCTCGGTGGTCAAAGGTGTTTCGCCGCGAAGCATCCTGCCTACGTACGAGATGGAGCGCAAGCAAATCGCTCAGGACCTCATCACGTTTGACCACAAATTCAGCCGTCTCTTCAGCGGCAAGCCTGCTAAGGACGAAGCAGATGCTGCTGGTATCTCGATGAGCGAGTTTCAGCGGGCGTTCGAGGCGGGCAACCGCTTCGCGTCCGGTTTGTCTGTCAACTACCAGCGATCGCTGCTCACGGTCAAGCCAGAAGGTAGCAGCCAGACAGCTGTGGAAGGCGGAACCGTCGTTAGCCATAGTGAGGTGGAAGCACCTGCTGACGGCGTGATCAGCGACGCTGGTCTTTCTGCAGAATCGGCAGGAGAGACTCGCATAGAGTTGGGCAAACGCTTCAACACTGCTCAAGTCGTGTGCCACGCTACCGCTTTGCCTTACGAGCTGGCTGATCGAATCGTCTCGGATGGTCGATGGCGTGTGGTCTACTTCTGTGGCGACATCCGCAATGCCGAGTGCAAGAACGAGATGCAATGTTTGGGCGACTACCTGGTGGGGCAACTCTTGCCCATGTTCACACCGAAAGACCAAGATCCCGACTCGGTCGTCGAGGTGTTGACTGTCTCTGCCACGCCGCGTGCCGAGAATGAGATGCAGGACTACCACGAAGCTCTGCGTCCGTCTACAACTCGACACCACCGCGCCACAGACGATGGAACCTACAACTTCTCTCCCGACTACCATAAGATCTTTGTCGACGACGACACCTACCACGAAGGACATGGACAAGCGTATGAGAAGTACGGAGTTGCTAAGGATCGAGGTACGCTGGTGGTGATTCGACCAGACGGATACGTTTCCCTATTGATCGAAGCTCGACAGTACGAACAGCTGGGCGAATTCTTCAAAAAGGTCCTGCAGCCACCCAGTGAGCATTTGACTCATCAGCATACTCGACTGAGACGCGAGCAGGCTAAATATATGCTGGTTGAGGACGAGAAGCAAGTCAAGGCCAAGCTGCCAGCTCGATCGGGTCTGCCGACCAGTACGTTGGCGTCTGCTCATTCGCAAAAGAACACTCAAGGATTCGCTGCGCCCGCTGCTGCCATGTAGAGGTGGAAGTCAACCTGGCTTCACCCTCAGTAACACGGCTTACTCGGAAGGAATCACAGATGATTATGTGTCGGCAATTCCGGTGTGCAGGATGACTGATGTGTGAGCAAAGGGTCGCTGCCATGTTCCGTGCTCAGCGGCCATGGAATCTTTTCGACACCAAGTTAGCGTCACTGTGATCTTCAGTCGGGTCAGGCACGTCAACGGCCTCAATCAAGCTGTTTACAGCGCTCGTCAGACAAATTTCGTGCCTGACAAGAGCCAGTCAGGGGCCAACTTGCAGCGAGCAAGGTGCGTGCGGTAAGCGGTTCCTGAAAGCCGCGACCGCTTCACAAGTTGGTCTGTCGTCAATGCAAAGCGTAGCGAAGTGACTCGGATCTTGACGCACGAGGTAGGCTAGGATCAACGGTGCTTGTGCAGCAACCAGATTGTGTACTTGTTCGGCGTGAAGCGAGATCTGTCGAGCACACAAGAGATCGGCTGCTTTCCGACCGCACACTCGTGCTGCAGGGTCGCGCCTGCATCTGTGATCGACCAATAGGAGCAGGAGGAATTGAGAGGGTCGAGCAGTGTGGTCACAGACCGTCGGCTGTGGCGAAACGCGCGTCCCGCAGGCATCCTCGATGGCTCGGCGAATTGTCACCCGACACCTTACGCTGCTCCCGCACCGAATGCATAGAAGATCGTAGCGCTACAACAGTCATCGAGCTCCCTTTGCCAGTCCTCCATCTGGTGCATCTTCTGTGACACGTCGCGCAAAGCTCTGTCAAGAAGCGGGAGTGCGCAGACCGCCAAGGGGAAATACCTTTCCAACTCCGCTTGTTGACAGACAAAAAGAGACGGTTGCTTCGATTTTGTGTTTCGCGGCCGGCACTTCCGTCTGTCAAAACAATCGACCTTTTCGAAGGGGTCTACTAGGTCGGGACACGACCGTATCGTGAACAAAGTGGCGAAACATTGCGATGAGCAAGCTGTGGCAAATTCCGTCAGCGCTCCCATTCGGCGGCAAAAGTGTGTACTGCCGTTAAACACGGCGTGGCGGCTAAATGTTCTGATAGCCCGGGTCGTGCGATAAGCTAAACCCCACCCAGTCAAGCTCGCTTGCGATAGACGTCCAGCCACAATGGCGAACCGGTTACTGTCAATTCGTCTTGCTCGCCCCAACCAATGACAACATAGATGGGTGCAGCGCAGGAACAGAGGCTGAGAGGAAGCGGCCAGAGCGTGCGGAAGGCCATGCTCCGAAGACCGTTGAAATTTCATGCAGATCGAGTAGGCGTGAGGGCTGTCACATTTCCCAGCCAATTGAACCTTCAAACGGATGAAATTTGGAAGATTGCGATGCCCGCTCTGATTGCTCGCGAGTCGGAAAAGTCTTGTTGTCTGTTGAACGATCGATGCCGTGCACGACATACTGCAAACCGCAGGCTCACATGAACCGCTGCCTCCCGCGGCAGATGTCGTGCCATACTGTACAACCTTTGATCCAATCAGGTTGATGGGTTTGTTTGGGGAATCTCAGCGATCTGAAATGAGCTGATAGACTATGAGCATATTGCCCTCGATGTTGGTTCACGGTGCACGCGACTCCGCAGTGGCGTTGGCCGAAAAGGGCGCTCACCGTGGTCAAGGTCAGATGATAACGTTGCCACCCCGACCTCGCTCTTGACGGTCTTGGCGGGTCGCCCAACTTGGAGATAAGCTGGGCAAGCATGATCTTCGTCCCATGATCGCGCTGTCGGTCGCGGAGCAAGGTCAAGCGAAGTCAGGAGAGCGGACGCAAGATTTTGGAGGAGAGAGTGCAACTCACCCTTGCAGACAGTGTCGTTCGTCCCTTCCTTCTATCAATGAATAAAAGTTCCATTCGATTCAAACTCCGAACCTCGGTTGGGTCTACCAACCGCCGACTCAAATTCATGCTTCTGACGAATGGTATCTGGCGAACTTCAACTAGTCTTGGCTGAAGAAGAAGCCTGCCTTGGCGTTCCCTGGTTTGATATTATCATTATTAAAGAAAAAATTTAAAAAATCAACGATAACAAAAATCCACTTCAGGCTGAGAGGCTGCTGCTGCTGCATGGAATCTGTTGCGGGGACCAATCAAATCTCACAGAGGCAAAGGTGTGCTCTGCCGCGGAACTTGCCACCAACGCCGCCGGTTTAGCGTCTTCTCTGCGCTGATACAACCTCGCCCTAGACAACAGATGATGGCTACTCTGTCGGTGAGAGTCACGAGGAGGCTGTGATGAGCTCAGGACACACTCGGCGAATTCCCGATCGAGCGGCAGCAGGCATCTGTGCAAGAGGCGAGCCGCCAGGCTTTGTTCGAGCAAGCAAAAATTACAGTGCTATGCTGCACCGGTCAATCTCGCTTTCTTGTGCGGCAAAAAGTGATTGCACTTCAGATAGGAAGTAGATCCCACCTTGGGCTCGCGGTCTCTGAACAGGTCGTCCGACTAGAACGATTTTTTTAAAAATATTTTTTGCTGCACTAAATTTGTCTTTTCTGGTCGAGTTTATGCACACCTGCAGGATCATGGCCTTCCTTGACAAGGAGCAACCGCTTCGGAAGGCATCTCTCCGAACCGCGGGCATTGTGCCTCCGTTCTGGTCAGTCCCTCTTGTCCTTTCGCGACTATCTATTGGGTCTATCCCCGCACACCGAGCATCCAATCAGCTCGTCGGTGCTGCTTCTCGCTTGCTGACATGGTGCAGCATACACTTAGCCGGGTCACGCCGGCGAGCTAAGTGAATTATTGCTCGCGCTCTGCCTCGCTTCTTCGGATTGGGTCTGTGTCTCGCCGTTCCCCTTTGTCGCTGTGACTCTGGTCGTGCATATTGTAGCGTGGACAGTCGTCGGAATTGCCACCTGCCCGAGCCAAATCACGCCAAAGTCTGGAAGTGGATCTCGACCGTGGTTTCCAGCTTCAGGAACGCCACACATCGCTCTGCGCCGAAGAGATAGCGTTGTTGCATTCACAGCGACTGTCGCATCCGACGGCGCAGTCCATTCCGCTCTCTCCTTCAGTCGCCCATAGGGAAGATATAAAGCCCAGGCTGATTTTCCCCTCAAAAACCTAATCGTCGTCGTATCCCTTCTTGGAACGTTAAACCCCACCCCCTCTTCGGTTCCCCTTCTCCCTCTCCTTCCCCACTGCTTTCCCCCGTGAGCGCGCGAAAAGGAAAGATGGTCAACGAGATTGACCTTGCTCGCACCGCGAGCCACGGCTCTTCGGATGCCAAGGGCTCTTCCAAGGAAGAGCTCGCCACGCCTGGCATCTCTGAACTCCACAACGTCGAGAAGAACCTCAAGGCCGACTTTCTCGACCACCGCATCAATGATCCCAACATGGCCACTGAAAAGATCGACGCCGTCGAGCACGTAATCGAGCAGGGCGACTATAAGGCCGAGGCTCAGATCGAGGAGGAGCTCGAGGAGGACTCGCCCTATCCCGAGGTGCGCGCCGCCGTCTCCAACGTCGACGATCCATCCATGCCCGTCATGACCTTCCGTACCTGGGTGCTTGGTATGCTCTTTACCATTGTCATTCCAGGTGTCAACCAGCTTCTCAGCTACCGATACCCCACCACCACCATCACTTCGTTCGTCGCCCAGCTGCTCGCATACCCTATGGGTGTCTTTATGGCCAAGGTCCTCCCTACCAAAGTGTTCAAGACGCCCTTGGGCAGCTTTACCCTCAACCCTGGTCCTTTCAACGTGAAGGAGCACACTGTCATCACCGTCATGAGCAACGTCACCTACCAGCGTGCCTACTCTACGAACGTCTCTGCCGTCCAGCGAATCCTGTACGGATTCGACTGGGGCTTTGGCTACATTATCCTCCTCACTCTCAGTTCGCAGCTCATCGGTTTCTCCATGGCCGGTTTCTTCCGTCGTTGGCTCGTATGGCCCGCAGCCATGATCTGGCCCGGTAACCTTGGTAACACGGCGCTCTTCACCGCCCTTCACCGACAGGTCGACACCGGCTCCGGTCACATGTCGCGATACAAGTTCTTCATGATCGCCGTCGCCTCTGCCTTCGCATGGTACTTTGTTCCTGGGTACCTCTTCGCAGCCATGAGTGTCGGAAACTGGTTCTGCATGATTGCGCCGAACAACGTTCCTCTCAACCAGATGCTCGGTACCCAGCAGGGTCTCGGTCTCATCCCGCTCACCTTCGACTGGAACCAGTACTCCTACAACGGCAACCCCATCTACACCCCGTGGTGGGCGCAGGCAAACGTTCTCGGTGGTTTCTTGTTCTGCTACTGCTTCATCGCTCCCATTCTCTACTACAAGAACGTCTGGAACTTTGCCTACTTGCCCTTCTCCACCAGTGGTGTCTACGACCGCTTCGGCAACAGGTACAAGACCAAGAAGGTCACCACCGCCGACCACCTTCACTTTGACGCTGCCGGATACAACGCATACTCAGAGCAGTACTTCTCGGTCACCTACGCCGTCTCGTTCGCCCTTTCCTTTGCTTCCATCACCGCCATCATCGTCCACGTCGCGCTCTTCCACGGTAAGCAGATCTACAAGCAGTTCACCACCTCGATCAACGAGGAGCGCGACATCCACGCTCGTCTCATGCAGCGATACCCCGAGGTGCCCAAGCTCTGGTACGCCATCCTCTTCTTCATCTGCCTGGGCATGGGTATCGGATGCACTGCCGGCTACGCCACCGACTTCCCTGTCTGGGCGTTCATCATCTCGCTCATCATTGGTGCCTTCTTCATGCTTCCCGTCGGTATTGTGTACGCCATCTCGAACGTTGAGGTTGGTCTCAACGTCATCTCCGAGTTCATCATCGGCTACATGCACCCCGGTTCGGCTACGGGCATGATGATGTTCAAGGTGTTCTGCTACATGGCTGTCTACCAGGGTCTCTCGTTCACCGCCGACATGAAGCTCGGCCACTACATGAAGATCCCTCCCAAGGACCTGTTCATTGCGCAGGTGGCGGCGATCACCGTCAGCGCGTTCGTGACGATCGGCGTGCAGAACTGGGTCTTCAGCAACATCAAGAACGTTTGCACTCCCGAGGCGTCCGACGACTTTACCTGCAACTACCTCATCGTCTTTGGAACTGCCTCGCAGATTTGGGGTCTGATCGGCCCTGCTGCTGTCTTCTCGCCAGGCAGGCAGTATGGCAAGCTCTTGTGGATGTTCATGGTCGGTGCGATCTTCCCCGTCATCATCTGGGTTCTCACCAAGAAGTTCCCCCGATCGTTCATGCGCAAGGTCAACACCCCCGTCATCTTCACCGGTACCGGTCTCATGCCTCCTGCCACCGGTATCAACTTCACCGCCTGGGCCATGTGCGGTTTCGTGTTCAACTACCTCGTTAAGAAGTACCGCACCGGATGGTGGACCCGATACAACTACGTCCTGGGTGCAGCCCTCGACACTGGTACTGCCATCTCGGCGGTCATCATCTTCTTCTGCCTTATCTTCCCCTCGGGCCCGCAGAGCGACTTTGCGTCCAACGGCTGGTGGGGCAACGTCGCGCCTTACAACACGGCCGACGGCAACCTGGCTTCGTACCTCACAGCTCCCGATGCCGGATTCGCCCCAGCTCCCGCTGACTTCCGACCTTACAACCCTTGAAGATAGGTCGCGCTCCCTTTCCCTGGTGTCGTGTTGACTCACCCTCACGTAGCGTTTACGTCGTACATGGTGTACTGTAGATCATGAATATATCTTTTCTGTCATGGTATCATTGCTTGCAGACTCGTGGAAGTTCTTGTGTGTTTGCCAATCGAGTACAATCATAATTGAGGTCTGAGACGTGGTTCATTCTCGATCCATTCCCACAATTCCATGTTGGCAACGTTGATGTGGCAAACGATGGTCGGTGCTTTTGTTCGTTGATTACGTCATCCGCGCCTTTTCCGTCAGATACGAACTCGGCTGTATCACAACGTCGGTCATGCCTCTGATCAAATACCTTGCGTCCGTACCTGCTCACGGCAGAACAGAAGCTACCGCTTGCTCTCAGACTCTGCAATCTACATTCTCATACTTTCTTTCATGCGTGTCAATCTGGACTGAAGATGCGTTTCATTGAGGTAGTGTTGTGTTATCGAGAGACGACCTTCTTCCGAGATTTCCTCATGCAGAAGCGACCTCTCCTTCCACCTGTCCATCCTTGCTCTCCGACCCCGCCCCTGCACCTTCCGGCTCCGGACCCAACATATCCATGAAACTCGCCAACCTTGCCCTATTACCCCCCGCCTTGCCCGTCAGATACTCCACCAGTCCCGTCCTCAACTCCGGCTGTCTCCCCACGACCTCCCTCAACTGTTCCCTCGGCAACTGTATCAATGCGCCGAAGCTACTCGGAGCCGTCTGCTTGGCGCACAGTAAGAATCCATCCCACAACGGCGCGTTCAACCAGATCTTCTTTGTAATCAACCTCGACAGCAGATTCCTCGCAACATAACCAGAGAGACTCTTGTACGTCGAGACCGCCATGATCACCGTTCGCATGAAGAGCATCGGCAGCGTCGGTTCCTCCGCGATTTGGTTCAACACCGCTGCTAGAACCTCGGAACGATAGACGTCGGTCATCGAGAAGCAAATTTGAATCGCTGCGACCGTGTTTTTGAGCCCTATCTCTCGTTCGGAATTATGAAGCAAACCCATGAGCTCGACCGGTGTCAAAAGCTCGGTAGACCGTACGCGTGGAAGATTGGAAGATACCGATCCAAATCCTTGAGGTGGCATCTGAACGATACTTTGAAACACCGACTTGATCAACGCCCTGTCCTCCGGCGCCCTCGACGCCAGAATCGTCACTACCCTCGGCAACCTCTTCATAATCTCGGCTTTATCCAGATCCGCCATGATCGGCACCAGGAAGCGGGGATCCACATCTCGTGTATCCACCAACTCCTTGACCAACTCGACAATCGCCGGTGTTCGCGTCTTCTCCGTGAGAGTCTTGAGGATGCACAAGGCGAGCGAATCGGCGCCATCGGGAAAGTTGCGGAGCAGCGTGAGGAGCCGTGGATGCGAAGGGCCGAGTGCTCGAATGAGTTGGACGATGTGCGTCTCGATCGCGGATTGGACAAATGCGGGGGTGCGCGGGTAGGCGAGGAAGATCTCGTCGAGCATGTCGGGGATCTTGGTGCAAAGCGAGAAGGGGAGCTCTACGAAGCGCAACACGTCCTCACTGTCCGTGGGATGGGTGGATTCGGGCTTTTCTGCGTCCTCTTCAGAGGTTTGTGCAAGATCGATCGGAGTGGCCTCGTCGTCTGCTTTGATCGTGCCGTTGGCGCCGTTTGCATCGGTCGTGTCTTCCGTATTCTTCTTGTCCTCCTCCGCTGATGCCTCCGCAGGTTGCGGCGTCTCGATCAGCACGTCAAGATTGCTACGTGCGAAAGCGAGAATCGTCGCCTCGAGGGTGGCGTTGGCAATAGCACACTGCTTGATCGCAATGATAGCTCTGGCTCGAGTACTTCGATCGCTTGTCCTCGTCAATTGCAGCAGTTTCTCCGCCGACTGATCCCGCAACGCAGGGCGCGAAATGCAAATGTCTTGCAAGGTCGACATGCCCGCCACCATCCTGACCTTGTCCTTGCTGAGCGCCGCAACAAGGTCCAGGACTGCAGGCGGGATTTCTGGCAGATCGGCGAGAAATTTGGCGAGGGAGCGGTCCTTGGCATCGATGGTCGGGATCCACGCCCGGACGAGCTTCTCGAGCCATATCGGGTACTGGTCCTTGCTCTCGACGCCGGCAGATGCGGCTTGCTTTCGGTGCACTCGGTCGCAGAACCACTCCTCGGCCATCCACGTGACGGCAAATCGTGTTCGACGAGTGAAGTCGGCTTTGGTAAACTCGAGCATCAAGGCGCGAATGATATCAGCTTGTGCGGAGAGCGTTCGTGTCGGCTCCACGCCGCCTACGACCTTGGTATCGGCCTGAGGTGATGACTCAGATCCGGAGGAAGAAGGCTCAGCGAGGCCACGCGTTGCGAGACGGATGACCAAGGAAGACCAAAGCGCCTGAGAACCGGACTCGGACTGAACTGCTGGATTCGCAGCAAGCGCGGAGGACGCGGTCGAGCCAAAGTCGCATATCCTCGCAATGGTTTCTTTGATGAGTGAGTCGGATTCGGCGAGGGAAAGGTACTCTGGCGGCGCGAGTGCAAAGTTTTCGATGACTGCCTGTGAGATTTCCTCTTCCTCCTCCTCATCCTCTGCTTCCTCTGCGCCACGTCGAGCATCTCTTTCGCGACCGCTCGCTTCCAATGCTTCGAGGTCTTCCTCTGCAATGTCCATCTGGAGCGGATCTGGTACCGAATCCTCAGCAGAGTCCATCGCTACGCCATCCTCGCCTGTTGGCTCTGCTTTGACGTACGCTAGAGATGGCTCGCCATTGGTATGCACCGCACCCGTGGCCATGGGCGGCGGCCCTGGGGGTGGACCGGGAGCAGGACCAGGAGGAGGTGGCGGTGGTGGCAGTGGCGCCTGAGCAGAAGGAGGTTGTGGTGGCGGTGCCGTTGTGGACGCATCTGGTGGCAAGTTGGCGCGCATATTGGCGATCGCAGCTTCGAGGTCTTGATCCGAAAGTGCTTGCAAATTTGCGACGATGAGATCGATGACTAGCGAAATAGGAAGGGTTTTGACATCGAAAGCAGCGAGGGGATTGTGATCGACGCCGCCTGTCGTCCTGACCGAGGCATTACGGAAAGCCTGGCCTGCTGCAGGATCGCTGTGCTCTGAGGTGGAAGCCGGGGGCGCGTTTTGTTGCTGGGGTTCGAGCTTAACCCTTTTGGAGTTCTCGAGTTCCTCGTCGATCTGCTCGCGTTTGCGCTTGGCTTCGGCCTCTTTTTGTGCCTGGTAGGCCTTGGCGGCCTCCTCCATACGACGTTGCTGTGTCTCGAGTGCTTTTTGGATGGAAGCAGCCTCGGGACCTGCGAGCTGGAAGCGTCTGACGTGAAGGTAAAAGACGCGAACCGTCTTTTCGACGTTGCGTATTTGGGTGTGTGAGAGACTGCCGAGGCTGGCGGGAGTCCAAGTTGCCATGGCGCGTAGGATGACTGAGCCGAGCTGAGGACGTGCCTTTGCGAGAATGGCCAACGAGTTGACTGAGGCCATGATGAGGTCGGTGGTGTCGCTGGTGAAGATCAAAGTGACGATCTGCGCGAAAAGACGGTTGGCTTCTTCTTCTAGGTTGGCTGCATTGAGGAAAGGGTGCGAGGTGGGAACGCTGCTGAGGCTGACGTCGTTCCGAAGCTGAGCACGAGGATCCGTGGAGCCGCGCGACTGAGCCTGGACGATTCGCTGATAGCACTTGATGACGGCGAGCTTGGCACCTTGACTGCCATGATCGAAGAGGTGCACGACCTGCGCTTTGATGGCTTGCACGGTCTGCCAGAGGTTGGACTTGGCGCGATCGTTGCACACGAGTCGAAACAAGACGGGGTACATGCTGGCGAAGCACTGAGCAGCAATTTTGGCGAGACGCGGATCTCTATCCTTGATGAGCAAGAGGATAGCCTCGGGAGCGTGCACGGCGAGCGTGGCTTTGGTGTCCTGCGAGAGGGCCGGACGGCAGAAGGCGAGGTCCATGACCTGGGCGATCCATGTTCGTAGTGATGTACTCGCTTTTGGCAAGAGAGAGATTAAGGACGGAAGTAGAATAGGAATGTTGCCGGGCTGCACTTTGAGGAGGTTGTAGAGCTCGGAGAGGTGGCGAGCTTCATCGTGCTTGTCGGAAGAGTTGAGCGCGGCGCTCAGCAGACCCAGCGCGTCGGTGTTGGCTGGCGCGGCCATGTTTGCTGCCAGGTTGCAGAGAAGGTCTGTCTGCTAAGAGGCCGCGCAATTCAGAAGCCAACAGATGAGTAGGACGAGCGGTTTCGGGCCAGTAGCTCGAGACCGTAGCTCGAATACAGTCGTTTCACTTGATCTGGACTGCAAAGAGCATTTGTGTCGGAGGATGGCGAGTCGAGATTAAGATGGGCTGAGAAGCGAATGGGCGAAGGCCTCCGAGAACGGTCGGAGGTGTAGTCTCGCTTGTAAAGTCCAATGTTCGGATCGACAGAAACCCTGTGAGCCGAGTTCGGCGGACTGCAGCGCGCAAAGCAAGACGAGCCGCCAAGATCGATCAGCTTGACAAGAAGCGAATGAATGTGTTTGTGTAGAGATGAGAGAAGGGTAAGGAGGGTGGTGCGTGCAAGATGCTGTTGAAGCAGCAAGAATAAATTTGGGTCGCTCGTGTGAACCAAACCGGCGTCCGGCTTGAGTCTGTTTCAGAGAGTCATCCTGCAGCCATTTTGGCTGTCTTTCCTTTTCGACTCTTCTGCTTCGCGTATTTTGCTTGGTTGGTCTGTGTGAGAAGGCATATATCCTATCCGATCGGGCCAAGATCGGTGCAGATCAAATGCAAGCGTGCACGGATGCAGAGCCACGAGCCGAACGGCCCCTCAGCGACGCAGCACTCCAATCTCGCACAGTCGCAATCGGTGAAATTGGTGAATGGCACTCTGGCTGATGGTATCGCCCTCCACCGACATCACACTTTCGGCTCAGCTTCCTTGGCACCAACCATCGATTCGATCCGTCAACTCGCAATCACCTTCAGCATGGTAAGCATCAACAAGAATGCGCCGACGCAGGCGACATCAGCGCATGCGCATCTAGCGCAATCAGCACTCCAGATCCAGCGACGCTCACACATCTCTTTGCACCCAATCTTTCATCCGCTTCATGTGCCGTTTTACGCCGTAGGCCGCACAACAATCACAGGGTATCCAGACCCTCCTCGAGGCCGAGAAAGAGGCTGCCAAGATCGTTCAGAAGGCTCGAACTTGTGAGTAGCCCACAGCATATCAGCACGCAGACGATGGTCTTGCTAGACTCTTGTGATAATCACGAGGCCGGATGCAGCTATAAAACTGTCTGGCAAAAGACTGGTTGCATGATTGACATACTGACGGCCCTCCCTTGCTTCCTTCTTCCGCCTGCGATATCTCCTTGGCGTACAGACCGAACTCAGAAGCTCAAGGACGCTCGCAGCGAAGCCTCAAAAGAGATCGAGCAGCTCAAGTCCAAAAAGGAGAAGGAGTTCAACGATTTCCAGAAGGAGGTGAGTCGACAACCTGCTTTCCTTTTTCATCCTTCACAAGGAACGATACTGACCGCCATCGCTTTCTGCAACACCGCTCTTCGACCTGCTCACAATGCGATACTCATAACAGCACGAGGGATCCACTAGCAGCTCGCAAACCACCGTAGACAAAGAGACCGAACAGAAGCTCGAGGAGCTCAACAAGGCCTTCGAATCGAACCGCGACGAGGTCATCAAGAAGCTTCTCGACAGGGTCGTCGACGTCAAGACCGAGCTGCACAGGAATCTTCAGCTCCAGCAGAAGCAGCAGAAGGCCTGAGCTGGTCAGTTAGCGAGCCGTGCTTGATCGTCTTTGTCCTTTTCCAACGTGATTGCTGCAATATACACTCTTCGCTCCGACATTGGATGCGCTCTCTGGATGTGTGAGACAGACACAGAGCGCAGACGGTTGAGCCGTCGCTGAAACATCTTTGGATGTCTGAAATGCGCCCTATCCATTCCGCCAAGAAGCTGAGCTGCCCAAGCGCCCGGGCGCGATACCTAGCCTACTCCCAACCTTGTTCCTTCCTCCTCGCTCAAGCAGAAGCACGCAGGATGAGCATCTCTATGAGCGCAATGATCTCATGGCAGCCTCAACCCCGCCCACAGCTTTGAAGTCGACACTATTGTTCTGCAGAAGAGCCTATCATCGCAACAGACATATCGGAATTTTGTTCATTCAGTTTTGCTGTATATATGCGCTTCCTATCACCCTTCTGGCAAAAGTAGACACCTTCCATCCCGATTAGCTCAGTCGGTAGAGCGTCAGACTTTTACGTACAAAGGTCTCCGAGAATTTCCATACTCGGACTTGTCATCTGAATGTCAGGGGTTCGAGCCCCCTATTGGGAGTCTTCATTTTTTCGACTTTTTTTGGTTCGTGATTTCTCTTGGGGAGACTTTCGCATGTCCGTTTCGTGGTGAACTTCGAGAATTCAGGACATGGATCCAAAGCTAGACATGATTGCTCAACGGTGAAGAGCCAAATAAGTATGAAGTCTCCACGAGACTGTCGCGGTAGCCTTAGATCAAGAGGTACTGAGCCCGTGCTCCGTTACAGGACACACCATGCGCTGTTATCTGCAGACTCGATGAACGACAAGGCCAAGAGCACCTCAGATGCCATGATTGACGTCCAAGGATGCCTAATTGGTAAAGAAGAAACATAGCTGCAATTTGGCTCATCACGCCTCAATAATTGGTTTCTTGGCGCAGTTGGTTAGCGCGTCTCCTTAACAATTCTGATCATTCAGATCGTTAGGGCTTACGGAGGAGGTCGCCGGTTCGAACCCGGCAGAAATCATTATTTTTGTTTGCATCTACATCGACGGCATTCTTTTTTGTTCTTCGCATCAGCGTTCGTCGCATACTCGGAAGCTCTCTCTCTCACTGAGCGGCTGCAGGAGCATGCTATGTAGCGGAGCAATGTCTTTTGCTCGACTGTCGAGCTGATACACACGGCAAACTACGAAGCTGCGACGATGTTTGGGTAAAATACTTGCTTGGTTAGGACTCGACATGATTACGTCTTGCAATGTTGGTCCCTTGCCTTACCTGTTGCTCCATGTGCGGCTGCCAGCAGGCGACAGCTTTCCGCTCGCCGAAAAAGTCGGCTCCCAACGTGGCCATGTCCAACCCGCTCGTTCCCTCTGTATCTGTATCTTCTATTTCCAGAATCCTATTCATTTCTGCGGTTAGTGGCGAAGTGGGAGGGCTGGAGAGACCGAGTTCGAGGTCGAGCAGGTCACGCCATTCCTGTTCGCGTGGTTCGGTGTGGTCGAGGGTATCTAGTGCCCAGTCGGGATGCGTAGTGGGGTGGCGGAAGACGCCGTGGGATCGGAGAAAATCGTGTACCCGTTGACGGTCGTACGTCACTGTTGTGATTGGGGTGGTTGAAGTGGTGGAAGCCGGTTCGAGAGGAACAGAAACGACGGCTTCTGGGTCGGGGGCGACGCTGGACACCTGTTGCTCGACCGCCGGTTCTGCCGTACAGTATGTGTTCACTACCGTGTCCACTCCGACTGAAGCATCATCGACGTTCTCCACCATGTCTGCTTCCTCCACTTCACTTCGATCCTCACCGAACAACACCCGCTCCACAATCTCACTCAACCCCTCCCTCCTCGTCGCAGCCTCCGTCGCCGCACTACCCAAGATCGACCTCGCTGCAGCCCTCACCTTGGGCGGTTGCAGGAACACCATTCTCGCATGTCGAAGTTCCGTCTCGTACTCTCGAATCGAGAGACCGTCTGGCGGAGAAAACTTTTTCGATTCGCGGCGCAGGATGGTCGAGATGCTGCCGTGTTCCTTGAGCAGTCGAAGGGCTGTTTTCGGACCGATTCCTGGGATGGTACGGTTGAAGTCGGTTCCGCAGAGCAGCGCGAAGTCGAGCATGAGCGAGCGGGTGAGTCGATCGTAGAGCGAGTCTGCCTCGGCGTCGCCCGTCGAATCGAGTCGGATGGTGGAATGGATGTGGACGAGTTTCTCCAGATCAGCGCGGGGAAAGAGACGAGTGCGTACTCGAGTACCGCAGATGACTTCGAGCTTTCCTCGAGATCCTTCCGCGGTGCGCACGCCTCCCATGAGACCGCGTAGGAGGGGTGCTTCGTAGAGCAGCACATCGCTGTCCTCGCTAGCAACGAGATCGGCGAACCCGGATCGAACGAGCGATGCAGCATACGCTTCGGCTTCGTGTATCCTGCCGCCACCGGTGCGCGTGCCGTCGCCGGTCCAGAACACGGGTACGGACATGAGGGAGGATAGGGTGGCGCAGTCTTGGTAGATGGATGCGGAGAGGGGGGAGGTGGCTCGGTCATAGGTTTTTGTTAGTGAGTTGTGCATTGCGTTGAGCGACGAAAGCGGGTGGGATGAGGGTGGTGGTGGTGTCAATTCTGGTGTTGCAGCGAGAGGGATGTCGTCTGGCGTTTCGGGTGAAGGCAGAGGTTGTGGTGCTTCGCCCGATCGGAGTTGGGCGGCGATGGTCTGATAAACCTGCTTCTCGGCTTCGGCGAGCAGCTTTTGTCCCTTGGACTGACTAGCGCCTCCACTGCGAAGACTCTCCTCCAACTGCAGCCAGTTTGTGTGCATGCTGTAGGCGACGGTCTCCGGCTTTGAAGATCCGATCCACCCCAACGGTTCGTCCACGCCTGTCTTTGGTATTGACGGTGCCACCACGGATGCCTCCCTCTTCACGCTCGGCTGCTCCTCCGACACTATCTGCTGCGATTGAGCCCTCCATCGATCCAACAATTCCCCCACCTGCCGCCGTTCCGACTCTCTCAACTCCGACAACGCATCGAGGTGGGACTGAAGTTCAACGAGCCGACCGCGTCGTTCATGTTCGAGCCTACTACGTATTCGATCGAGTTCTCGCTTGTGCCTCCTCTTGACCTGTTCGCGATCCTTGAGGGCGAGCCTCTTTTGCGGGTGATCAAACACCATGATGGGCATGACGCCGTTCTGATGCAGCGAAGTGATGAGCCTGTAGAAACCGATGACGTGGCGAGACGCGTGTGGATCGTCTGCAAAGTGAAGCCGTTGCACCAGCAGGGTAGCATCGATGGCGAGGCGAAGCCCTCGAAGGGAAGAGAGGGAGAAGGGTGGAGAGACTGCTTGTGGCGCCAGCGATCGTATCAAGGGGAAGATGCCACGAATGCCACGGAGGGCCGGAGAGGGACGCATGTTTGCGAATCGCCGCCGACGAGGGCTTCCGTCGGTGCCTTGGTCAGAACGGTTCTTTCACCTCAGAGCATCGGTGTGGTCAATGAGACGAGAAGAGGCTGACCTGGAAGCTCATCTGTGTGAGCTGTGATGGTGTACGGATGATACTTCTACGCCACGTCAAGCAAACGAAGAAAGACCGAAGCCGGATCCAGCCCGCCACGAAGGCTGAACATGCTGCTGCAGGTCGCAATTCAGGGTCCAACAGTTTACCTTTCCTCAAAATGTCCATGGCCAAGAAAATAATAATCTGTTCGTTTCATGACGCGCGACCGAAGAGCCTCACGCGACCCGCTCGTCATACACCACACAGAGCAAAAAAAGTCTCCCAACGTGGGGCTCGAACCCACGACATTCAGATGTAAATCCGAGCATACACTCGGAAACCCTTGAATAAGAGTCTGACGCTCTACCGACTGAGCTAGCCGGGATAGAATTTGTTGCATGAAGTCGCCAAATATTGCGTACATAGATTATGGTTTTTGGGTGAGACACTCACCGTGAGCTCATCTATTTAGGCGTCTCATCCTCTCACCACAAGTCAGGTTGAGCTAAACTCGCACGAGATGCAAGCCAGAACTGATCTGAATGAAAGGATGCCGGCATCCATTTCATAGACACGGAACGAAAGGAATGTGGGAATCGAACAGGAGCTGGAACATGTATAGCCCAAGATGAAGCAGCAAGGTCGAGGAAAAGAGCAGCACCGACGGAAGCCGCATATTAGGGAAGGAGCCAAGCCGAAGCAGGCGAGTTTAGCTGCCATGTCTCTCGTTGATCGAGCAGCTGGAACGCAATCTCGGCATGGGTCGAACAGAGGCCGGCACCATGACCTCGAACTGACCCTCGACGTTTCCCGGAGGATAGTATTCGCAGACGACGTACATCGACGCCTTGTCCTCCTGCATCGATTCAGGCATGAAATGCTTGCGCTGCGAGACGGCGCATCCAACAAATTGCGTCTCCTTCCACACGATCTGCGTCCAGTGGCCATTGTCCTCGCTCATGTGCGGGTTCGTAGCCCAGTTTCGATCTTCATCCAGGAAAGAGTAGACGGCGTTCTTCATCCCTTCCATCGGATCGGTGTAGCACGGATCACCCAGACCCACGGCGATATTCTCACCCGAAGCAGCAAAGTGGTCTTCGGAATGTCCGTACGCTTTGAGGTCAGCCCAGCAGGACGCCATGTTGGCCAGCTCCACGTTCCACTGCAGTGGTTGGAGGCCATAGCGTGCTCGCTCGGCGTTGTGCAAGTCCAGAGCGATCTTGGACGTAGGGACGAGAGCTGCTTCAGCGAAAGGTACGTTGAAGCGATGATCCTGATCGATCGCCGTGTGCTGCTGGTCGGAGAAGGGGAATCGTCGGTTGCAGATGTCGGCGCGAGCAGGACGAGCGATGGGGTGCCCGACAGCTGAATTGATCGAGAAGGACGCCTGGAACAAGGGCGGTGGTCGTGTCCAGTGCACTTGAGCATCGGTAAAGGGTGCAGCGTTGTTGGCCTTTTCAGCGTTGCCATTGACCACGTAGTTGTACACCGTGGAAGTCTGACTGTAGGATGACTCGGACGAGGAGGAGCTCGATTCGGAATTAGAGGTGTGGCTCGTCACTCTGCCGTCTTTGGTGGTTGTCGTGGATGAGTCGTGCTTGCTCGAGTTGGATCGTTGCGAAGAGTGACTTGTCACTTCGGTATGGATCACTGGAGGGAATGGTTGAGAGGGCCTTTTGGTCGTGGCCTGCTCAACTTGGTCGACCTGAGGGTCTGCGAGGAGATCGCCATCGTCAGCGCTCTTCGACGTCTGATCTGTGTCCTTGTTTGAAGACGATGAAGACGTGGATGAATGCGAGGATGAGGACGAGGATGAGGAAGAGTGCGACGACCACGACCAAGACCACGATCGCGATGTTCCACTCCGATCCGAGTTGACCTCGACATGGACCTGCCGACCATCGGGCAGAACCGTGTTTCGCTCCTCTTTTTGTCCACCATGCAAGGCTGATGTCGACGATAGGTCGTTGATCTGACTCTGTACGAAGGGCGTCAACGTTCTTTTGCTATTCGCACAATCTGCACTGGCCCTTCTGGCCAACAGTGATCTTCGCAGACCTCTGTTAGAATGACCAGCGGAGAACGGCAAGAGACGTGCTGACACCCGTTGCGATGTAAAGAGGGCGAATATGCAAAAGGCGACCAGCGCCAAGCTGAGGGAGTTGACCGATCTGAACATCGTGACGATAGCAAGCCAATCCAGTGGACGAAGGAGCGGAAAAGGAAAAGGGGGAGGGGGAATAGCGATGGTGATGGATGATCGAACGATTGCCGTGCGTGCAGTGTTGTCAAGGCAAGTGAGAACGGGCTGCACTCAGCTTTGTGCGGACGAACTCGTTACGAGGCCCACAAAACGTGTCTGGAGAGGCAAGGATGTGGGCTGCCTCACCTTGCACCGGGAACACCGTCTCTTGTGCTGGACATGGATCTGCAAAGTCAAGTCCCAACTGTCGACAGGCACGTCCCACTTTCAATTCGCACGGCCATTTCATATACAATCGGAGCACGCGTACGGCTTGGCTGGACAACCAAACTCAGTCTCATTCCGGCCAACACACCTAGCACGATGCTGCTGAAATGGGCTCCTTTCATGTGGGTTCGAGTCGTGATGCGCTGTGCCGAAATCGCCGAGATCATCGGCATACGATGAGTGGACACTGCGATCTATCAAAAGCAAAGTGATAGTTTCGCCGTTTCCTGGGGCACTGATCACAAATGTGACTGTATCGATGTGGCTTGATCGTGCAGAATAGCACTACTGTATTTTGATGCCAGAGACCTTCCAATCAAGCCCGGAACGCCTCCTACTGGATGATACTCGAGTCGAACATCGCACTCTTCATCGTGCCCACTTCCAGCACATTCAATTCCGGTTGCTACAGCCCACTGCAGCTCAGCCCACCGCGGCCGATGCGTAGCGACCCCTGCTCCTAGACTGGCACCCTCAACAACTCTTGACGTGTTCATTCAGTCTTTCAGTCAAAGGACGGGGTTGACACCGCTCGTGTAGGAGTCGTGGTTTAGAATTAGTGAAATTGGAAGTCAATCGTGAAATCCAAGGTTGAAAGCAGGACGAAGTAGCGAAATGAAGGTCGAAGTCGCTTCATCTGCTCCGATGGGCGATGCAGCACCGAACGACCAGCGAAAGTGACTTCACGGCAGGGCCACACACCAATTCGTCTGGGTGTGGGTAGTTTCACAGCTGCGTCACTTCATATGCGCAACCTCAGGGCGGCTTTGCGGTCTGCAGGAGGACTGAAGGTATCCCAGCGTGTCGGCTGCTGCCGATTGCCCCTCATGTCGCCATGGTCTTCGTCGCGACTCACCACATCTTGCAATGCTTCCTGCAACTTCACTTCTCGAGTCGAAATAGTGTCAGCTCGAGAATCTTCCATCATACAAGACAGAAGGCAATACCGATCGGCGGTCAAGAGGCAGGCCTCGACACGATCTACTAGGCTTCTGGCAATAGTCACTCATCATGCGAGCGGCGGTGCTGCTCGTCTTCTGCTTGATTTGTCTAGCTTCCACGGCTCAGGCTGCGCCTGCCTCCGCCCAAAATGCTCTACAAGATCAGATGCTCAAGCGTCGCAACAGCAAAGACGAAAAGCCCGGGACCGAAGGCGAACACCATCGCCGTCGTCGTCACCAAAATTATCCTCGAGAGAAAACCCGCCATCCCGAAGATGTGGCGGAGCGCTTACACACACGCGAGCTGCCAGCTGAAGAAGCACGCAACGCTGAAAGGGCTGTCTCTGGCCTCTTGCCGCAGGAAGAGCTCGTGACGGATCTGAAGGCCAAGGTTTCCGGGATCGAACAAGGTCGTCGCGATAAGGCAAGGCAGCGGCAGCAAGAGATACAGGTGGTCGACTCGATTCACATGGCCAGGTACGGAAAAGCGCCTCCCAAGTTCCCGGCTATCACAGTAAGTGGATATGTCTTTTAGTCTGGCATCGTCTGAAGGTCATTACTGACCCTGATTTTCTGCTATGGATGTGTCTGGTTACAGAGAGTCGGCAGTGCCATCGGACTCACCGCTGCCGTCATGAACGTGGTCAATTTCATCTTTTCGGCCAAGACGACTGCTTTGGCGACAGACCAGTTTTCGGCTCCACCGACGCCGCCTACGCTCATCGACACGGCTGCACGATGGGACGGCTCGCAATACACCCTGTTACCTGTGCCGGAAGATGAGCCGGACAAGGGTCGTTTTCAAAAGCAAAAGCGTAGCAAGCTCAAGGGGCAGGTGCAGCACTTCCGCAAGCGGCTTGTGCGCGGAACGACTCCGTCTGCCAGATTAGCGGATAAGATCGCAGGCGAAGCACAACACGACAGGCTTTCGAAGCGGTGGATCGTCTCCAGCATTGTAGGAGCTGGTCTGGGAGCTGCCCTTGCTCCTGGCTTCACTTCGACCATCAGAAACAAGGAGGAAGACGTTGACAAGCCTCCTTTCGATCCGTACGATCCCAACGTGCTGAAACCAAAAGACTCCTTTAGTGCTGCAGCTGCCCTCCCGAACCAGCCTCTCCCGGCAGCGCCACCGACATTTCCTCTGGCGAGCGCGGCTGCATCCACACCTCCAAACGTCGACGGTATCGTATTCCCTGTGGATGTCCCGACAGCTCCTGCCACCAGCCAATTGCGAGCTCAGGTTCCAGTCGACTTTTCGTCAGGACAGACCCACGCCGTTCTCCGCAAAAGAGCCGTACACGACGTCCACAGCGAAAGTGGATCTTCGTCAACGCTAGACAAGCGCTTCTTCTTCTCTGGTGGGCCTTGGTCGAAGTTCGCAGGAGCTGTGACCGTAGGTAGCATCATCCCGTTGCTGGCCGAAGGAGTTTCGCACGCGAGGTGGCGACAGACGAACCCACGCGATCGAGACATTCTCAAGGAGCTGGATAATACGCCAACGTACGGCGCTGTTGGTGTGCCGGGTCACCAGCCCGGCCAGCTTGCAACGAATGCCATGCCAGGTTACGGTACGTACGTGACACAGCTCGAGCAACAGCAAGCTGCGAAGCAGGCTGCGACACAGACAGCGACTCAGTCCATGCAGGGAGGTGCCTCGCGACCCTCCACGGGTGCTGCTGCCGCTGGTCCTGCTGGTGTTACTGATTCCAGCGCTAGTGGGCTGGACAACGACTCAGTCCTGCGACGTCGCGGAACCGCACATCTCGAGAAGCGAAACAAGTGGCTCGCTGGAGGAGGTCTGGCTCTGTTCGGTGCTCTTCTAGGTTACGCCCAGTCTGCCACGCAATTCCCAACAGATCGAGACGAGGAAAAGGACAAGAAGAAGAAAGAGGCCGAAAAGAAACAACAAGAGCTGATGGCCAAGCAGCAGCAGATGCAAGGAGGTGGAGATGGTGGTCAACTTGCTGCGGACCCAAGTGCGGGTGCTGGGGGAGCTTCGCAGGCCGACTTGCTCGCTTCAATCCCGGTCAAGCCTCTTCCTGGTGTGGATGGTGCTACGATGGGTGGCTACCCGCCGGCTTTCAGCGATGGGGTGGGGTCCGGATTCGCATCGCCAAGCTCGAGTGGCGCCTTCACGCCTGCTGGTAGTACTGGCGCTCAATCGCAAGGAAGCACTGCTTCCCTGAGTGACTCGCTGAATGCTGCGGCAGGGTATCAGACTTCGGGCAGTGGCGCCGGTGGTAGCGGCAGCGTTCTCAGAAAGCGAGACGTCACCTCTGCCAAACCGCATCTGCACGACGACGGCCCCGCTCCATCGCTATCCAAGCGCAACCCCGGAATCGGCACCGCTCTATCCATTGGAGGTACAGCCATGTTCCTCGGCACCCTCGCAGGCAACATATATGTTGGAGACAAGGAGAAAAAGAAGCCGGTGCCACTGGTCACGCCGAACGCTAACACACGGGGTCCCATGATCCCTGGCGGTGACCTGTACACTGAGTACCTCGAGTCTCAGAGGGGTGTGTCTGGTGGTGGAGCAGGTACTGCGGGTCAGGATGCGATTGGCGGTGTGGGTTCTGGGGTGGCTACTGGTGCGCCTGCGAGTGTCAAGTGGGCTGCTGCTGCGGCGCCTGCTAACTTCGCTGGTGGGTCCGAGCTGGCCTCCAGCGCGAACAACGGTGGAGTGTGGCGCGGTGGTAGCGCCGATGGCTCTCTCAGCGGCTCGAACTGGGGTCAGACGTCGGACGGGAGCAGCGAAGACGCTCCTGCCGCTCCCGTTTTGAAGAAGCGAACCATGCTCAAGAAGCGCACGCCGTTGCTGTTCCCAGAAGCAGCTATTGCCGAGACAGAGGGAGTTGCGGCTGCCGAGGCTGGCGCCGGTGCTCTCTCAAGGCTCGGTCAGGGAGCTGCTACCGCCTCTGAGACTGAAGCCGGAACAGCATCTTTGGTTCGCAACGGTGCAGGTGAAGGTGGTGCGACTCGCGCGGCGTACGTTGGTCGAGGCACGGCTGTCAACGGAGAAGCGTCTCTGAGACAGGGCTCGGGTTTGGTACGCGGTACGTGGATGGGAATGGGAAGCCGCACTGGTTCGACAGCGAGGATCTTCCGCTCCAACCCGCAAGCTTGGGGTTCGGCACGACCGGCAATGGTGTCCGAAGGTGCGGGGGCAGCGGTGGAAGCGGGAACACCTGCGACGGTGGAAGGTGCGACCGCGACCGGGGGTGAGGCTGCAGCAGCAGGCAAGGAGGAGGAAGCAAAGGGCTGGTCTGTGGCCAAGGCGATGGGTGTGATTGGAGGGGGTGCGGGTGCTACGATGACGTTCAATGGTATCGGGTAGAGAGAGAAGCCCTGCTTGGTCGCGACGTGGCCTGTTTGCTTGTTCATCACGTTCACGGTGAATCACACAACACTCTCGTTTTTCCTTTGTATCGTTTTGCAGTTGCATTGCCTACCGAACGATTCGCTAAACTGTTTGCTTTCGCAGCGCAATCCTTTTGGGATCGGATTCGAGCGACGTGCTCGCGAAAAGCTGGGAGGTCGAGAGGAAGGGATGTACAGCAATTGGGTAGTGTGCGTCTGACCTATGGGTATGATAACCTAGTCGATACACGACCTTAAATATTGCTGCTTTTCGATCTAGGCTTAGTATAACTTTTTGACCCCGCAAAGCTACGCGCCTACGATCTCCGAGAACGGAGAGAGGCGAAACTGAGGGGGCTTCGAAAGAGCCAAGAGGACGGAGGAGGGAGAAGAAGGAGGGAGAGAGGGTAAGGGCGAGTAGGAGTTCGGAAAACGTAGACGTGGGCTCAGGCGGAGGAGGCGAGGAGGGAACGGGGTCAGGATGATGATGCGATGGTTCAGATTGGGTAATGCTGGTACTGCTGGGAGCACAAGTTGGTCAAGTACGAGGAGAAGGTTGCGGCGATCAAGGATCGAGTGTCGACACTGTCCGAACAAAGGTCGTGCACAAGCAGGCGCTGCTGAGCAAGTGATACGCTGCCATACGAATTGCCATAGCACGGCCAGATGATGATTGAAGATGATTCGCAACGTTCGAAGAAGATGATGGGGGAGAAGAGGGGACGGACGAAACAAATCATCGGAAGGAACGCTTTTTGGACAGGTTTTCGCTTTCTTCCAAAACGCTCAACTTTTTCTTTTTCCAGGCCGCTGCGGTTAGAGGATTCGGGGGATTACGTAATTCACACATTGATCTCCTCGACCCGCACACACCCTTCTCAAGTCGATGTAGCGATGAGTACTTCACTTTGAGAAAAGCATCACAGTCACATGCAGCTCCAGTGTCGACGGTTCTTGCTGTGAAACCAATGCATGACTTTGAAAATGCGTGAATGGAGGAAATTTACTACACACTCGCAGTGTTGGCACTCGACGAACGAGCCTTGACCACATCAGCCTGCTTCTCAACCACCGCCTTGACCGCCGTCACCAGTCCCTCGACACCCGGCTTGCCCTCTGGCTTGACGCCGATGACCCTCCTCTCCTTCTCGAGCAATCCGACCATCTCCTTGGGCAATACGTCTCGCTGGAAATCAAACTCGGCACCCGCTTTTTCCAGACTCGAAGTGACGGCCTCTGCGAACTTGGCGGGATGAGCGGTGGACAGCACGATCTGATGCGCTTCGCCGTCGGCAACGTTGGCAGCAGCCTTGAGCCCGACGGCTGTATGCGGGTCGACGAGGTAGGATCCGGCAGGGAAAGCAGAGGTGGGTTTGCGGGTGAAGTACTGCAATACGGTTTCGCGGATTTCCGAATCCGAGACCCGCTCGGCTGCAAAGTCGCGACGGGCGATGGTGAGCTGCGCTTTGTCGACCTCCATCTTACCCGAGGTCTTGAGGGAGGACATCCAGGAGGCGAGTTGTTCACCGGCTGCTTCTTCGCGTTCTTGCGCCGATGCAGACGAGTGAGAGGACTCCTGGGACTCGTAGGCGATGTACCAGAGCAGACGTTCGAAGTTGGACGAGACGAGGATGTCCATCGCCGGTGAAAGCGTGGCTCGGACGCCGCCCTGTTGAGCACCGTCGGAAGAGCCTTGTGCTGGTTCGGTCTGAGCAGACGAAGAAGCCGAGTCGGTGGAGGCGCCGGACTTTTCGTATCGACCTGTAGCCCAGAATCGCTGCAAGATATCGTTTTCGTTGGTAGCAACCACGAGGCGAGAGACGGGAAGACCCATACGCTTGGCGTAGAAGCCAGCGAGGATGTCACCAAAGTTTCCTGTAGGGACGACGAATTCGAGATGCTCGGGTGTAGGTTCGGAAGCGGACAAGCCGAGCTGCCTGCGGAAGCTAAAGTATGCGGAGAAGTAGTAAACGATCTGAGCGAGGATGCGAGCCCAGTTGATCGAGTTGACTGCGCCCAAGCGGTGCTTCGCGTTGAACTCGGCGTCGGAGAAGAGCGCCTTGACGACGTCCTGACAATCGTCGAAGGTGCCCTGTACGGATACGTTGTGGACATTGTCATCGAGCACGGTGGTCATCTGCGCCTCCTGGATGGGACTGACACGTCCGTCCGGGAAGAGGATGAAGATGGAGATGTCCTCCTTGGAGCGCACACCCTGAATGGCGGCACTGCCCGTATCACCGCTGGTCGCGCCTACGATGGTGAGCTTCTCCCGCTGATCGGCTGGCTTGCCCTTGTTCCTTCGCTGCAAGAAGTACTCGAAGAGGTTGCCGAGGAGCTGAAGCGCCACGTCCTTAAAGGCGAACGTAGGACCGTGCCAGAGTTCGAGACACCATTCCTTGTCGTCGAGACGCACGAGAGGTGTGGTATCTTGGTGTCGGAAGGTAGCGTACGACTTGTTGATCACCTGCTGAAGGTCAGCGGATGGAATGCCTCCCTGTGATGGGTCTTCTGGGATGTAGAGGGAGAGGACGCGATGCGAGAGCTCGGAGAAGGAGAGGTTTGCCCATTCGGTCTGCCAGTTGGCGGGAAGCTGAGGGATCTGTGCGGGGATAAAGAGACCACCATTGGGAGCGAGACCGGTGAGGACGGCCTCCTCGAAGGTGAGTCGCTCGGGACCACCTCTTGTGCTGAGGTACTTCATGATTCGCGACGAGGTTGAGGATGATGTGTTCCAAGTGTTGGTGTCGGTGTTGGACAAAGAAGGTGGAGTTCAGTGGATCGCAGTGTGGCCGAGCACGTTTTTTGGTGCATGAAGCTGTTCTGTGAGTCACCTGCCAAGATGCCGACCCCATTTCTTCTTGATCCAGACAGATTAGAGGATTCTCCCGCACGTGATGTGGCTCAATTGAGATTGCAACTCATCGGGAATGATCTGGCCGATCGAAAATGCCTCGTTGTGAAAATAGGGCTCGGAAAAAGTCGCCGCTGCTGTTCACGTCGGGTTTCACATCTCGCAGCTGGTGGTGCGAGCCGCCAAGTTGAATCAAGACGCCGAGGCTGTGCCGACGGGATCAGCTGGAATGCTTGACCGTCATCGATGCTGGTCGTCGAGCAGAGAAGCCCTCTCTGACTCTGATCGCACACCTTATCGGTCGACCAACGCAGCACAAAGACGGAATGCAGCGCGATGCCCAATCCTTGCTGCGGATTCGAAAGGCACACCCTTGCTGGCTAGGTTCTCGACAGTGATGGAAGCTATGCCCACGCCGGATATCAGTGGGTTACAGCATCAATGCGCGTCGGGAAGGAAACGACAGGCACGGTCGAGCATGTGCGCCTCGGTGACCATCCAATCACGGATAAATGCCCAAGGCTTGCGTACACTGTACCTCGCGAAGCGCATCGCAGACCAGGTGACACAGGAGACAGCAAAGTGCTGCATACTCATGATGCTCGCCTTCCTGTGAAATCGGCTGTTCCGAAGGAATTCGAGGACGGACGGACCGGTCAGATCACGCCTGGCTGCAAAACAAGGCACGCTCGTGGCACGATTGTCGAGGAGCACCTGTACATGCCAAGGCCTGATTCGAATTTCTGAAACGGAAACCAAGCTCCGATAGCAACTCAGCCTGTCGATCCCGAATCGTGCACCTGTTCTATTGTGCCCATGTGATGATGCCCGCCGCCCACGTCGATGTGCGAACGATGAAAGCACTCGCGAGCTCTGGCAAGCGGGCCATCGGCTAGACACACCTACGTTGACGAACAATTGCTGGGCCAGTCTTGGTCATATTGCGACATGCAGAGTCGAGGTGACTTAGGATGGTCCCACGATGCATGTGCGCGTCTCGCCTGGCTATCGCTTAGAGCCCAGGGCCGAGGCAAGTCGCTCGGCAATCGAAGATCACGGTAAATTAACCTAGCGTGTGCTTTCATCGGATCCCCAGCGTCGCCGTGTCCAGCCAATCCGAACCGGGTTTCAAATGTGTGCGGAGATCGCACTCAGGTTGGGTGCCCAGGTCGGCTGATGCAGCAGAAGCGTGCCTGTGCCCACATGGACGGCACCCTCGTTGAGGCCGAAGAAGCAGACGCGTGCAGCCCCACAACGGTGGCTGTGCCTAGCGTCGCTTCTATAGCCCAGAACCTCACACCCTTTCCACATCGGGAAGCCTCCTGTAGTACTGTATCTACTGCACCGATAGCATCGGTTCGGATCGATCCGTGTGTCGTCTCGGGACAATCCCAGAGGGAGACGAGCAAGGGCGGCAGACCGTCTATGACTCCTTTGTGTTTCAGCGTGTTGCCTGCGGTTCGGTGACCTTCCAGCACGCCGTCTTTGCCTGTGTACGCTTGGCGAAGAATGGCAGTGTGTCGGCTTGCAGCGCTCACGAGTCATGCGCTGTGCAAGCCTGTATACAAGCCATTGTTGCTCGACATGAAATGTGCGCAGACACGACCACAGCGACGGCTCAGACGACGACATGGACGAAAGCATAGAAGAATGCGAACAGCAGGTTCGTCGAGAAGCAGACTGCATTCGTGTGTGCGCTGCTCCCCTGTGCTATCCCCACCTGGATCTTATTGATTCATTTTTGTGCGGATGTTGAGTTCGAGGACTTACGAATTCCTAAACCCCCTCAACATCGTGATTTTTTAGACCGTTCAGCGAGGTTTCAGCTTTGGAATAATCGAACACAAAAGTGACACTTTTGGCGCCTCCATTTGGCCCTCACACGAGTCAGCCGCAGCTCAGCCAGAGTGCAGTGCAGTGCAGTCGAGTGAATGAATGATTGAATGCAGTCCGTCTCTTGCGGCGACTGTGCGCTTTGACAGGCTTGCGCCCGCATTCGACTCTTTTCAACCTTCTCGTTCCTTCTCTGCCTTCCATCTTGTCGTTCATCCACAGCATATCTCTTGAACCCGACACTTCTTGCTGCTGTTGTCTTCAAGATCATCCTCGTACCACCTCATCCCAGCTCGCACTTGCCAGTACACCGGCACACCATAGTCTCTCCGTCTTTCTCGTCTTACCGCTGACTCACTACCCTGCAGCCTCGCACCACCCATCGAGCACACGTTCACTCTCATCGCTACACCGCATTCACCCGCCCATCTCGCCATCACCACTTTCATACCAGCCGCTGCCCGTGTCACGCTCAGCTCTTGAATCTGTGCGCCATCGCAGCACTCAATCTCTCAGCGTTCCTGCTTGTCCGCGCACGACGTACTACCGCTCCCGCTTGACGATCTCTGGATCATCGGCTTGGACTACCTCCGTACGCTCCCACAATGCCCGACTCGGCAGAAGCACAGTCGCTCAAGTCGCCCACTTCCCCCAACCGTCGTCCAGAGGTGTGCGGCCCTCATGCACCAGAGCGACCTTACCCCATCTACCTTCGCGGCAAGGTCGAAAAGGGCTTTGGCCGTGGATCCAAAGATCTCGGTTGCCCCACAGCCAATCTTCCTGCCAGAGTGGTAGGCCCAGGCTCCTCTCTCACGCGTACCGGCGTCTACTTTGGCTTCGCTCGTGTATTGCCTCAAGATCCCGACGATCCCACTCTCACCGACTCGGAAGACAATGAGCTCACAGTCTCGACTGCAAACATTGACGACGAAGACGACGAGGTGGTTCTCGGCGCAAGCCCCATCGGCGAGGGCGGACAAGGCTTTCTCGACAGTCAACTCCCGCGATCTCGCAACGGCAGCCGCGGTCAGCCCAGCCCGGCGTCGGTCCTCGAAGCAGCACCCTCCAGGCCTGACAAGGAATGGGACGTCAGCCGCCAAGAGCTGCTCAGCAATGGCGCCGCCTCCGCGCATGGCACCTCTGCATCCACTTCCTCCACAAGTACGTTGACATCCGTTCGAAGCAAGAAGACAAAGCGTGTCCACCTCGAACGCGAAGACTCCCAGGTCTACCCCATGGTCATGAGTGTCGGCTGGAATCCATTCTACAAGAACACTCACAAGACTGCCGTAAGTACACGACTGATTTCTCACTGGCGTCGTTGGAAACTCTTTTCGAAACTGACCTTTTGACGGCGTTCGCTACATCTACTCCCCGACAGGAGGTGCACATCCTACACGACTTTGCATCCGACTTTTACGGTCTCGAGATCCGCGTCGTCGTCCTCGGCTATGTCCGTCCCGAGTACAACTACGATTCAATGGGTAAGTTTCTCAACCACAGACACAAGGCAGCGACCATCCGACGCCAAGCCTTGCGTGCAGCAGCAGACTGACCGTGTCACTCGTCCCTTTGCTCCGCTACTGTTCTTGTTCACCTGCATATTCTCGCTGTTGCTTGCCGCCCACGCGCATCGCCATCATATATCGACACCCGTAATCGCTCGCGCTGTCATCCGTCCCCGACACCGTGCCACGATCTATGCTTGTCACTGTCATCACCGACCACCACTGCCTTTTTTGGATCGTGACCATCAATGTCGTCTCGACCGTCACTATTTGATGTCGCCACTGTCACCCGCCGCCGCTGTCACGGTCGCCGTTATCACCATGGCGACTCTGTCATCGTCACCAACCGCTCTCATCCTCACCGCCGCTATCTTCGTCGTCGTCGCCGCCACCGTTACCGTCGCTGCCTTATGCACGACAGAGGCTTTGATCGAGGATATTGAGATGGACAAGAGAGTCACAGTCAACTCTTTGGCGCGTCCGCTCTACCAGGACTACTCGCAAGACCCATTCTTGGGTCGCTAGTATCCGATCTTCTCGCGCGTCGACTCGTAGTAGCTCTGGTCTCTATCCTTCCTTACCACCACTATTCGGTCTTGTACACTTATTGTACTTAGTCACCTATCTCTCTTGGGTTTTCTCGTGCTGGTCCCACAGCACGACGTTGTCACTATGCAAATTCTTATGGTATTTTATGCGACAAGGTGTGTGACGACTTGCGCCTGGTTGAGACTTTACCTTCAGTTTCGACTTGGGCCATCTTAGGAATGGAGTGCTACACAGACCATCTCGACTGGAAGAAAATGATTGCCATTGATGAGAGGATGATACTACTACGTGATTGAGTCATCGACCACCATCACTCAGTGGGCATATGAATCATCTCTGGGATCTCGGAGATCTGCTCCCGGGCTTTGGTGAATGCGCGGTCCAGATCCTGATAGAAAGGACAGCCTCTATCGGCATCGTGCCCGTCGAAGCGGTATCCGCAGCTTGGGCAGACTTTGAACGGCGAGCGATCAAACGCCACGCATCCGAGCTGGTCGATGGACACGATGCGAAGAATATACGCATTAGGGCCGTAGTTGCGAACAAACGACTGGCGAGGTTCTTGCGTATCATCGATTGGTTCGAGGCGGGGAGCGCAGACGTCGAGGAGGCCGGCTGCGTCGTCATTGCTGTACTCCGAGTCGGTGGAGTCTTGATCATGATTGTCGTCGCCGTCCATGTCCTCGTCCTCGTCATCACTATTGCTGTCTGCCTCCGACGACGTGTCAGACGCCGTCTCGATGTCAACGTATTTCGTACCCTCCTTCAACATCGCAATGACTGTTGTGAGCAAAAATACTTCCCAGGGGTCCGAATTGCAGGTGTTGCAGGTTGAAGACCTGCGGAACTTGTCGTCCCAAGCCGCAAGAATCTCGTTGACTTTGCACATCCGGTCGTAATGAAGTTCTTTGAGGTCGAACAAAAATTTGTAGCCGATGCGCTTTTTGTCCTCGTCGCTGAGGCGATCCCATTCGAGGCCAAGAGTGAGGCGCGAGCAGCTTTGGAGTACGGAAGGGGAACGATGAGCGGCGCCAGCTTGGACAAATTCGGCAAATGCGGCAAAAGGATTCCATCCGATCACCTCGTGTGGATGGTCGAAGCAGTCCATGAGGTCGGCGAGAAACTTCTCGAAGGCCTCAAGCAGAGCGTCGTTGTCGACCTCCTTGGGCTTGTGAACCTCGGAGAGATACAGATTATACTGAAGACAAGATATGGGAATGAGCGCGTTGGCCAACATCAAGCACTCGGGGAGCAAACAAACTTACCATGGCGATGAATCTCTGTGACCTGCTCTTATTGAAGTCCTTGCCGACTCTCTTAGGAACTTCGAGCGTCTGCCGAAGGCTATGAGGAACAAAGTCATGAAACTGCTTCGAGAGCATGTCGTGACGTTTGACAGGATCAAGAAGCTGCACATAGATCTTGGCCTTGTTGTCGCCAGCAGCACGAAGCTGCTGGCTGAGTGAAGACTTTTCGATTTGGGTTGCCGAGGCAAGCTCCAAGAGATAAATTTCGTCTTCGGTTACAACAGAGCCATCTGAATCGATAGAATGCATGTCGTAGTGCATGTCCTCGTCCGAGTCTGCCGAGACCGATGCAAAACGGGGTGTACGATGCGGCAGCTGGCGGGACTTATCGGGGGAGCTGAGAAGCTGTTCGTCGTCATCTCCGCTTACACTGTCGGAGCTGGCGATCCGACGAGAGAGGCGGCGAGGATTGGTGCGCTGGGGTGAGGTGGAGGGAGGTGCTGGCGATGACTGCGTCGATCGCACCATGGCTGCTTATGGGGATGTGAGAGGCGCTGTGTCGATGCAAGGAGCCTAGTCCAATCATGGGGGTATAGATCTCCTTTATATTGATCCTTTGACTCTTCGGAGCAGAGCGGGCAGATTCCACATGCCGTTCGATGCTTTCTTCCTTGTCCCAGCCAAGCGTCTGCTCTAATGCTGCCCAGAGCGAGAGCAGAGGCGCCACATGTGACAAGGCGCCAATTGTTCTTGTTCGCGGCAAGTCACTCGTCGGCTACGGCGGAGGATCCGTCTTGGCTGGTCAATGCACAACACTGGGCTGGTCCTCGTATCCTTTGCCTCATCGTTGATCCTCCTGCTGCCGATGCTGACTTTGCTGCCTCACGGCGTGCAGCGCGTGAAATTGACGCGTCAGAGCGCTGCGGATTTGCCTTGTGACAAGATCACACTGCGCCACTGCCTAGGCGCAGCGCATGTGTCGTTCCCGCTACGGCGCGGCTTCGGCCCCTTTCCGATTTCTACATGCTGAGGTGTTGGGCGTAACGAGTGACGATCAGGCAAGGACATTTTTCGAAATGAGATGTGGCGCGCCTTTGCCTGTGCGCATGGAGGACTCATCCGAGATCACAGACTGGCGTGTTCGTGAGAAGATGACGACGTGTGCGTGTATTGCAAAGAGTATCGTTGGTGAGCGGAGCAGGGTAAGGACTACTCCATGGGGTTCGTTCTTCCAGCCTGTCATGGGAAGTTGAGATTCGCCGAAAGACAAAGTGCAAAGATGTTAGTATAGGCTTGTCGGCGTCGTACGGCGATACTGAGTGTAGCTAATCGCTTGGAAATCATACCTGTTCATCGTCGTCTAGATCCCGGTTGCAGCCACAAAGCAACTCTGTCCACCACGGCTTGCGAGCCCCGTCCGTATCGTCGTCAGATGCTGCCTGCCGGGAAACGCGCATGGCTCTGCGTGGTCGACCCATGCTCTGCCCTAACGTGTCTATCCAGTCGTCCCCCTCGGTGATGCCGAGCTCTCTGAACTTGGAACTGCTTGTCGACGTGCGCGTGGGTGGCGGACGCGGTGCGCTGCCCGCGTCGAGACTGCTCTCGCCCAGATCTCCGTTAGCGTCCAGGCCCTTGCCTCTGCCGCTCATTCCCATGGCTACCTCCTCGTCCAAGCCGCCCTGATGGATCGTGGTCGACGTGGTCCTCGTGCGCTTTTGATGGTCCTGGTTCGATGCGAAAGGGTTGTCGCCCGCATACCTCGAGTCAAATTCGTGATCCTCGCTTTCAGCTTCAGCTTCCGTGTCTGTGGCGACAATGGTCGGCATAGACCGCCCCTTTCCCTTTCCCTTGCTGTTGGCGTGCGAAGCTTCCAGCGCTTGCCGCTGAATGCTCGAAGCTCGCCCGACAGTCACGATGGGTCGCAACGCTGTTGGCGTCGGCTTGAGGGACGAGCGTTTGTGAGAAGTCGGATTCGAGGACTCAGCGGTGACGCCTTCGGATGGGTCACGGAATGGGTCGCGGACGCCGCCGTTTGCGCGGTGAGCGTAATCGCGGGACGAGCCTGCACTATCGCCGCTGACATTTCTACCGTGGGTCGCAGAGGACACGCGAGAGCCGATCTGCGGCAACTCCTTGTTGGGTCGCTGATCGTCCGATACCAGAGAGCCGTGCGAATGTGAGCTTTCGAAGGAGGAAGGACTCGCAGGCCGATGCAATCCTCGCGCTGCACCTCCTCCTCCTCCGCCGCTTGTCGACGAGGCGCCAGACTCTCTGCGCGCTGAAGCATCTCTTCGTCGATCTCCTAGCGTAGCATGGTAAGGCATGCTTGGACTCGCGCTAGCGGCGTCAGCGAGTCTCTCAGAGGAGGGCCCGGATCCCAATCTGTTGTGCGTATGGGCAGTGAAGCCGGATGAGCGGAGCATCGACAATCGATGGGTCAAGCTGGTGCCTGTTGCGACGGTCGAGTTGCGATTCGAGATGATCTTGGAGGTACGTTGCGCTTTGCGTCTTTGACGCTCTTCGGCGGCCCAGCGCTCCAGATTCTGCTGGACGCGCTTGGCTTCCGAATCCTCTTCGCTGGTTGGCGGATAAGTAGATGTGGTGTAAGGTGCCTCATCAGAGTCGTGCGAGTCTTGACGGCTGCGTGTCTGATGTCGATCAGCAGCGTCGTACTGGACATAGCCGTTGGCAGATGAATTGTACAAATCTAGATTCTTGTACGAGGAGGCGCTTGCTGCGGATGTCTCGTCGATTGTGCTGAGCTTCGGATGTTCGAGATCGACGTAATGCCCATTGCTAGGTTGTTTTCCCCTGTGCGATGCAGGGATCGAGGTGCCGACGCTTCTGACGGAGCTATTCGGCTGGTCGAAGCTATGTTCCGCGTCTGCCCAGGAAGAGTAGGAAGGCTTGGCGCCATTGTCGATCAAGTTCGCAGTCGATGCCTCGGACTGCAAGGTGGTGGTGAAGTCAGAGTCCTGAGCGTCGGTAAGCGTCGAGGCAAATGAGACATCCGACAGCTCGGACGCTCCCTGATCGCGGGCGAGATGAAGACCGCGCGCCTCTGGAAGGGCTGCAGAGCCCCGGTCGACTTGAGTCATGAGCGAAGCTGGTCTGGGGTATCCTTGCTGTCCTGTGTCGGCTGCCTGTGATCATGAGAGGCTCTCCCTCGAGCAAGGTGGACAGGAACGGTATGAAACGACCAAAGCGGCCAGCATGAGGTTTCGCATGCGCTGTAGTAGTGTATGAAGCGGACCGTCGAGTCGATTGAGCAAGATGTAGTGTTAGTCTCCAGACAATTCGTTGCGTCGAAGCAAGGATACTTGTATGGGCGAGGCGCAACAATAGTGCTATGGAAGAAAGGTCGACGTGACGGGTGATGGATCCGTGGAGATGGCGTGAGTAGAAGCCTCACAGGTAGGACAAAGATCGGTGGCCGAAGCGAGGGTTGGAGGTTGTTCAAGAAGCGACACAAACTGCGTCGCCCGGCATCTGGCCGCTCAATGAATGCTCTGAGCCGGCTCGGACAAGCGCATGGGGAAGACACGCTGTGCTGTGCCGCAATTTTGGCGCCTGCTGCAACCCGGCAAAACAGCAAGTGACTGGCGGGCGTCCGCAGGCGAGACAAAGGCGCTGTGTGCTGCTGTGCATGAAGGATCCTTTTTGGAATTGGAAATTGGTCTCGATTTCAGCGCATCACGGAAGCATGCGCCCGAACAGGCAGGCTATTGTACATCCGTGTGATGATGGACAGAACGAGCTCGTCAGGGGTCTTGGCGAAATTTGACAGAGGGGTTTATGTTCCAACCGCGCCCTGTATCGGCCTTCATCCTCTTGAAGCCAAACAATCACAATCCACCGCTATTGCTGATCTCTCATGGTCGGACCAATCTCAGCATCCGGACATAAGACAAGTGGAGCTTTGGCCCGCAACGATCGCGGAGAAGAGTGCTCCTTGGCTTGCCAAACAGCAACGACAGCGGGGGAACGACAAAGGAATCCCTTGAAGCGAATTCTGAGGTGAGATGAACAAAGAGCTGGTCTAACATCCCGGCGCTCAACCCGAGGCGGGCGGTTGCAGAGCAAGACGCGTCTTGGAAATTCTGCAGGTCGAACGAGAGACACAGCAAAACACGCTTTCCGTCGAGCACCTCTCAAACACGCGCTGGTGCAGCCAGCCAACTTCTTGAGAATCACGCGACGGGCGTTCTGTGGTGTACCATTGTGTATCGGCCAAGGCGACGACTTCTCGACCTCCATCTCTACTGTTGTCGCGCTCGATCAGATCATTAAGACGGCCTCGCCGCTCTACCATCCGCCTTCGCATCCGCATCCGCCTTCGCATCAGGTCGGTTCATCCGCCACGAGGAACTCAGATAGGAACAATACCATCAAGTGTTCGGATTGCGCGCTTAGGGAGATTCGGCCCTCTCTCCCTTTCTCCACAGGCTTGGGCTCGATCGGCACATACGAGCAACCCAATATTGATACGTCTCGTTAAACGCGAAATCGCTCCGGAACATAGGCCGCCCTGCGCTCGCATCCACCGCTCCATCTTGTTCACCGTCACAGATGCTGCGCAAGACACTCCCAACTTCCACGCCGACACCATCATCCTCATCACCCGTGCCGACCTGAACAAGCATGCCCGCCACATCACGTAGAACAACGCGGGTCAGCACGTCTGATTCCGCAGATGCCCGTGCCTCATCCACCTCATCTAAAAGAAAGACAGGCTCTTCCGCCGCCTCCTCCACATCGTCATCCACTCGCTCCTCAGCGGCATCTTCTGGCGTTATCCCGACGGTAGCTGCTCGCAACGCCTCGAACAAGAAGTTCGATAGGAAAGAGCGCCGACTGGAGGATCTCTTAGATGACACGATCGTCGCAGATGATGCCCGCAGAGTCGACATCAGCATGGGTGCTTTCGAGCCGGTCAAGGCGGCGTCGGCATCCTCATCCAAGAGGTCGAGACAAGACGCCGAAGCAGCCGCGCGCAAACTCAAGCAAGCTACCGCTCGGCGCGAAGAGCCGCCAAAGACCAAGCGCAAGCTTCGTCAAAGTGAGTCAACATTGTTCCCGAGTCTTCTGTCTCCATGCCTCACACTGACCCTTGTTCGTGGTCTCCGGTTAACAGCGCTCGGTGACGAGTCCGACGACGACTTCATCTTCAGCCGCGAACCCGCTCGACGGAACGGTGCTGCCGTATCATCTTCCTCCTCATCAGCATCAACGTCGTCAGCGCCGACGACATCTGCAGCATCTCGCAACGGACTACCGACATCCTTATCCGGCCGCACCGTCTTTGAGCCTCTGCCGGACGAAGCAGGAGGCGAGACACCCATCATCAGGAGGAATCAGGCGTTCCGCGCAGGTTTGGAGAACAAGCCTCGTCGTCCGACAGGTCGCGAAGCCGAACAGCAATCTCGCCGCAGCAGTCTCAACCTCAAAGGACAACGGCGCGTCTCAGAACTCCGCGACGGCACCGTGGCGCATCCTCACGAGGATGTGCCAGACTACGAGTTGTACCGACACTGCAGCGACCAAATCCCTCCGGTGGTACGCATGAAACACATCATAAGCTGGATCATCAAACGGTCGCTCAACATCGCCACGGGCAAGGCAGAGCTTCCAGTACGGCCGCGTGACGCGGCAAAGAAGACCAAGGGCAAGGCGAAGGAGTCCAACGAGCTCCCGACCTTCAACGAGGCCGAGCTCAAGCTGCTTCGATCGCGAGAGTCAGAGGTGACCGCGGTTCTCGAGCAGGTCCTTGCAGACCTGAACGAAGGTGTATTTGGCATCAACTGGATGGGTCAAAACGACGAGGCCAAGAGCAAGCATCTGCAGCCGCATCCACGTAACGAGTCGAACCGCAAGGCTGCCGCACAGCTGTCTGCCATCGTCGATGCCATGCGCAGCGAGTCACAAGCGTGGAGCAAAGAGCTCACTCGGCTCGAAGATTACGAGGTCGAGACGGCCAGGCTAGAGGCGCTTCTGCAGGACGACAGCACGGCAGACTCGGGCGATGTGATAGCGTGGGATCGTCAGGATTTGGACGAAGCTGGTCTGCAGCAGCTGCGTGACGCCGAGGCGGCGGTCGAGTGGCTTGGGCGATTGCAGGGAGATGCCACGACCGAGACGGCCAAAGCCAAGCCTCGATCCAAAGGGCGCAGCTCGAAAGCGGCGAACGCACGTCAAGACGAAGAGGCCGCCGATCTCAAGGGAACGGAGCACGACGCCCGATGGAACGACGTCGAGTACAACGTGGATCTGCTACGCTCTCAATCGCACCAGTTTGCACAACTCGAGTCTCTGGCGAGCAGGTACGTGCGCACGGTCTCGGCGCACGCCGCCCAAGCGCTCCGAGACCGCACGTCTTCGAGCAGCGCACTGGCGGGCACCTCATCGTCGAGCGCCAAGGGAGGTCGTGGCAAGGCTGCTGCCAAGAAGGGCCGCGGTGGAGGAGGCAGCGGACAGCTCGAGATGCTTCTGAGCGGCGTGCGCGAGTCGCGTTCGATCACGCAGCCGACAGCGGACGCTTCGACAGCAGCGGATCAGAGCGTGGCGGATGTCAGCGCAAGCATGGCGGCCGTCGAGCCGGACGAGAGCGACCCGACGGATCTGCTGAGAGCTTTGGCGCGCATGCGAGACTAGTTTGTACGACTCAGTATACCATTTTGTCGAAAGAACTTTTACCCAAGGAACGTTGGAGAGGCGGGATGTGTTTGTGTGTGTGTGGTTGACTTGGGCCTCTCGAATGACAGAGGATAAGATGTGGTGAGCTGCAGAGAGAATCGCGTCAGATGGGCGGAGCTGCGTGCACCGTCAAGATGAACACAATCTTGAGGTCAGGTGTTGGTCACGTCGGAAGAGCGGGCATGCAGGAAGGAACTCGGTCATCGCATTGCGTGTATGGGTGTGTGTGTAAAACGGAGTTTATCCTCGCTGAGCGACCTTTGGTTCCCATGCATTCTGTACGTAGCGACATGATCAGAAAGCTTCAAAGTCAGTTCCGTCCTACGCTTTGCATGTGCTGAAAGATGTTCTGCCGACTTACAATCTTAGGCTTGACGGTGCTGTAAGTCTTGAAGCCACCACGAGTGCCGGTGATGTTTTCTCTCGGAGTCTGCATTCCCATCCCCAAAAACGGCGTCAGGTCAGCTATTCGTCGCCACCAACCAATATCACTACAATCCATCTACCTAGGAGCCGCACTTACAGTCATCCATGATTGAGTCATCTTGATAATGCCAGCATCCTCATGAGGAGGGTCCTTGCGGATGTGGTGCAACCAAGAATGCCAGAGCGGATCGACCTGTGATGCGTTGAACTCGTTGTCCGCCGCGTAGTCTACCCATCTGTGACGGAGGTTGAACTCGTTGTGGTTTTCGTAGAATTTGTTACCGTTCCTACAGCATTCCAACGAAGCGATCGCATCAGAGTAGGTCAGTGTCTTGATCTCGCTGAGAAGAGCAAAGCGCAGCGCTGGAAGGAGAAGGCTTACCTGTCGGTTCCTACGAGACGACCGGATTTGGCGTCGCCGATGTAGTTGAGATCGCGCCAGAACTTTTTGATTCCTTCCTTGCGGATGTAGTTGATTGTACGTGCGAGCGACATGGCTGAACAATATCGGTGGTGACGAGGCTCGACAGTGGTTGGGAAGGAGAGAAGGGGATGGTGTGTGTTGATGCGGGCTGCATAAGGGAGAGTGACGCTCTGGTGATGGAAACGCGAGAATTGCGATTGGTCGGCTCGCTTCCGAACTTCCCATCTCCCGATCGAGCATCATGGCGGTCCAGATCGGACAGGTGAGAGCGTAATTTCGCATCGGTTTTCTGCGCACGGTCAGTGAGAGGCCTTTACCCCGCGGTCGTTCAAGCATCTTGGTGCGCCCCGGCTTCTCGGTTGACATCGAGTGTGCACCTTGTGACGTCTTTCAGAGGCCGTCACGGCCCCAGCTGAACGGGATGAGCATGTCGTCAAGCTCCTCTTTGCGGAAGCATAGTCGTTCGGCCCGCGCTCGAATCGACTCGATATAATGCTCGCTTCCTCCGAGCCCTCAGCATCGGTTTGCCCAACCTTCCACCACCACCAAACATCGCCACTCAACTTTCCACCTTGATCCGCCGTCCCCCTAATCCACAATGTCTGCCACCAACGGCCACACGTCCGAAGGGTCCCGTCTCAAAGACCCATCGCTCTTCAACACGAAGATCGTTGTCGGCTCGCGACGACTCGACTCGCACTCCAACAAAACCTTCGACGTCGTCTACCCGGGCGACGGCAAAACAGTCATCGCCACCATCCCCGAGTGCAACGCTCAAGACGTCAACGATGCCGTCGCCTCCTGCCGCGAAACCTTCGCCACTTTCTCGCAGACCACCGCCCGTCAGCGTTCCGACATGCTTCGCAAGCTCAACGACCTCACCCTCGCCAACATCGACGACCTCGCCACGCTCATCGTGCGCGAGAACGGAAAGACGCGGGCGGAGGCGGTTGCCGAGGTCAAGTATGCGTCGAGCTTCCTGGCGTGGTTTGCGAACATGGCCGAAATCGGTGCTCAGGGGGAGACGATCGCAGCTGCCAACCCGAACATGCGGATCCACACAATGAGGCAGCCGATTGGAGTGGTGGCGTGTCTGCTACCGTGGAACCTGCCGCTCGCGATGGCGACGAGGAAGATCGGACCGGCACTAGCAGCGGGATGCACGTGCATCGTCAAACCTGCCGGAGAGACTCCCCTGTCGACCCTGGCGTTTGCGGAGCTCGTCAAGAGAGCAGGTTATCCAGATGGCTGCGTCAACGTCGTCACCACCCTGGACAACGTCGCTGAAGTCGGCAAAGCGATCTGCGAACACAAACACGTTCGCAAGGTTTCCTTGACCGGTTCCACGCGCGTTGGAAAATTGATCGCCAGTCAATCCGCGGGGACGTTGAAGAAGCTGAGCATGGAGTTGGGTGGAAACTCGCCCGTGATCGTTATGAACGATGCCAATCTGGACAAAGCGATCGAAGGGGTGTTGATGGCCAAGCTGCGTACTTCGGGACAGACGTGTGTTGCTGCCAACAGGATCCTCGTGCAGAACGGAATCCACGACAAGTTTCTTGCGGCGTTGAAGGAGAAGATCGCCACGTACAAGCAGGGCGATGGAGAAGACGACTCGGTCAAGCTCGGTCCCCTGATCACGGCAAGAGCGGTGGAGAAGTGTCGTGCTCACGTCGAAGACGCCCTCTCGCACGGCGCCACTCTCGCCTACGGTCCCTCTCCACCCCCCACGCCTTCCTCCGGTGGATTCTTCTACCCCCCGACCATCCTTACCAACCTCACCTCCTCCATGCTCATCTCTTCCGAGGAGACTTTCGGCCCCGTAGTGGCCATCCGTCGCTTCGAGACGGAAGAAGAAGCGCTCGAAATCGCCAACGATTCCGACGTCGGTCTAGGTGCATACTTATTCACGACCGACCTCCGAATTGCCGCCAGGATGACCGCAAAGATCGAGACAGGCATGGTCGGTGTCAATACAGGCATGTTGAGCGCATGCGAGAGTCCATTCGGCGGCGTCAAGGAATCCGGCTTCGGTAGAGAGGGCAGCAAGTGGGGTATGGAAGAGTATCAGATCATCAAGGCTGTCACCACAGATATCTCATAAAGTTTCGCCCAACACTGGCTTGTCCGCTACACCGCTTCGATGTAAAGTCACCAGTCAACACCTTTTTCAATCGCAGACCCAACACCCGAACCCAATCATGATGCGTCAAAGAATGCTGTTTGCTAGAAATAAGAGCGGGCTCTCTACATATGCCAAAGAATGTGTGTGGTTAGAAGACGAATAAAAGCCGTTGCGTAAACAATCAATTGTCCATACAAAAATCAAAAGCCGCACCTCCAAGGCGGGCTCACTCCTCGTGCCAAGTAGGCTTTTTGCGATCACCGACGTTCCTCAGATCCTTGCCTTCAGCCGCGAGCTCTTCGCGCAACAACATGGACGCGCGCGAGCCACCGCCCGCCTCGCCGGGACTTTCGCCATCGGCAGGCGAAGAATCACCTCCCCCCATGCCAGGAGCGAATTCGGGATTGCGAAGCGCGTTGCGAAAGGCGTTCGCCATGCGGGACGCTTCGTCCGAGGTGAAGGGTTGATCTTCCGAGTGGCGACTTGATCTCGAGTTGCTCGACATCATGGCTGCGCCGCCCGCCGCGCCCGCTGCACCTGCTGCAGCACCTCCTCCAAGCGCAGCTCCTTCGTCGTGCTCGAGCATGTGTGATGTCTCACCGGCGTGTCCTCCGTCGGTCACGCTTCGTCCAGCAAGCGATCCAGCAGCTGCAGCCATCATGGGAGACGAGCTGCGGTGACTGCCATCACCGTACTGACGCTGTCGTCGCCTTCGAAGTGCAGCCATGATGAAGTAGGCTCCTGCCATGGCAGCGACCACGGCAAGAAAGCCTAGGACCGAGATGAGGACGATCGCGTACGTCGGAAGTGCAAGGCCGTTCGAGTTGCCGCTGCTGCCACTCCCTCCGAGACGGCCGCCATTGGCCTGTGCTGTTGCTGTAGCTGTGATGACGGATCCGTTTGGCAGCGTCGCGGTGGTTGTCCCTTGCAGCGTCTCTGTTCCGCTGAGACCGGATGCCCGCAAGGAAGATTCGAGAGCAGCGCTCAGGCTGGACTGGACAGCAGACGCGGATGCAGCTGCTGCTGCGCTGCCCGTTGGAGTTGGCGATGAGGAAGCGGAAGCGCTTTCAGCCGAGGCCGAGGCAGCACTTGCGGCGCTAGCAGCACTGGCAGACGAGGCTGCGGCGGCCGAACTGGACGATGCTCTGGCTTCAGCGATGGTGAAAGGCAACGTTGTCTGCACAGCCGTGAAGGTTGCGAGACGCGAAGTGGTGCCTGTGAGCGGTGTCCCTGCTGCAAGGACGACAAAGTAGAAGGGCCAGGAAATGTTTTGATTGGGCTGAATGTTGTTGGCGGCAGTGCGGTTGGCCCACCAGAGATCGTTTGGCTCGAAGGAGAGCCTATTTTGTCCATTGTCTTGGGAAGTCCATGATGTGACCATACGGTCGGTGTCCTCCTGAAAAAGGTAAACGTCGACATAGCCTGCCTGAGCGAAGAGCGGATAGTTGGCGTTCCAGATGAATCTACTCCAGTCGTTTTGCACGAGGGTGGTGCCAGCAGTTGGGTAGCAGCTGAGTTCATCGTTTCCGACATAGCACCTCTGCTCTGCTTCCGTCTGACGACGCTGCAAGCTGCTTTGCTTGGATGTGTCCGACTGCGCTCTTGACAGCCATTCAAGCTGGTCGTTGGTGGGTTTGCGCAGAACGTCTCGCTTGATGGCCATCACTTGATACATGTCACGCGCCCAGAATGGACCGAGGATCTTCTCCCTTTTGAGCAAGTCGGCCTCAGCCTCATGGCTTGCGACTCGTCTATCAAAGTAATCGGCGCGTACACGGAGGTGCTCAGGCTCGTATTGATTTCTACGTGTTGGCGGTGCTGTGGGTGCAGGAGCGGGTGCTGGAGCGGGGGATGGTGATGGTGACCGTCTCTCCAATGCATCGGCCTGACTGTCCAGGATCGGGTCTAGAGAGCGCTTCTGAGAGCCCTGCAGCCCTGCCCTGCTGCTCTCGCCTACGAGATGCATATCTGTGTCGTCCTACGTCTGACGCTAGGCTGGGACGAAGGTCGAACGGTTGTGTAGCGCAGATTGTATGTTTCGGGGTGATTGCAACGATGAAGTGGCGGCGCGGAGCGAGGCGGACGAGAGTGTTGTGCGGTTGAATGGGGACGAGTGTCTACTGGATGATGACCTGCTGCGTCAGACACTTTGACTGACAAGATTGAGCGTGTGCTGGGAAGAATGAAGAAGGGTGCGATTCAGTGCAGCAGTCGAAGATCGTGACGATTATGAAGTGCGTTCGGGACAGAGAAGAGGCCCGGCGCTGACAGAAAGTGGAGGGCGATCCAAGAAAGCGTCGTCGGGGAGAATGAGAATGGCAGCGAGCGATAATGAGGGGAGTATGATGGGAGATGGTGGTGAAGCAAACCAGCGACGACCGAAAGTGGGACAGAGAGAGAGAGAGAGAGTGACACTGTAGACAGTCCACTGTACCAACCATGTCCGAGCCTCTCTGTGCTTTTGGTCTCGAGAGCGCGCGAGCAGACCCAAAGTGGGCGCGAGCACGGCAAAAATTGTGACTAAAGAGAGAGTGTCGGCCCTCTCTCTCACTCCGCTTCCTTTGCCGAGCGCAGCAAGTCTGCAGATCGCGTAAAGTCTCGATGCGCAGACGCTGCCGAAAATACCCCTCAAGAACAACAAAAGATTAAAAAAAACGAATAGACAAAAAAAACAGAGTCACATAAATCTTGGCAGCCAAGCCAGAGTCCGTCGGATCGGAGCGGCGATTTTTCCTTTCGCTACGACACATTCAGTCGACCTCGTAGTGATTGGTGAGACGGTGGATCTCGAGCCTCTTGAGCATCGTGCGTCGGAAGCAAGCGAGCAAGAGGCCCCACTCAGCCAAACTAGATCCGTACGCTCAAGTGCTCGCGCACCAATCGTAACGACGAGCAGGAACGAAGCCAACGTAGATATGAAGAAGCGAAGCTGGTGGGCCCACTCTTTGCGAACACGCCGAAGACTTGGGGTCGAGATGATGGCAATCAAGCGCGACTTGACCTCCGCTATCGCGCCCGTATCCAACCAGACGCCAATTTCCCGGAAGGTCGAGTCTGGTCCTTGGCTCAATCAAAGGCGTGCTGGGTAGGTGTGGTCAAGTGCATGAATTCCTGGTTTTTTTTTTTTTTTTGCTGCACCAGGTTCCTACATTTTGCTTCAGCGGAAGCCTCTCTCCATCTAGCTTCCTCGGATTCGCGGCCCAGTCGACCCGTCGGCTGCTAGCTTAGGTGTCACCGCACCGATTCTGCGTGGTAGATGCAGTTGCGCGCTCGGTTCCTGTCTCAAAGAAGTGCGACCAATCAACCAAAGCGGGAGCTCGAAGCGATCGCCCTGGTGCATGATCGACATTCGAGACTAAACTGGTTTCCACTTAGGCTCTCGCTGCCTGGTTGCTTGCCTACACCTGCACAAGTGACGTTTCTTCCACCTTGTTCCCAGCAGCCAGAACAATGACCTTCGCTGACTAGCCGACAAGTTGATGCAACCGCACACAGCATGCATGGAAAGCTGCGTCGTCACGCTCTATGCAAGATCTGTGCGTTACACGAAAACCTGCCACCTATGCGAACAAGCTTTCAGGGGTGCAGTACCCACCACACACTTGCTCTGCAAACAGAATGAGCCATGTTCGTGACGAGCTTGGGCAGGTAGTACTGTAGACATCCAAACAAATCGACGAAAAAAAAACGAGGGCAGCATGAAATGTCTCATCTGAAACAGCTCGTCCCTTGTCGATCAACACGAACATTCACTCAAAGCAACGCGATTGCAACACTTCTCGCCTCGTGTTTCTGAAATGTAAGGAAAATTTCGGTTTCTGTTTTTCCCACGATTTCCCACCAGAATGGATAGGACGCTTCTCTGCATTGATGTGTGTGTGGACCGGTTCCTCGTACCTAATCGCCATAGGCCATAGGCTGCGAAGCTGATCGCCATCTCGACAGAAGGTAGATCTGCGTGAAGATAGATCGGCAGCGTCTTGGATCGCGAGACTGGCCTTTCACCATCTTGGCCTGCGCGGCGACTTGTGCCATGGTGGAGAGACACGCAAAGCATGTGGACACGCGAGAGCGCATCGCTGCAACTCCGCCGCCGGGTGCAAATTTACGGTCACTGTGCAGATCGATCCTGCAGCTTGGTGCAGACCGCCACGATCTAGGGAAAAGCATCGGAGCCTGAATCCGCTTTCCATGCATCGTCCGATATTCCGAAGACTGTACCTGGGACTTCCGCAGACGGGTGGGTAGCACCCTCGAATCCGTCGCACATGGCAATCCTCTAAGCAAGGTCGGATTGTCCAGTCGGCGTAACACAACTCTCAAGTGCGTCCCAACAGGCCGAGTTGAAACCGCTCCCCCTTCCACTCAATACTACCACCCGAACCCTTCTCGAAAGCATCCGGATCAATCTCCAACCCCTCCGCCAACGTGCTCAGTACCAGATTGGAACCGAGCAAGCTGAGACTCCCGTACCTCTGCTCATCCTCGCCCTCACCTTCCTTCGAAGACCTTGTACTCCGACGATGTGACGGCTTGGGTGAAGGATGATACACGTACCCGTTCGATGGGTCCACCACGAGCTTTTCCGGTTGGAAAGGTTCCCATAGATCACCGGCCCACTTGAGCATCCCTGTGTCACCGCCATCGTCGACCAGTTCGCGATACACGATGGGCGTGTCCTGGCATCGAACCAGGTTGAGCTCCGGTCCACACGGAGAAATCCATTCGTAGCCTTCCGAATTGCCGTTCGTGCATGCTTGCAAGTGGAGCTGCTCGGATGACGGCATCCAGCCGTTGTACGGTCTTACGTCGCTCCAATCGGGAGGTAGGGTGGTGTCGGTGGGAGGATTCAGGATGTCGTGCCGCAATATGGCGCCAGATCGAGCATAGTGGGGTGAAGCGGTGAGAGATTCAGGATTGGGTCGGATGCGTTTGAAGAAAAAGTCGAGAAACTCGGTGTTCTTGAAGCAGCTCGTGAGGTTCTTGGGCACCGTATCGTGGATGAAGAGTTGTCCGTGCACGTCGACCACATAGCGGTACACGCGAAACGGCGGTTTCGACGCTGTAGAGGCTGGGCTGAACGATGTGGACGCTGAAAAGAAGGGACGCTCGAATCCATGTCTTCTGGATTGAGAAGGAGATCGGAGTGGCATCGTCCGGCGAGCCACTGCACCGGGCGCTCTGATGAGGAGCATCTCTCCGAACACCTGTTCGAGGATGCACTTCTCGTATCTTCACCTCAGACGCTTTTAAACTGAAGCCACGGCATCTGTGAGTCTTCGAAGAGCGGGACCGGCAGGGAAAGATCAAGCCGGCTTGGAAGCTGTCGTGGTTGTTGGAGCGCTTCTCAAGGTGCAGGTCCAAGCTTTGTTCGTGTCGAACAAGTGGAGGTGACTTTTACCAGCTGTGAGTTTCAATCCGCTAACATTTGAGATATTGATCGAAATCGGCTCCGACACGCACCGAGATTTTTGCACTTTCAAGAAGAAACCTGCATACCCCGTCAACACCTTCACCTCTCTCCTGACCTCTCGACAATAGGTCAATCTAGCTCAACACCACCGTACATCTAACTTGAACAGCCGTACAGTGGCTTACAGGTCCTCACAACCAGGCGTATCTCTGTCCAAGATGCCTCTCCACGCCGACCTCTGCACAATACTTCAAAACGCCTCCCGCGCGCGTCTCCGTTCCATCCCCATCGCTTCCACAAAGGACAACCTCTCCATCCTCTCCATCCTTCTCCAACACGGATTCATCCACAACGTAGTCCGCGGAACCCAAACAGGACCCTCGCCCGTTTCGTACACATCTGCAAGCCCCGCCGCACGACGACTGTGGGTCGACTTGAAGTTCCGACCCGACGACCGACCGGTCCTGGAGAAGATGAACGTGGTTTCGAAGCCATCCAGGAAGCTGACGATGGACAAGGATGAGCTGCTGAGGTTGGCGACGGGGAGGAGGGCAAAGTTCGTGAGGCCGCTGGATATGGGGGAGATTGGGATTGTGGATTGTGGGAAGAATGGGTGGTGGGAGGTGAGGGATGCGATTAGGAGAGGGTATGGAGGAGAGGTGGTCGCCAGGGTTTCGTAGGTCGTTTCTCAAACGTTGTCCTGAAGCCAACTTGGATCATCTTGGACGAACAAAATCTCGCCATACAGCAGCGTTCCGTCGAGCATCAACCACACATTCGCCGTGACTTATTCGCAGGAAACGGCCCCGCCTTCGAGCATTTTAGGGCCACATGCTCTTCATCCGCACCGCTACACATTGTATTTGTATCTCTAAGCATTGCATCTCCACCTATAACAGGATTGTTGAAGTCTTCTTGCGTTTGGCAGTGTTGATACCCATCGGCGTCGATGCTGATGAGGAAGTTGGATGAGAAGAACGCAGTCACGTGCGAGTGTGGCCGGTTTCTAAACCTAACACAATTCCTTTCTGGTGCATTTCGAAGCGTGACACAGACCATCATATGTACACGTATGTCAATGCTTCTTTTGTACTTTGATCATACAAACCACTGCATCGACCGTCATCGCCTTGACCGAAAAAAGACTGTGATTCTCGACACAGCATCTTCATTCACCACATCGGGGAGTAGCGGCAGTCGATTTCCCAAATCTTCGTCGACCCGAAAGACACCTTGCTGCATCGCTGTCAACCTTCGGCCCAGCATCATCAACTTCTTGACATAGCAACCATTTCGCCGCCCGTCCATTGGAAGATCATCGCCACTCCTGCCTGAGGAACGACAGCCTCCGGTACAGAATCACCTTATCCCAGCGCATCAACTCTGCATAGGCTTCCACCCACCTCAAACAGACAAAGTATGTTTGGTCTGGGATCGGCGTTCTACCTGATCCTATTCATCACAAATGCCCTGGCGGTGTTGTCAGAAGAACGATTCCTCGCGAGAGGTGAGTAGTCATTACCCCCACCCCTTCAACGGCCTTGCTCTATCAATCGCGAAGATCACATTTTTGGAAGTTCTTTTCGCTGACATTCTTCTTCCTTTTGCGACACAGTCGGATGGTCATCACATGCGCTAGCCAACCAACCAAACTTCGACGGCGGTTTCCAATCCAACCCTTACTCCTCGAGCTCGAATGATGTCACAATCAAAGCGAGGTTGATCAATCTCATCTCTGCTGTAAGGACTTTGATGCGAAGTAAGTATCTAAACCTCAAGGAATGGGAAGAAATAGAGTGGCTGACAGAATGTCTTTTGGCGCGGTCGAAACAGTTCCCCTGGTAGTGATCAATATCGTCGTCGTAGTGTACCTCCTTGTACTCGGTTAGCTCGGTGTCCGAAGGAGAATCGAAAAGCATTTGCAAAGGATGAAAGGCGATTGCAAACACTTGAGATCGGTCTGCACAGATCTTTTGACCTTCTCGACCAATCTTCGGTGCTTGAGGCAAAGAGCAAATCAACGAACGAAACTGGCTCGCAAAACACTCTCTCGCCACGGAGACACTGATTGGACCAAACGGTCTGCATTGCAAAAACAAGAGCGGACACATGAACGAAGATGACATGGAGATACAAAAACAATGCTCAGATTCACAGCTTGAAGACCTAGGGAGCCAACACCTTCCTCAACCCCTCCCTCTGCGCACCCGTCAGGTTCTCGGGCAATTCGACGCTCCACTCGACCACCAAGTCGCCCTTCCTCTTGCCACCCATCTTGCTGATGGGCATGCCCTCGTTGGCCAACCTGGTCGTCTTCCCGGGCGTGATGCAGCTTTTCCCTGGCGCTGGTTGCGGGATGGGGATGTCGATCTTGCGCGCATCCAAGGTTTCCACCTGTTTGCGCGAACCTGACGAGCCCGGTTTGGGCGGGTCCAACGCGTCGATGAGCTTGAGCGGTATCGTCACCCTGAGATCGTCGCCGTCGCGGCGGAAGTGAGGATGCGGCTTCTCGTCGACAATGAAGACGACGTCTTGGAACGAGCCGGGCGAGACCTCGTGACCGGCACCGGAGAAGCGGATCTTGGTACCCTTCTTCCAGCCGGGTTTCACTTCCACGGTGAGCACTTTTTCTTCCGATCCGCCCGAAGCGAGCTTGCGCCCGACTTTGAGGCGTTTGGTGGTGCCGGTGTAGAGGTCTTGGAGCGATAGGGGAAGTTGCTTTTCGACATCGCTGGGTTTTTCGTCGGCAGGTGGGGGGTGAGCACCGCCGCCGGGTGCGCCGCCGCCAAAGTTGAACCCGCCAGGCATGCCGCCGGCCTTGCGACGAGCTCCGCCACCGAGGCCGCCGCCGCCGCCGAACATGTCTTCCATCCCTCCTCCCATTCCTCCCATTCCGCCCATTCCTGGCATGCCGCCCATGCCACCTCCCATTCCACCGCCGAACGGATTGGCCCCGCCAAAGATGCTTGCAAAGATATCGTTCGGATCACTAGGCGAGAACCCCCCTCCCATCCCACCCATACCTCCCGGACCACCGCTGGTAAACGTGAAAGTCCTTCCTCCACCGCCCCCCGGGAATCCTCCTCCTCCGAAACCTGCTCCACCGGGGAAGCCGCCGAACCCTCCGCCTGCTGCGCCATCCGCGCTTGGTGGCGGTCCACCGCCCTTCAACCCCTCTTCACCAAACTGATCGTAGATCGTGCGCTTGTTCTTATCGCTGAGCACCTCGAACGCTTCGCCGACCTCTTTGAACTTTTTGTTGGCCGCTTCGACGTTGTCCTTGTTGCGATCGGGATGCCACTTGAGCGCGGCTTTCTTGTAGGCTTTCTTGAGAGTATCGTCGTCCGCATCTTTGGAGACGCCGAGAACTTGGTAGTAGTCTTTGCCCATGGTGGGATGTGCTGTGGGTGAGGTACGCTGCCTCTTTTGTGGGGGTGGGGAGCTGCGGCGAGGTTGTGACACGGGAATCTTGGACCAATTTTTCGATGGGCCAGGTCAAGGATGCCTGGAAAGGGTCGTGCAAGCTGCGATGATGCAAGTGCTTGATCGTTGCTAGTGGTTGTAGAGCCAAGAAGTGTATGTGACGGCTGCTGCGTGCGGGTTTGGAGACGAGCCGTGATTGATGGAAGGCTTTGCTATGAAGGTGATTGTGCGCAGTTAAAAAGTTTGTGATAGAGCTTCCGCCGGCTTTGATGATGAAAAAGATGATGCGGAAGGGAAGCAAATCAGAATGCTGAGTCGCGATGCCAGATATACAATGAATGTACAGTGGTGTGATACAAAGGGAGGAAAGGAGCAAGATCCGATGATGAACTGAACAAGACGTGTGACTTTGAAGTAGGAACAGCGGCGCCTGAGCTTGAGGCGGCAAGAAAGCTCGAAGCGTTCAAGGTTGACTGTGACGTGCAGGGAATCACACTGAATGATCCGTCACCATGCGGCTCTTGCGCATAGTTGCAGCTGCGTTTTGGTTTCTGAATCGACGCGATTCCTCCACTTTCCATTTAGAGCTTCCCTGCTGCGCTAGTATCCGCCAGAAGTTTCTGCCAGAAAATTGAGATCGCCATCGGGCCCCCGACCACAGCATCATCTAAGATCTGAATCAACGCTTGCCTAACACGCCTGCCTCACGCTTACGGTGCAGCTTGTGATCACGAGCAGAACCAATTGTCTATTACGATGCTGACACGCTTTGCGCAAATGATTCCATTAAAGTGTTGACCCTACAGGATCATTGCCTCACATTTCAACCTGCAGAGTTCACCGTTGAAGCGCCACCCGGCGGTGTGAGAATTGCGGTTGCATCGGGCGGCACCTGCGTTCGCCAGTTGTGGATCGAAGAGGCTTTGGGATCCAGCATCATAGCCATCGAGTTGGCCGTCATGGGTGCTCCCATCTGAGGTGTGCCAGGAAGCGTCGGCATCGTCATCGCCGGAGACATTCCAGCCGACATTCCGATCTGCGAGCCTGGTGGCCCGGGCGCTGCCATCTGCGAAGGCGGCAACATCGACATTCCCAGAGGCAACCCAGCCGACGATGCTGGCAAGCCATCAAACTGAGACATCCCCATCATCGTCGAACCATTGGTCGGAAAACCCATCATCGGCTGACGTGGATCGGCCATGCCCATGCTGCTCATTGCGCTCATGCCATTCATGAAGCTCGGAAGTCCGCTCATGCGGTTGAGCATCATGGATGAACGCATGTCCATCCCAGACGGCGACATCATCCCAGAGTATGGCGAAGCCACTCGCTGTTGCTGCTGTTGCTGATCTTGCTGCTCCCTCTCCAGCTGCAGTTGCCGGATAAGTGCGGCCTGCTCTGCGATGATGGCCGCTTGAGGATGAACGTAGCCGAGCGGCTTGTCGTCCTCACTGTCATCCTCATCGCTATCCTCTTCCGCTTCGTCCGCGTGATCGACGCCTCGAGACTGCTCTCCAGCTTCTTCCGCATGCTCGTTGTTCGCTTGAACCTGTTGAGCCAGTCTCGCCGCCTTCCTTTGCGCCTTCTCGGCCAGCCTGGCCTCCTTGACCGCGCGCTTTTGGTTATCGAGGGCGGTGCGCATCGCTGCCAGAGCCGCGTCACCTCCGGGATGCCTGTGGCCAAGTGGCAGATCTTCATCCGAATCGTCGTCTTCAACATGCGATACGCCCCTGACGCCAGCGAGCTGCGAAGGATCGTAGCCGTCCCGCGAGATTCCGTTGGGCTCTCGCATGCTTCCCGGCCGAGGCGAGCCGACCGATGGCGACGGCACTTCCGAGCTTCCGTTACGAAGCGAGCTGTCTCGCGAAGCGGCAAAGTCCAGGTCCAGCTTTCCTCCGCCAAGCAACATCGACTGCCGGATGCGCTTTTCCTTGAGCGCAGCGAGCGGCAGTTCTTCTTCAGACGAGTCTGCACCGCTCATTCGATTCGAGTGCAGCGACAGACCAGCAGCCAGCGAGTTTGGTCGCGACGCTACGTTCTTCTTGACTTGAGCGAGCGGCACGTCGTCATCGCTCGAGTCTTGAGCTTTGGTCTCTGTTTGCTGTTCGACGTCGGAATCGATCATCCATTCCTGTGTGGCCGCTTCTTCACCGGCAAGCAAATTTAGGCTCTTCCGGCCTCCCTGCTCATCGCCATCTGCATCGACGACATCACCAAGGTCAAGAGCGATCACCGGGGGCTCGACGGGCGTGTGACTGCGCACAGGTTCATCCTCCCTTTCAACAGTCTCTTCCGCGAGAGGTGCGCCAGAAGGAGTGATCGAAGGTGCCCTGCCATTCGAGCCGGCGAGGCTGACAGCGCTGTTGACGGCCGAAGAATTCGACATGCCCAGGTTCTTCTTGCTCTTCCTGCCAAGCGTGAACAACCCACGCTCCTTTCTCGCTCTGGCTTCAGTCTCGTTCCGCACACGAACTGCCTCTTCGAGCAAAGCCTTCTCCTTGGCCTGCTCTGCCTCCAGAGCATCCTGCTGCTGCCTCTTGGCCATCTCCCTTGCCCAGACGTGGTCAGAGCCGAACACTGCTTCCATGCGCTCACGCGTGTCATTGACACCGACGGGCTTGTCTCGGAAGCTGCGAGCGACACTGGGCGCGATAGAAGCACCATCGTCGTACACAGACGCACCAGGGCGTAGCGAGGCAATTGCATCGCGCTCATCGTCGAATTGAAGGGGCATGGCTTCGCCGTCCTCGAGCTGCACCTGGCCGTAGAAGCGTGCCTTGGACTTTCGCTCCTTGTTGCGCTCCGAAGCGAGATCAAGCAGACTCTTGCCGTACAGCTTGCCGGCAGGCTTGTTCTCGTCCACCCAGCGCTTGTCGTCGTCGCTGGCCCAGAGGTCCGACTCGCTTCCCGTATCGGTAGCATCCTCTTCGCTGGTGGTGCTGCTGAGGTCCAAGTCCTCGTCCGGACTGAGCTCGTCGACACCGACTTCTTTGAACGACTTGCCCTCTTTCAGCGCCTCCTCCCTCTTTGCTCTGCGAACTCTGCGTGCAGCTTTGCGCTTTCGCCTTTCCTTGGCCAGACGCTTGGCAGCGCGTTTGGCGGATCTGCTCTGCTGCTTGATATCCGCGAGTGGTCTGTCGTCGTCGTCAGAATCGTCTGCTCTTCCAGGACTGAAGATATCGTCGACACGCGTCCCGGACTCGAAGCCCCATCCTTCACGCTCATCATCATGCTGGACGAGATGATTACGGAAGAGGGCCGTAGTTGGGGCGGCAGCTCGTCTTCCAATCCCTCGCGGTGCAGCCGCGGGCACTTGTACAGTCCTGTCAACCTCGACGGCTTTGAGTCGTGCGGCCGCCGGCTCACTTTTCTTGTTCTTGGTCTTGGCTGCAAACAGGGGTTGAGGTCCGTTGGCGCTGTGTACGACCAGGCTGCGCATGGGAGGCAGACCGCCTCGATTGTGCAATACAAATCCGTCAGGAACGTGCAGGCTGTGGCGCTGGGTGGCGACAGGCGATGGCATCGCTTCGGTGAGTCGGAGCTTTGGCGCAAAGTCGGTGCCTTGGAGCGGCGATGGCATGACAATGGTTTGTGGCGTTCTTGCAGCCAGACCGAGCGGACGAAGCGGTCCTCGACGCGGTGGGCTAATGTAGTCGTCATCGATCTCGTCGTGCTCAGCCGCAGCAGCAGGACTCGCCTCACCGGCCATCATCGTCGGTGCTTCGAAAGCATCTCCGATAGGCTGGTGTGAAACGTGGAGCTGATCGACCTGTACGGTGGCAACGTCCAGAGCTTCGGCGTCGGACTCACCATCGCCTTCGGCGCCGTCAGCGGTCACGGTCTTCTTGGACTTGATGGGCTTGCCTTTGGCATCCATCATCATGCTCAAACGGAACCATTTTTTGCGCGGCTTGCCCCAATTGGCCGATGACAAGTCCGGTGCTGTGCCGTCGCCGAGCTGGATTTCGAAGTTGTCACCACCGGTCTGCGCGAGGTCCTTGGCGAGGGCAGTGATATCGGCCGAAGATCGTCTTCGGCGCTTTGGGGCGATTCCAAATTCGTTGAGCAGCAGAGGATCGTCTGGTTCGTCGAAGGCCTCCTCAGCAAGCAGATCGCGATTGATACCGAGATACGATGGGAAGGTCGAATTTCGTGCAACATTCTGCAATTGGCGCGTGCTGAGGCTATTGAAGTCGAGAGCCGAGGAGGTGGCATGAGTTGGACCTGCCTCAACGCGATCGGTCTGATCGAGGGCGGGGCTGGCAGCTTGCAAGGCAGCGCCGAATGGAGATGGCCCAAGTCCCATCTCGTGCTCGGCAAATTGATCCGTTGCCCATCCGCGGCTGAGACGGCGTGGTTGTGCAGCAAGGACTTGCGTCGGTGCCACGGGTAAGAAGCTCTGAGATGGTACGATGGATTCCTCTGGTGCGAGCGTGTTGTGATCCGCGCTTGCCTCAGCTTGACTTTCGAGCAGAGGTCCTTCGAGAAAGGAGTTGCGCCGCGAGTTGCTTCGGGAGTAAGAGCCGACGCCGACCATATTTTGAGCTTCGCCTGGAGCTGATTGATTGAACGATATTGGGTCAGCCTGAACAGCGGTTTCGGAGACGGGAATGGTCTGTGGTTCTGTGGACGATGGATCTGCGCTGTGAGAAAGCGGAGCAGCCCGGCTGTCTTCGTAGGTTGATGCGTGTCCTGTACTGCGGGCAGGATCGGCAGGGAGCGCCGCTGTCAAGAAGCCGGTTGAGGACGCAGAGCCGGCACGAGACGATGGGCGAGGTCGGTCCATCACAGAGGCTGTTTCGGTGGCATCGGCTCTGGCCACAGCGGAGGCCTGGTCCAACTCGTGCGATGCTTGACGGAGCGAAGTGCGGCTGCTGTCTTCGGCAGAGGCGATGATGTGCTCTATGACCTCGTCCTTAGTGGCGGCTGGACCTGGACCTTGCCACTCTGCGGGAGGCAGGTTCTCCTGGCGCTCTCGGTACAGCTTGATCTTGGCCAAGAGCTCGAGCTTGGGGTGAGCAGCGGCAGCACCGGCAGAGGTCGCCGCAGCGACTTCGGAGCTGGCCCTGCGCACTGCCGGCGGCCAGGCTGGAAGGCTTGGATCTACATCTACGGATGGTCGCGCCGTGAGGGAAGGCGCCAGCTGTTCAAACGAAGATCGTGCACCAGTGATGCTACCTGCCAAACTCTGAGCGCGGCTTCGGCTGCCTGCTGCGATGCGTTCGCGCTCGACCTTGCTGAGGAACTTTTCCACACCCCACGCGCTGAGCGCGTCATCATCTGAAGCAGCGTCTGCAGCGACGAGTTCGTCGTGTTCGGATTGCGCCAGGAGGCTGGCAGGACGAGAGCCTACCTTGGAGGTACGGCCGAGGACGGAAGGGGCGGCGTTGGAGAAGAGGCTGTCGCTTCGATTGCGCGGCGTTTCAGATTCCGCAAGGGCACCAACGCTGCTACCGGCACGGCTGCGTGCACGCTGTTCGTTGGGAAGGGCAACACCAAGGAAATCGATGCTGGGTCGTTTGCCATCGTCTCCGGCATCGAGAAGGCGGGAAAGGCCGGTGGCTGCGCTCCATGTGCGGACATGGCGCTTGACGGCGATGCTTGCACCCTCTCGGAAAGGAGCGAAGATAGCACTCTGGCTGGCAAGCGCTGGCTGAGGAGGGGGCGGTGGATGGACGAGATCGTTGGCTTGCGGAGGATGGTAGATGTGCCAGAACTGGGCTTTTTCGAGGATGCGGTCGTTGTCGGCCTCGATGAGAGCGGCTGCGAGCTGGAGACGAGCATTGACGCGCTTTGTGATCTTCTTTGTGGGTGCTGCTGCGGTTGAGGCGGTGGAAGCATTGCCTGGCACCAATTGGGTTGCAGACTCGGGGCGGTTGTCGAGGCTGGCAGCAATTGGAGCGTGGCCAGCAGCAGCCGACGCAGCGTGTGTCGGCGCATGGACCGCTTGCTCGACGGAATGGTAGAGTTGTTCTGCTGTGTGGTCGAGGCGCATCTGCTCGTGTTGAAGTTGGCCTTGCCCGAAGGCGGGGAACGCAATCGAGCTCATGACGGGCTCGGAATGAGATGGGGTTGGGTGAGTTGGCGTTCAGGGAGGTGTAGTCATGGTTGATCAAGATGATTCCTTCCAGATTGAGAGGTGTGAGTATGTAGCACCGGAAAGAGCCAATGTGTGAATGTGCTGTGGACGAGGAGATCAAGAAGAGCTTGGTCAAAGTATCGCAACGAGATCCATGTGTTGCTCTCCTGTCCGACGTAGCAAGAAAACGCTTGGCCAGCCAGCCAGCTGCATGTGTTGGCGTGAGCCAGTGTGCGTGCCAGCAGCCAACGCAGGGACCAAGCGCTAACTAAAGGGCGCGAAGACCAGAAATGTTGCAGCCAAAATTGGAGCTCCGCGCCCATCGGCGTCAAAAGTGACTTGTCTCAGTTTTGTGTTGGACTCACACACGTTTACAAACCCTTGGATCGACGGTGTTGGCGTGTCACATCGTCGCCTCAGCGCTTGGCATTTGAGAAGATTACATGTCTAGAAGAAGTCTGTCGCCATCACGATCACGGACTGTCATGCTGCTAGTTTTGGCAGCACAGCTGTCCTAAGATCGGTTCGACAGCACGCATGTGACTGCAAAAGCTGTGCTGTCCGGTTCGACAGCGCTGCGTCGGAAAGCCTCCGACGGCTTCATTTCGGTTTGGCGATACCATGCTGGCTTAACATGCTGAAAAGTTGCTCTCGGAAGACGGGCAGAAGCCTCCACATATGACTGAGCTTCACCTTCAGATGAAGCGTGCATCTATGTGTACCTCTCTCACCTGCTCGACACAGCACGGCGTGGCACAATCGTTCGTCCAAATGCCAACATGATAGCAAGACGCAGCGAAAGGAGGTTCGAGGGTACGAGGCCGGCGTCGTCTCTGCAAAGCTCAAATGGCACGCTACCCGCCGACTTTGCCGCCTCCTACGAATATCGAGGCGAATGCATCGTGGACCTTTCTCACTTGCCATCTCGTAGCACGCCACAAGCCTCATCTTCGCAGGTCATCTCACCGAGGAAGAGTCCGCGAGCAAAGCGATTCAAATTCAGCGACTTGTCGGAAGCGTTCTTGGACAACCATAATGACGATGGTGATGACAAAGAGGCATATCAAGCCAGCAGCAATGCCTCTCCTTCCAAACGACGCACGAAAATAGCTCGAGCAGACTCATCCTCAGACGAGGCATCTAGAAATGCAAGCAGTCCCAGGAAAGCGAAAGCGCGCAAGAGGATCAAACGGACTCGTGACGACCCCAACTCGGCCGCAGGTAGCATATACGCACATCTCGACGGTGTACCAGACCTCTTTGCCGAGCACAACGATGTCATGTTCTGCGGTATCAATCCAGGCGTCAAATCATCCTCCTCGGGTCACCACTTTGCCCACCGTTCCAATCACTTCTACCCTTCCGTACACCTAGCCGGGATCACAGCACAGCGCATCAAGCCTGAACAGGATGTCGAGTTTCCCTTTCTGCATCCCTACTCTCTTGGTTTGACGAATCTGGCACCTCGACCCACAGCTGAAGGCGCTGAACTGCTACCGAGCGAACTAATCCAAGGTGTTCCCGTCTTGGTCCAAAAGATCCAGAGGTGGAAGCCCAGGACGGTGTGCTTTGTTGGCAAGGGTATTGCTGAGGCTTTCGTCAAAGGTCTCAAGCAAGCAGGAGCTATCGGCAATCAGTCCACCGTCAAGAAGGGCCGCGGTTCGCACGCGGCCACTGCCAAGACGAGTAACGCGAAGCGCAAACCAGAAGTCAAGCTCGACACAAGCGAATCAGCCTCTTCCCAAGGTTCAGTCAAACAGGAAGCAGACGATCAGCCTGAAACCCGTTCGCTACAGATCAGCATCCCTTCCGACATCCTGTGCGCATTCACCGCAACCTCCAACGACACGAAACCCGCCAAGCTCACCAAGTCATCCTCGCCGCAAAAGCCCAAGCAGCTCTACACGAAGGGCAATTCCAAAGACGACACTGGCTACGGCATCCTCCCTATCTGCATACCCCACTCCAACGCCGCCAACCATCGCCCGCTCACACCCGATCAAGTCACCCTGCTCTTCGTCACTCCCTCCAGCTCCGCACGCGTGACGACACACTTTCTCGACGACAAAGCTCGCATCCTCACCAGCCTTCGACGCCTAGTCGACCACCTACGAGATTTTGCCACAGAGAACAAGCCTCAGCAAATCCCGACCCCACCCGTCAAGCTCGAAGCAGACATGGCCCTTCACAGCGAAGCACCCTCTAAAACTCTGAACCTGACAGTCGTGGACACATCCCGACTCCCATCCACCGACACCTGACCCTCCGGGTCGGCTGGTCTTCACTGCCATTGACAACCGCACTACAGCATAATGATAAAATTACAATTGAGCGATGCGTGACTTGCTTGAAACAGAGAGGTGCTTACATACATAACAACAGAGCATCCGAAACCCCGCAAACCCATTCTCGAGACGACTACCTCAACCCAACTAACCCGAGGGGCTGCCGTACGGCGTGTCGATCTCAGCGAGCTTGCCACGCGGACGGAACCCTTCTCTCGCATTGCCCTCGTAGTGATGCCATCCACTCACCGGACTGCTCGCCCTCGAAGGCGGTGCCCACGGTGGAGGCGGAACATTAGCATCCGTGTTCTCCACCCAAGCACCCGGCGCCGTCGGCACGCCTTCCAGCAGACGCTGTTCCGCCTCTGTCAGCTCCTCCGTGGTACGACCACAGTTGCACGTGGCATGCGACGTGCCCGTGCGATCCGGCAGATAGCTCACCGCCCACGGCACATTGTCCGGCAGCGAGCGCGGCGTCGAATAGCCGTGGTTCCGGTTACTGCCGTTCTGGTCAATGTGGCCGGCAGAAGCCGGCGTCAATGCGTGCAGACCGATGCTGCTCAGACCGTTGCCCGACCGGCCGCGGTTGTTGCGCGTGGGACTCGTGTTGCGGCTCTTGCGGCCCGAGCCGCCAAAGTGCGAAGCGAAGCCGCCGTGTCGGGTGGGCGAGGTGTCGCGCGATCCGGCTCGCGAGTTCGCAGCCGAGTTGAACGCAGAACTGAAAGCAGAACTTCCCCGAGATCCGGGAAGCGTCATGTTGAGCGTGGTGGTGCGCTTCCAGTGCTCCAGCTCCGGATGCGAGTTGCGAAGCGACGACGGCGGCGTCGGAGACGAAGGTCTCGAGTTGACGGGCGACTCGAGCGAGTAAGGCGGAAGGTGGATCGTATCGAAGGTACAGCAGCACGAGGGGATGGAAGTGGCCCTTCGCATCGAAAACACCTGCACCTTGGGCTTGCCAAAGCTGTCGCTCTCCTCTCTTGTGTCCAAGACGTCCTTGCGAGAGAAAAACACTTCGGCGCCCATTTCATGGCTGACACGGATCTCTGCACGAGAGCCTCGGACAGTGCTGGGTCTCAGGATGTTGTCGTCTGGCAAGCGCACGACCGACTTGATCTTGTATCCGTTTTCATAGTGCAACGGTGTCGCCGGCTCCATGGGGGTGACCGGCGCCGAAATGGAGCCGTTGAGCGGAAGACCGAACGGCGAGAGATTGGCTGGGCCCGGTCCAGCTCCACGGCCGGGTCGACCAGGCGCGTCGTTCTCCATGTCTCCGATCCAGATCGAGTCTTCGGGCCCCACGGCGTCAGTATGCTGCTTGGTCTTGTACGGCATGTATCCCTTCTCCCAGAGACGCAGCTTTTCGGTGGGGAGCTTGAGCCAACCTTTTCGCACGTCGCTGTACAGCTCGAAGGTTTGCTCGAGGAAGACGCGTATGACGTGGACGTTGAGCCCAGCGGGAGGGTCAGGATGGTACAGGCTGAGATTGACGGTGCCTCCTACGGTGAGAGAGGCAGACGTTAAGGAGACCGAGAGGGGCCCCAGCGCTTCGTGAGCATCGTGGTATTGGATGTCCAAAGGCGCCGGTCCGCCGTCCGAGTTCACATGGAGAATAATGAAGATCTCTTTCCACGTCGAGATGTTGTTACGCGCGCGACCAGCGCCGAGAGCAGTCGCGGTGAGGATGTAGCGGACGCGACCATGCTTGCTTCGCTCGAACGGCGGTGTGGAGGCCGGGATGATAAAGGCGAACTCGAAGCCGTGGATGCCCTTGTCGAGGTGGATGCCCTCCGAGACGTTGCAGTTGTGTGCCTTCTCCTTCTCCTTGCCTTTGGAACGCGATGGTCTTACGGGGATAGCGCCGGCGGTGCCGTCGTTCATGATCTCGACAATCTTTTCCATGATGACCTTCTCCTCCCATCGTATTGAGGAAGCCGAGGACGAGGCATTCTCGGGGATTGCTAGCGTCTGCACGCCCTGAAGGACTACCTTGACACCTTGTATGTGACGTTCGCTCGGACACTTGATCTCGACGAGACCGCGGAGAGTCTTGTCATCGCCTGGAATCTCGGTGTTGGGCGGCGGAGGATGGATGAAGATGTCTTGCGAAACGAGATGGAGCGAAATCTCGCAGGGGTGATGCACGATCGAGCTGAACATGCTGTGCGTTGAGGCGCGATGGCCAGTCCTAGAGTTGCCGATCGGTCAGGTCGCGAAGTTGAGATTGCTGGATGATGACGACCAGCGAGAAAAGCGTTGCTCGGTGGTTCTCGGTCTCGTCGGATCTCGCCGGGGAGTCCCGGGACGGAAGATTGCCTTGCACAGATGTGGTGGTAGAAAGGAACACAGAACCAGGACTGAGCAGGAGATGGTCCGGTGAATGTCGAGGTCGATGCGAGATCAGCGCGATTCACAACAGTGAAAGACAAAGTGCGGCTGAGCACGACTGAGCCTTCCGATGATCGTCGGATGAACCGACACGCTCGTTGGTTGTTGATCGATTTGCCTGGTTGAAGGATGCTTGGTGTTGCGTTATGTTGGTGGGTTTGAAGCTCGTGCTTCGGTGGGGCCGATTGAGCTGCTGTGACCGACAGGCCTTAACTTAATGTGTTGTCTTGGCTCAACGTTTATCGTCGTGGCGGAAGTAAGCTCGCTCTCGTCCGCATTCTCTTGTTCCAAAAAAGGAGCCGTGCACCGCAGTGTGCAGATAACATTTTGCAGCCATCTTCAACTCATGCAGTCAGATTACCCTCGCCGCTCTGTGTTTGATGTGAAATTTATTTAAGAGAAAAAAGAATTGAATTTTTCTTTCCCGAATTCGCGGTTTTGCAAAAAGGGCATGGGCTCGTCAGATACAGACGGTATGATGATCAGGGAAGGCGAATTTCGCAGCCAACTCCGACCAAGGCCATAAAACGATATAAGCCACGACTGGCCTGCTTAGCATAACAAAGGCTTTCTTTCTTGTGAGCTGAGAAATTCGATTGCAAACAGGACCAACGGCCAAATTTTCGGATGAACTCGCGACCCTCTTTCGCCAAAAAGGTGCGGACTGGTCATGATTTCCTTACTGCAGCCATTTCGAGTGCTGCGCTAACGAGGCGTGTCATCGGCACCGACCAAGGACCGTTATCGAAACGGCAACACAATACGGCTTCAGCCGCGTCTTCGGCTTGCCACTCACAAAGCCGAACCCTTCTGCTTATGGAGTTTAGCTATTCTGTATCGATCGCATCTCATCTTATCCGCCGTTCGCCATTCGTTGCGATGTATCGTTGTCTCCGGGCGCGAAGCTTAATTCACGTTTTAGCAGCAGCTACTCTGACGCTTATTCGATACTGTGACCATGGTTCGTTGTTAGCCTCACCAAGATTAGCGAAGTCTCACCCTGCGTTGGTTTCTGGACGACCTGCTCTGGCCGTTAAGCATGACGGACCATCACCGCTTACGATGCGTGCGCTGCACCATACACTCCTGTTTAGCAGCGTGGCCATTGTGGTCCATGAATGAAGACCAACGAGCGGCGAATTTTGCATGTGGTGCAAGCGAGGCCGATCAATCAGCCTAAAACATTCGGCGAATTTTTCTGATGATTCGTCGCTCGGAACATTTTTTCCTTTATGCAACCATTTGCCCTCGAACGGTCAAGCCGCCGGTTGTGCCAGATTGATGGTAGTGGAATGAGCAAGGAACGCAGCTTGCTTTTGAACTGGGAGTATCTCTTAGTTAAGAACAATTCAAAGTTGTATGCAGCATCGAAGTCAGGTGATAACTTCCACGAAGGCACTTGTTGGACACGGCCAGCGTACCGGAGAGGGGGACGGAAGGAAATGCGCCTAGCGAGTTCAGGGTCCAGCTTCGACGACACTAGCCAGACGATCCCATCCTCGCGACACTTTTCGACCCGACATGTCTCGCAGAGCAGCAGCGACAGTCGCAGAGATGCTTCTTTTGGGCACCTCTCTCCCGTGAAGCCCGAAGTTCAATTTCGAGATCGATGAAAACAGATTGCACGCCGAGTGTGGCCTTCATTGTTAGCTTGAACGGTAGATGAGTAAGAAGGCCATATCGATTGCGTAAGGGTGTCACGGCAATTTGGCGTGCAACGCTCAGGGAAGGGATTGCACCGATTCACCGACTGCATCCTTGGAGACAGATGTGGCGCAATCCACATGAGCAGCATCTGCAAAGCATAAATCGATAAGATTTGGCGGCTGTGCTCGGCAACAGCGCAACCACATTTTCGACGATTTAGCTGTGCAATCCTTCATCTTGAAGGGGCGTTTTCTGTCGTCATGCACGACTGACAGGTCGACATGCATTGCAAGCTTATCGTGCGCCCTCACTGAAGCTGCAACGCCGAAGTGCCCTTCGCCTGCGCCCATGTCCTGATGCGAGCAGCACGTCGACGTGCATCATACAGGATCGCCGATGCCAACCCACTACTGAGTCCGATTTTTGACACGATCCAAAAAGTCGCTTCTCTCGAGGTAGCCTTTCATGTCGCCAAGACCCTTACCGCCGCCTTTCGTCTGATGCTCCAGCTCGTCAAGCTCCTGCTGCGAGAGCTTTGAATGATCCGACTTAAACGAGTCCCAGTCGAGCTTGCTCTTCTCAAGCGTGTTGAGTTTGGTCGGCTTGGCGGAGGAGGCCGAAGCCGAGAGCGCCGCGAGCGACGACTGTTTCTTCCGCCTCGGCCCGGGAGGTGCTGGACGTGGTCGGTCCGCTGCGGTTGCAGTTCCGGGGCGGGCCGCGGTCGGATGACTCGATGCGGATGATATTGTTGACGGTGCGGAATTCGCCGTTGCATTGCTCATAGTTTGCGTGGTGAGATGCTTGATAGCATCGGGATGCGAGCGTCGTAGCAAGCGTGTTGATACGTGAACTTCGCCAGCGAACTTGTACGTTGTGGGAACCGATACCATGTCATCTCCTGCACTTGCTGATGGTGTGGCCGACGCGTTGACGATGCTGGATGTTGATGTTGCGGCTTCCCCTTTGGGTTCACGAGCAGTATCGGACCCTTTTATAGCCTCCCATTCTGCCATGGCTTTTGCCTTCAATGCATCTGCTTCGTCATTTGCTGTTTTCGACTCTGCGACGGTCTCTCCGATATTTGGCGCCAGCCTTCTGCGTTTGCCGAGCCGGTCCTCACCGCCAGCGGCCGCTATGAGTTCCTCACGTTCCCGCTTGAGGGCTTCCAACTCGTCTGCGTCGATCTCCTCCCCGGCGGGTAATGGCACTTCTGCTGCATCGTCCCCTGCATCCGAGTCCGCATCGTCCGAGTCGTCTTCCGACGCTTGACCGGCAGCGGCGGACGGTACTTGGCGCCTGTCCGAGGGCTTGGAGCGTTTTGCGGTGCCACGAGACGGACCTGCCTCTGGTACGAAGTCGTCGTCGTCTTCCGAATCGCTGCCCGAGCTAAGCGCAGCGCGCGGTCTCTCCACTTGATGAGAATCTCGAGCGAATGCTGTCATCCTTGGGATCCGTTGAGGGTGGGGCGCCGGGATGGTTTCGCATGCGAGCGAGGGTCGTGGTCAGAAGAAATGAATGGAAGCAACACCTCCACACCACAAGACGCGCCGGAAGACCAGTCGACCATACATTTTCGGTTGGAAATGCGCAGTCGAGTGAGCTGCGGGGGCGGCAGCGATTTTGAGTCCGTGCGTGCGAAGAGAAGCTTGCGACGCTCGTCCCCAACTTTTGCTGCCACTGACCCGCTTCGGCTTATGCTACGTTCTACCCACACACACAACAGCATACAGTCCATCACCTGCACCTGCCGAAAGGAAGTCCGACCGCATGCACTCTCTGCCTCCCGCTCCTTGAACTCGCCTCACGTCTCACGACTGCTGTCAGCTTTCCGTACTCTACCGAACAAACCTCTTGCACTGCCGGTCGACCGACCGTGACATACACTGGTCGCCATGCCGACGTCATTCGAACAATGGCAGCACACAGCTGTCTCAAACATCTTCAATGTCACGTTGGATCGTCGAGAAGCCGAGTCGAGTGGTTGGGAGAAGACTTTCCTCAAGGAGCTCGCAGATGAACTCGCACCGGGATCCGCCGCGCCACCACCCCTTTCTGCCTCTGTGGCAGACCAGATCCTCATCGCTCGTCTCTCTCTCGATCCACACGGCGACGTCATGAGCGACGATGCAGAACACATCACCATCCTGGCCAGCCTGCCAAAAGGTCAAACGTCGTGGGACTACCTCGTAGCCTGTTGGAAGAAGGCGAGGTCCGAAGAGAGCCGTCTACGCAAGTCGCTACCCGCTGCGGACCAGCCAAAGGCGCTGGCAGTATTGGAGGAGATCCGTGCCCTTCTCGTCTCCTACGCTGGGCTTGTGCTACAAACACCGGATATGTTTCCCAATGCTGCCAAGCCAAATGGTACGCCAGTCTCGCCCTTGGTACTGGTCGACAGTTTGACGCGAGTCTCTTCCTCCATCTCTTCTTTTGGCTTCTCCAGCTCCGAGCCGTCTTCTTCGCATAGCACAGCAGATCTCACGACAAGATTCGAGACGATCGATGGCGACGATCTGCCCGTCTTTCTCAACGAGCTCGCTGCGAGGTTCGGGAGCGACGAGGGTCTCGACGAGATCCTGGGACCTGCGTTCACAGAGCTGACAAGGAGGATCCGCGATGGCGACCGAGGCTCCGATGCGCCTGCTTCTTCGTCGCCTGCTCCATCGCAAAGCCCCAACGCAGCGGGCGCACCAGCTGGTGGAGCCGGTGGTGTCAATCCAGCTGCTCTCAACCAGGCCCTCGCCAACCAGGATGTCCAATCCGTCATTGCCCAGTTGCTGGCGGGACGCATGCCAGGTGCGCCGCAAGCTGCTGGTTCTCTCGGCGCCGACGCAAAATCCAGCGAAGGGCTCACCATCACGGGCCTCGAGTGGAGACCTTACGTCAACGCCATCGTCGAGGCCGTCGAGATCAAGCCCATCGCCAATATGCTCGCCCACCTTCCCAACTTTGATCCTTCGAACACAACAGGCGCGCGGATCGAGCTAGACTCGCTCCTCGGCCCCGTACTGCGTCTTTCGGCTTTCCCAGATGCCTACCCAAGCATAACACAGCACTACTTTCCGAACGCGGCTACGCAGAACCAGCAGGAGGCGGACAGCAACTTTCGCAGCATTCAGAGCACCATGGAGATAGTGCACACGCTCAATTTTCGCATCTTCAACGCCGTCGTTCGTTCCGGCGCACCGGCGCGTGAAAAGGTGCTCGCATACTGGGCCAGAGCTTGCGCTCTGAACGCGAAGCGAGGCGCCATGCAGGTGCGACAGGAACTCGTGGCAAGCGACGGCTACATGGTGAACCTCTACGAGATGCTGCTTCGATTCGCTGATCCGTTCATGGACGCTGGCTTCACCAAGATCGATCGCATCGACCTCGAGTACTTGCGCAAGCAGACGCGATTCGACATCCTGGAGCTCACGCGCATCAACGCCACCGAGGCCGAAGCCAAGGAGTGGACCGAGCAGGGTCGGGCAGAGCCAGCAGGCGCATCAGCCAATTTCATCACTGAGGTCTTCTACCTTGCAGTGCGACTCAACAATCTTGGGCTCGGCAAAGCCGTGCGTCGAATCGACGAGAAGGAAAAGGAGATGGGCCGTTTCAAGAAGCGCATCGCCGAGACGGAGGCCGACAGAGCCATGTGGTCGGCAATGCCGCAAGCGCCTCAGTACGAGACCTTCCTCAAGCGGGCCAAGGCCGAAGTCGAGCGTCTGCACGGCGAGATCTACGCAGCTCAGAGTCAGCTCATGGCGCCTGAATTCCTACAGAAGGTGATCACTTTCAACTGCTTCCTCATGGCGTGGCTCATCCGTGTTGCCGAGCCCAAAGCGACACACCCACATCCTCAAGTTACTTTGCCACTGCCGCAAGAAGTGCCGACACGCTTCCGCATGCTTCCCGAGCACATGTTCGAAGACATTTGCGATGTGATGCTCTTCGTCTCACGAGTGAGTGCGCCGCTGTCAGAGTCGGCAAAGAACGATCTGGTGACGTTCTGCACCACTTTCCTCAGCTCGGGATGGTACATCAAGAACCCGTTCCTCAAGGCTAAGCTGGCCGAGATCCTCTTCTACAATGTCATTCCCTGGGGCAGGCACACCAACGGAGTGCTCAGCGACACGCTCAACATCCACGGTCTGGCGCTGCAGCATCTCGTACCTGCGCTCATGAGCTTCTGGATCGAGGCCGAAAACACGGGCAGCCACACGCAATTCTACGACAAATTCAACATGAGGTATCATTTGTCGCAGATCTTCAAATCGGTGTGGAGCAATCCGAAGCACAAAGAGCAGATCCATCGCCAGGCGCAGGCGAGCGGCTCTGACTTTGTCGTGTTCATCAACCGATTGATGAACGACGTCACCTATTTGTTGGACGATGCGTTGGACAAGCTGCAGGAGCTGCATACCAAGCAGTCGGAATCGGAGGAGACGCCAGAGAGCGGATCGTCGGCGCAAGAGCAGCAGGAGAGAGAGGGTCACATCCGTCAGCTGGAAGGTATGATCAAGTCGGACCTGCAACTGGGAACCGAGTTCATGCGGCTGTTGATCGATTTCACTGCCGAGACGGCCGACGCATTCATGACGCCGGAAGTGGTGGACCGCTTGGCGGCCATGTTGGACTATAACCTGGATCTGATGGCTGGCCCCAAGTGCCAGAATCTCAAAGTCAAACAACCCAAGAAGGTGAGCTTCGAACCTCGCAACCTTTTGCGTATGATCATGTCGGTCTACCTCAACCTCTGCAGCAAAGGCGAGTTCGTGGCTGCCATCGCACGCGACGGACGAAGCTATTCGAAATCCGTCTTCGAAAAAGCTGGGTGGATTGCGGAGAAGTACATGCTGAAGAGTCCGCCGGAGCTGGAAGCGTGGGCGGGGATGATCGCGCAGGTGGAGGAGAAGAAGCAGATGGAGCAGGATGAGGAAGAGGATCTGGGCGAGGTACCGGACGAATACCTGGACCCACTGATGGCGACGGTGATGAAGGATCCTGTGCTGCTGCCAAGAAGCAAGACAGTGGTGGACCGATCGACGATCAAGGCGCATCTGTTGAGCGACTCGACGGATCCGTTCAACAGGTCGCCGTTGAAGATCGAGGATGTGATCCCAGACACAGAGTTGAAGGCTAAGATTGAGGCCTTTATTGCCGAGAGGAGGCGTAAGCCCTGATAGTCCAATATGGCAGGAACTCGGTGTGTCTGTACGGTAGCATCTTTATGCGTTGCACTCAGCAGCAGCAATCGACAATATATCTCCGTGATCATACCAGTGCGAAGCGATGTTGTCCTGAGCTAGCTAGCGCCCGCGCCTCAGTCGAGTTGCGTTTGTGCTCACAGCCTAGCCGATTTGGAGCCCTCGTCTGCGCCTGGGACGTTGACGTTTCTGCTAGGCATCTCTTTTTCCCCGGGGAACATTACACCTGCTCGGGGGGACATCAACCGTGGAATTCTCGATATGGGTACAGGACCGGGATGAGAGGTCCAGTGCTACACTGTATACCCAGTATGCTCGTGTCTCTTTGTGGATGCTGAGATCAGGACTTCATCAACTTCTTCTTCTCTGCTTTCGCCTTGTTGACGACGAACTTCTGGTTCGTTTTGTCGGCTCGTTCGATGGCTTTCGCCTTCTTTGCTCTTGCTGCCCTGCCCATAGACGCACCTGCCGAGCGCTTCTTGGGTTGAGACTGAGGCTGCTGCGAATGTTGGAACGGCTTGTACGGTGATGCTGTGGTAGAGGTGGTCGAGGAAGAAGGTTCGTAATCAAGCTGGAGTCCTGGCTCTGGCGCCCTTCGCTCGGCTCGCTTGTTTGAGTTCTTGACCATGTCGAAGGTGCCTGGACGATTGAGCGATTGCGACTGTGACGGTGATCGGATCGAAGGTGTCAGGTTGGACGATGAGAAGATTGCAAGATGAAACTTTGTGATCGCATGACCCTGCAAAGAAGCAAGGCAAAAAAAATAAATGTGGAGAAAACCTCCATCGAAAACTTGACCAAAAAAATGGGTTCGAAAATGCAAGGCTCGCAGCTGCAGCTGAAGCTGCCCAACCCGTTTCCACCCATGAATGCCGCATGTGAGCGGTCTTCAGGAGTGGAGCGTCGTGCCAAGCTTCAAATGACACTTCCGACAAGTACCGACGAACCAGACGGTGTGTGTTTGTTTGACAGCAAGCTCTGCTATTCTGAAGGTGAACACCAAACGCCTTAAAAATCTAACACAATTGTATCGAGCGTCGGATAACTTTGACCGACTGTGTGTGTGTGTGACGTTGAGAAGTAGAATTCCGAACAACCCTGTTGTCGGAAAAAAATGCGATGCGGCGCTCGAGCTGAGGTAGCCCAGCGACGAATTCAATCCCAAAACAGAAAGAGCGCACAATTTGGCAAGCGAGCGAGCAGGATGCGGCTGGCCCCTGAATTGAGCTGAACCTAAGAACAACACGCGCGCGGCAGACGAGTCTCAAGCCAAAATCCGCTCAATAATCTCGCTTCGCTAGCCAAGAACAACACACACTCTTCCGGTGCGTCGGTCTCGAAACATCCAATTTGGCAGCAGCAGGAGCAGCAGGAGCAGCAGAAGCGCGCTTATGATTCCTGAGTTGATTTACGGTGCATCGCTGTGCTGTCTCCACTTTCCACTTTCCACTTTCGGCTCCTTACATGCCTGTGCAAGCAGCGACGTGCGTGTCTCACAAACGTGCTCCCACGCTTCTGTGGGAACCCTGGGATCACTGACAGCTGAGTCGACACCTCCGCCGCCTCATCTCGCTCTCCCTTTCTCTCATTCCTTATCCTCTCCTTCTCCTTGTCCTGTTCCAGCTGTTATTGCCGTAGAGCACATCTCATCGCGCACCATATTTATCTCTAGACCACCCAGCCCAACGCTTTCCAATACACGTATCCGACCGCCGCCTTGATGGTGTCCATCTGCCTCCGGCTTATCTGAAGAGTTCCACCCTTCGGTTCGCGGAAAGCAGCTGCCGCCTCTCTTCTCGACAGCCACCATGTCGAGCCCGAGCGGTGACGCGCAAAAGCGTCTCGGCGTCGCTTCGGCTCTACCGACAGCCGACGACCGCCTCAGCGACGATTCGCACAATGCCTCGCTCAGCACCACTCCCACGCAGAGCCACATGCACAAGTCCAACCCTTCATCCGCCTCGAGACTAACTGCAGGAGCCGCCTCCACTCTTCGACCCAACAGCAACTTGCGCCCTCCGATCCCTCACGATACTCCTTCCGCCACATCGCATCGTCCGCAGCAGCCATCCAACTCATCCTACTCGGCCGCTTCCGACAGACTTAGCGCATCTAACGACGAGTCCAACACTTCGCTCGTCGGCCGCGCCAAGCCAAGTGTGAGTCTGCTCCGACGGTCGAGTGCGCAAACCTTGCTGCTTTTTCACAACTGACCATCAATATTCTGACCCTTCCTGACGACCCACACAGTCCTTGCTGCGGACACCACAGACACGTCCTGCACTGCCAAGGCAAGGCTCGCGTACTCAGCGTTCCGTCTCTTACGCAAACTCGGACCTCGAAACCGTATCTGCCATGTCCGCCTCCGAATACAGCTCAGCCGGCGAAGACGATCCAGACCAGTGGCGTAGATCTCAACGCGGCCGTCCCGCCGACTCTGTCGTCCGTCAAGGCACCAACATTGGTCGTTCCGGTCTGCTCGTCGATCCATCTCGCTCAGCAAGTGGCGTGCCATCGGCAGCGACCAGCACGTCCAAGACGCGTCGTCCCTCTGCTCACACCAGGGACTCGAGCAAAGTCCGCAGACAGAGCAAAGCCTACCACACCGAAGACGACTATCTCGACGCTGCAGACGACGATCGGTACGGTCCATTGGACGATGAGGACGACGAGGTCGAGCACCACGACAGAGGTGAGGAGCTCGTTCGTCGTCGAATGAAGGCTCGTCAGCGCGAAAAAGCTCTGCGTAAGAAGGCCGAAAAGGAGCGTTCTCGCCAATCGTTTGCTGCCTATGGAACCACCAGCAACGCTCAGAGCAACAGTGCTTCTCAGGACAACAACAATGCCGCACTCCTCTCTCCTAGCCTTAAACCTTCCTCGGCCATCCTCGGTCAACGTTCCACCTCGCCCTCGCCGCTGCCCGATCGATCAAGGCGTCCCACCACTATCACAATGCCGCCGCCTGCATTTGGCAATCAGCAGCTTGGCGCTCTTTCCCCCACCTCGGCATCTGCTGTGCACAGCCCCGGTGGAGTCGCCAGTAGACTCTCGTCCGCAGCTGGCTATCCCTCCCCCCATGGTCACATTCGTCGACCCAGTTCAAACAATGCACAGAATCGCTTCAGTGGGATCAGCCATGGCCAAACAAGCACCGCCGGCCCCAGGAGCGCCTCACAAGCGCCTCAAACAGCTCCCGTCGCCAACGACTTTTTCAACGGCCTCGGCTCCGCTTCCAGCAGCGGCCGGGCTCCCACTGATGCGAGCTCCAGCATGGCAGGCAGCGTTCAAGCCGATGATGATGCGGACGAGGATGGCGACACCATCGCCAGTCTCGCGGATAGACGTCGTCGCGACGACACCGGCGAACATACAGGCGATACCGCTCGACTCAGTGGCGAGGATGACATCGAAGCCGAATTCGACCAAGATGTCGAGGGCGAGGATGGCGGCGGTCACGGCGAAGACGACGACGACGACGACGAAGACATTACGGATGATCAAGATGTCGAGTATACGCTTAAGGATCGACAGGACGCCATCAACATTGAGCATCCCTTTGGCCTGCCCATCTGGAAGCCTGCGCTGTACAAAAAGTCGCGTTCCGTCACCCGCAACGCCGAGATTGCCCTCCACTCGATTCCAAGCGCTGCTGCAGAGCGCCACCTCCTGCCTGGCAACATCCTCTGGACCATCTTTTTCGGCTCTTGGCTATCCCTTATCTGCTACCTTTTCTCCATCCTCATCAACTTCGTGCCGCTTGGAGGATCTCGGTACGCTCGGGTCATCTGGGAGCTCGGCGGATATCTCTTCTGGCCGTTCGGAAAGTACGTCGAAGTTGAGGTTGCTCCCCACAGTGGTGACCGCTGTGCCGGTACAAGCAACAACACCGACGAGGCAGCAGAGACTCAGTGGGTCGAGAACTCTTTCACCCCCGTTGCAGCGCGCTTTCCTCACGACCACGCCCATGTCGTTCCTTTTAACTCTCGTCCCGAATCGCTTCTATCGACGCCGCGCGACAAGCTTGGAAGCAGTCTAAACGACACGCTTCGTCCAGAAGAGACTACTCATCAGTGTGCCGACGCCGGCTCTTCGAGCGGATCGGAGGCGCGCAAGTCCACGCCACGTGCCTCTGAGCATGGTGAGTCCAGCCGCACCTCGCAACAGGAGCAGGACGAGACAACTTCGCTCAAGGGCAAGGCAAAGGCAAACGACTACGGCTCCACCTACGACTCGCAGATCGGAAACCAACTCACCGACCTCGAGCGCATCGAGGCTGAGCAACGAGTTTATGGCTACGTCGACGATGAACACGGTCACGATGTCGGCGCTTCGCAACGGGTCGGTGGCCGCGCAGCCTTCGCCATCTTCTACGGCATCTTCCTCTTCCCTCTGATGGGTCTCGTCTGCCTCGCATGCTGGGGCATGGTCTTTCCTATTCCTATGGCTAAGCTGACGTGGGTCTTGCTCAAGAACCTGGCCACGCGTCCATTGGCTCTGCACTTCCGCTCGGCATCAGACTTGGCGAAGCGGCAGCAGCAGCACGGCGAGATTGACGAGATTGCTGGCGCCGCAAAGAAGTTCTTCCTCCCGCTGAAACCTGGCGAGCCCGCTCCGCGTCCCGCACCGGTCAACGCTGGCAAGGTCACCCTGCAGCGACGCAGCAAGATCCTGCTCTGCACGTACCGTGCCGTCGGCAGCCAGTACTACAAGTACACGGTCGGTGGCGTCAACATCTTGTTCGTCAACACGCTCCCCCTGGTCTTTTTCACCATCTTCGACTTTTTCGTCATCGAACGCTACGTCGAGCACCACGGCATCAAGCACGGCTTCCTGGCTTTTATCTCAGGTCAGGGCGTCATCTTTATGCTTGCGCTTGGAAGCGTTATCCCGCTCTCCTACTTCATCGGCATGGCGGTTGCAAGTATCAGTGCACAGAGCAGTATCGGCATGGGTGCCGTGATCAACGCCACTTTCGGTTCCATAATCGAGATCATCCTATACGCGATCGCATTGACGCAAGAAAAGGCGCGGCTGGTCGAAGGTTCGCTCATCGGATCCATTTTGGCTGGTGTGCTGCTCATGCCCGGTCTCTCGATGTGCTCCGGCGCCACGAGGAGAAAGGAGCAGCGCTTCAACGCCAGATCTGCCGGTGTAACCAGCACCATGCTGATCATGGCCATCATCGGTATCCTAACGCCTACGCTGTTCTATCAAATCTATGGCACCTTCCAGTTGACCTGTGAAGGTTGTCCCACTGGCAACGTCCCTGGCGATACTTGGAGTTGCCGTCGATGCTTCTACGAACATGTGCCACCGGCCACGGATCCCTTCTTCCAGCAGAACGTCCGTGGCCTCATGTACACTTGCACCGTCGTCTTGGTGCTTTCGTACGGGGTCGGATTGTGGTTCTCGTTGCGCACCCACGCTTCTCAGATCTGGCAGAACCCCCAGCCGGTGCAGCCAGGTCAAAACCTTGTGGCCAACCAAGCAACACTCGCACACCTTCCTTCGGCACAGCGCGCTTCGATCTACAAACGACTTGTCCCCGCGACGGTGATGCAGCAGCTCTTGCCGACGACGCAACCTGCTGGTGGCGCAAGCGGTGCGCAAGGCCACTCTTCGGCCATCAGTGGGACGACATCGGCACCCGGCACGATCAAGGCTTCTGGACATGCACATCAAAGTACAGACGCTACGCAGGACGGTCCACGACCTTTGCAGCTGCCCGAGCACTTCAGCCAGGAAGAGTATGATCGAGCTGTGGCACTCACAGCGTCCGCCTTCCACACTATGCTACAACAGCAGCAGCGACACGACGATCACCATTCTGTGAACCCGGGCGGCGGCGAACGAGATCATCTTCGTCGTCATCAGTCGCAACAACAGCAGCAGCAGCACGGCAAGCATGCGTCCATGCACGAAGAAGCGGCAGCAGCTGCACCGCGAGGAGCTGCACACGAGGAGTCCGAGGGTCACGGTGGTCACGATGCCCCTTCGTGGTCGAGAGGTACATCGCTCACAGTGCTCCTCTCGTGCACCGTACTGTACGCCATCATCGCTGAGATCCTCGTCGATGTCGTCGACGTCGTTCTCGATGGCTCCGGAATCGACGAGAAGTTCCTCGGCATCACCCTTTTCGCTCTGGTCCCCAACACCACCGAGTTTATGAACGCCATGTCCTTTGCGATCAACGGCAACATCGCACTCTCGATGGAGATCGGCTCCGCCTACGCTCTGCAAGTGTGCCTGATCCAGATCCCCGCCATGGTGGTCTTCTCGGCTTACTACAACTCGGGCATCTCGGACGACCTCAACCTGATCCACCGAAGCTTCACCCTCATCTTCCCACGATGGGATGTGATTGCGATCATCTTTGCCGTCTTTTTGCTCACCTACACGTACATCGAGTCGCGATCCAACTACTATAGGGGTACAATCTGTATCTTGAGCTATACGGTGCTGGTAGCTGGATTTTTCTTTGCTCCTAGCACGGGGGACGTCGAGGATCCAGGCGATGACAACAGGGGGTTGAAAGGTATGGTTGGGACCATGGGGTTGATGGCAGGAGAAGGTTTGAAGGGTCTGATGGGTCAGAAGATGATGTTTGCGGTGGATGGCGGTAGGTTCGGTGGTGGAGTGAGTGGGTGGACTAGAGCAAGCGCTGTCGCGTTGAGCGGTCGTGGTGGAGGCAGGGCGGTGGTGGGTGGTAGTGAGATTCTGCCGGACGGTCCGAACTGGCTGCCATCCTTGGATGTGGGAGAGTGGATGTATGCTCTTTGGGCGTCATTGTGGGCGCGATGATAGAGTCATTGGACGATATGGAGTGGAAGAGGCGTCCTGTTCTTACGATCCGTTCTTGCACAGTTTTCAATGCAATGTTTCTTTCCGTAAAGTCATCCCTGAGTTGCGGGATTGGTGCGCTTGATTGCGGAAACGAATGTGAAAGGGAAGGTGACTCGGAAACGTGCGGGATTGGATGAGGTGCGGATACAGCCAGCTCAACGTCCGTCGTTCCGCATTCAAGAAGTCACGACATATCACCAGACATCGTTCCGCACAGCGACATTTTCCGCTCTAACAGGGAGACAAATGCAAATTTCTCGAGACAGGTGCAAAATAATCGTGATGGACAAGAGAAGCTAAAACTACATGGTGAGGACGATGTACATACGAAACAGGACTCGATCGTGGATACGATCATCCAGAGCACATCAAGCACGCTTCGCGATTCTCCAATGAGCACGCGAGTTGATCCGCCTCGAGCTGTCGTAGACGTTGACGTTCGAGAGCAGCGGCGAACCCGGCATCGACTTCGCCGTCCTGCTTTGTTGCGGCTTGAGTGAGTTCGGCGGTCTTCTCCTGCTCCTTGGCGGCGGCGGCCTTGGCCTCCTGGATGGCCTTGACTTCGTCAGCGCTGCGGAGGCCAGGACCGTCCTTGGTGACGGTGCCGTCGATACCGAGCTGGCCGACGCCCTGCGTCAACGAGTCGACACCTTTGGTGGGCATGACGGCGGCGACGGCGGGCGATGGCGAGGTGGCCTCGGCAACGATGGCGGCAGGGGTAGCCTCCTCAATCGCCTTCACGGGTGTACCAGTGCGCTTGGCCGAAGCCTTGGCCTCGTTGACCTCGGCGACCGAGAGGGTGAACTGGATCGCGTTGGAGGCAGGCTTGGTACGCAGGTAGTACGTACCGGTCTTGAGACCCTTCTTCCAGCCGTAAAAGTGCATCGAGGTGAGCTGACCGAAGGTGGGCGCCGAGAGGTGGATGTTGAGCGACTGCGACTGGCAGATGAAAGCACCACGGTCGGCGGCCATGTCGATGATGGCCTTCTGGCTGATCTCCCAGACGGTCTTGTACAGCTTCTTGATACGGTCAGGGATGCCGGGCACGTTCTGGATGGAACCGCCGTGGGCGATGATGCGGTTCTTCATCGTGTCGTTCCACAAACCCTGCTCGACGAGCTCGCGAAGCAACCAGGGGTTGACCACCTGGAACTCACCGGCGAGCACACGACGCGAGTAGATGTTGGACGTGTAGGGCTCGAAGCACTCGTTGAAGCCGAGGATCTGACTGGTCGAAGCGGTAGGCATGGGAGCCAGCAGCAGCGAGTTGCGGAGACCGTGCTTGGCGATCTTGGTCTTGAGCTCGGCCCAGTCCCACAGATCGGAAGGCGTGACGCCCCACATGTCGTACTGCAGCTCGCCCTGCGAGGCGGGCGAGCCTGCGTAGGTCTCGTAGGTGCCGTGCTCCTGAGCCAGCTCGCACGATCGCTCGAGGGCGGCGTGGTAGATGGTCTCGAAGATCTGCACGTTGAGACGGCGAGCCTCGGGCGACTCGAAGGCGTAGCCCATGATCATGAAGGCGTCGGCGAGACCCTGGACACCGATGCCGATGGGTCGGTGGCGCATGTTGGACCTGCGAGCCTCCTCGACGGGGTAGTAGTTGATATCGATGATCTTGTTGAGGTTCTTGCAGATGGCCTTGGCGACGCTGTGGAGACGCTTAAAGTCGTAGACCTTGGTGACGGGGTCGATAAAGGTGGGGAGGGCGATGGAAGCAAGGTTGCAGACGGCGACCTCGTCGGGAGCGCTGTACTCGATGATCTCGGTGCACAAGTTGGAGCACTTGATGGTGCCGAGGTTCTTCTGGTTGCTCTTTCGGTTGGCAGCGTCCTTGTAGAGGATGAAGGGGTTGCCGGTCTCGGTTTGCGACTCGAGGATGGCGTACCAAAGCTTCTGCGCCTTGACGGTGCGCTTGGAGCGACCCTCGGCCTCGTAGCGCTCGTAGAGGCGCTCGAACTCGTCTCCGTAGCAGTCGGCGAGACCGGGGCACTCGTTGGGGCACATGAGCGACCAGTCGCCGTTCTGTTCGACCCTCTTCATGAAGAGATCGGGCACCCAGAGCGCGTAGAAGAGCTCACGAGCACGCACCTCTTCCTTTCCGTGGTTCTTGCGGAGGTCGAGGAACTCGAACACGTCCGAGTGCCATGGCTCGATGTAGATGGCAAAGGCACCGGGGCGCTTGTTGCCACCTTGGTCGACGTAACGGGCAGTGTTGTTGAAGACGCGGAGCATGGGCACGATACCGTTGCTGACACCGTTGGTGCCGGCGATGTAGGATCCGGTGCCGCGGATGCAGTGGATGTTGAGACCGATACCTCCGGCGGTCTTGGAGATCATGGCACACGTCTTGAGCGTGTCGTAAATGCCGTCGATCGAGTCGTCCTTCATGGTGACAAGGAAGCACGACGAGAGCTGCGGGTGTGGGGTACCAGCGTTGAAGAGGGTGGGCGAGGCGTGGGTGAAGTACTTTTGCGACATGAGGTTGTACGTCTCGATGGCGCTCTCGATGTCCTGGCCGTGAATACCGACGGCGACACGCATGAGCATGTGCTGGGGACGCTCTGCGACCTTGCCGTTGATGCGGAGGAGGTAGGAACGCTCGAGGGTCTTGAAGCCGAAGAAGTTGTAGTGGAAGTCGCGCTCGTAGATGATGGCCGAGTCGAGCTGGTCCTTGTGCTCCATGACGACCTTGTAGGTGGCGTCGGAGATCATGGGACTGTGCCTGCCATTCTTGGGGTTGACGTACTCGTAGAGGGCCTGGACGACCTGACTGAAGTTCTTGCTGGTCTCCTTGTGCAAGTTGCTGATGGCAATGCGCGCGGCAAGCACGGCGTAGTCTGGGTGGGTAGTGGTCTTGTAGGCGGCAGTCTCGGCAGCGAGGTTGTCGAGTTCGACGGTGGTGACACCCTCGTAGATGCCGTCGATCACCTTTCGTGTGATCTCGATGGGGTCGACATAGTTCTGATCGAGGCCGTAGCAGAGCTTTGAGATTCTCGCTGTGACCTTGTCGAACTTGACGACCTCCTTACGGCCGTCTGGGTTTCGAAAGAGATGAAGAAATTGGCATCAGCACGTACATCCTCCCATCGTCTCAACCCGTCAGGAGCGACGCGATCGCGTCTAGAAAGTTGCGGTCGCGAACAGAAACTTACCTCGCTTGTATACGTAGATCATGTTGTGTATGGCGGAAGCCAAATGGGGTATGGGAGATGCTGGTGGAAGGCCCTTTGGTATATGCGATTCGCCTTGATGAAGGAGCTAGTGATGGCGACGCCGAAGATGGATGATGCAGGAGCAACGTGCTTGGGAAGTTGCAAGGATATGCGCGCGGTCAAAGGGAAGATGGCAGTGGGAGACAATGCAAGGAAGAAGGGAAGGGGATGGTAGAGGGAGACCTGTGCGACGATGGAGGAAGAAGGAACGACGGCGAAGTGGAATCGAGGCCGAGTATTATATGTGACTCTAGAAGGAGAGAAGGAGATACTGTTCCACTCGAACGCGCTGTGCTGTGCTGTCGCAGCTGAGAAAATTTCCGTGTTGTCGTAGGTGTTGATTGCTCTCAACACGATCTGCAGCGGAGGCAAAGCTGAGCTTTTCGCGTTGGCGACGGAGAAGAGCGTAGACGGTGGCTCATTTACACCACGTCGCGCTCAGCACGGCAAAGAAACTCAGTGGAGAGGGCGCGTCAAACGATTCAAGGCAGCAGGCACAGTCAAATACGTTTGAGCGCGTTTATGAGGCTCCACACACAGAGAGACGCGAAGCTGATGAAATCACTCAAAAGTCCGGACGTGACGGAGTGACTGAGTGACTGACGGGGAAGAGCTGGAGTAAAGATCTTACACCTTGCTGCCATTTTGTGGTTGCCCTTGTCCGGTGTTCGCCTGTTGCGATGCTGCCTCTTCCTTCAACTTCACCATGCCTGAATTTTCGAATCCCGGCCCGCAGCTCTTCACCGAGCGAATTTGGCCACGTTGGTGTGGGACGCGTCTTTTTTCCCGCTGCACTTCTTCAGCCAGAGACGCGTAGCGCATCGTGTAAAGTGCAAAAATGCCTGGGCCGGAGTTAAAAATTGATACGTCGCGGACGAGACCAACACTCGGGTTGCACAAGATGGCACATTGTCTTTACGCACCAGCTCGCCGGCCGACTCACGCGAGCATGGCCGATCAACACGGCTTCGGTGCGCGCTCATCAGAAGGTCGCCGCGTCTCTAGATCCTGTGATGTACCTTACACGAATGCCTCGCGTGCGGAGAGCGCGTCGTCGGCCCCGAGTTGCAGCAGCAGCTGCATCGCCAGGTTCACACCTCGTGTCGCGGTCGAGGCTCTGACCCCACACGATCGAGATCGAGCGCGCACCAGCACGCCAGCCTAGGCAAATTCTCTCGTAGCCCCCGTGTTGAACGGAGCTTCAGTACACTGCACTCTTCAGCGATAGGCAAACTTCTCGACCTTGCTTCGGCTATGCATCGTGACCGAGTCGGAACGCGATCGTCTCCTTGAGTCGCTCGGCTCTTAGCCCTTGTGCAAATCATTGCGACCCTGTACAGATGACTCGGACCAGATCAAGCTTGAAAGGGTCCCTGTGAGACAGTCGGGACCAATAACTGCACGTCCCCGTCAGGACGTTTGTGCTGGCCGGTTGAGGAAGACGAAAGTTCCAATGCTGCTGCGCAAGAAAGCATGAGGTTCTTTCCAACTCCTGGTCAAGGGCTCAGGGACGAAATTTGGCACCAGATAGCGAACACAGGAGGGGCATTGTGGCATCAGCCAAGTTGTCCCGCTCGAACTGCGGATCGATGCCGATGAAAAAAGCCATCTGCCGATTCGGATCTGCTTCCGAACGCGAAGCAAAAAGAATGCGGGATGCGAGGAGAAGCTCGCCAGAAGCTTCGCGGCGACTAGCACAGTGCAAGCGAGAACTCGTGTTACCGCTCCATAGAATGCCACAAAAACTCCTTGCATGGTCAACTCTACCTTGCACATGACGTGCGCCGTTCCGAATGCCTCAGTCCGCCGGTTGTCAGCCACTGCCATACGGCGTCTTGAACCAAGAGATTCCGGGGGCTGTCGGCGAACAAGACGGTAAGCAGCTGCATCGACAGTCGCTTCCAAAAAGAGTGTACATAGACAAAGGACGATGCTTCTGGTCCCACCCGTCGACCACAAACATCCTTGCCGCGAGCTACCCTAGTGCACTAAGCGAGCCTCGCTACCATGTCCAGTTGCCTGCTCACGCGCTCGAGTTGTTCAGAAGCCACTCTGCATGTCAAAATCGACAGACACACCCACTCGAGCGTCCTGACTACGGTTGTACAGGTCCGCGATGTCTGTTGTTGCTTGCGTGTTTCATCTGCTGTCGTGTGCCGCGGTTGGTGATCGGGAATGGCTTTGATACCGGACTGGCGCGTTTCTCAGCCGGAGTGCCTCGATATTGTACATTGTATTGCCAGATTCGCTTGCCGACCTCATTTCTGCCAGAGCTGGTGCGTGGGAAGGTGAAAGATGGCGTTCCGTCCAGGTCAATCGTTTGCACGCTCCGCCAAGAAGGCGACAACCTTGAATTGTTGCAACTCTCCCGGGGCACTTGGATGGCAACAAAGTGTCAAGGAATCGAGCGGACTCCCAGCTCGGGATTCAGAATTTCGGCGGCTTTGCATGATTTTTTTGAGCTGCCGCTCCAAAGTCCGACCGATTCGTCTACAAGTGTACGCCTCTCATGCCAGTTTGTGCGCTCTTCCGCGGCGCAACAAGTCAGGAAGTGTCGAGCGCTCTCGTGCAAGCGGCCTTCCTGTGTGAGAATGTCTCTCACGTTCTCGTCTCCTGTCTCCTTGATCGAATGCAGGGTCTGCTTGCTCGAATAAGCAAGCGAGCGAGGCATTTCATTATGGTACAAAGTGAAAGCCGAAGCCGGCTCACACCACACCTGTCGCAGTGGGTCTTAAGCGCTCGCCGGCCCACACGTCGTCCTCTTACAAGCTTGCTTCACACTGATACTGTGTGTGGGCAGACGTTCGGGCTATGATTTGTTCAATTGACGGTCGACGGTGGACACCGTCCTTCGAAACTCGAGTAGTAGCCGTCGCAGTCGAAGCTCGCTCTCGCCAAGTTGTCCTGCACGCATCGCAAACAACAACAATCTTGCATGCATCACGGCGTGTCCTGTACAGTGGCATGAGACAGATCTGGATAAAGCAAATAGCAGCCGGCAGGATCTGCTGTATCTTAACCTCATGTTTCAAACCCTTTCGCCGAAGAAGTGCGATTGCATTCTTCCCATGGGTTCCGAGAACGCCAACGCCAATTAAAGAAATGGGAAGAAAGGAGAGTCTGTCAAGGGACCTGCATGAGCTGCGTGTCTCGGCCTGGCGGCTCTTATTTTTTTTTTTTTTTTTTTTTTTT